CTGACTCTCTCTCTCTCTCTCTCTCTCTCTCTCTATCTATCACACACGCACACACACACGTTCTCTATAAACAGATAAGTGATGCCTTATATGTCAGTTTCCAGTAAAACAGAAGCCACATGCCTTCCTCTTCTACCAAAGAGAGTATTTTACAAAGTACTTGTAACATTTTTGGTGAAATTACGCATGAATGTTATATAAACAAACATATAAATGAATATATATATATATATATATATATATATATATATATATATATATATATTATCTGTTGTCAGAGAAATAGAGGGATCTTTTCCTCCACCTCTCTTTACGCCGGTGCAATGCAGAGGAACATACAGCACTAAAAAGACCCAAAAGTGTCATGACAATGTCACTGTGACACTGCAACACAATCATACACTCACACGCACATTTTCTTTGTCTCTGTGATAGCAATCCGTCTAAATTCTCATCTTTGTTGCTTCTTCTTGGGTGAGCGTGATTTGTACTTGAATAACATCCCATTACTAGCTTCTTTTAGGTAAAGTTTAATGACAAAATTAACTGGAAAATAGTAACATGGTCAAAAAAAAAATATCACTCCAATATTGCATCACACAAAAAAACTAACAGTCATTGCCGGAAATGACATCATTGTCAATATAAAATATTATACATATAAAATTGTTTGCTCATAATTATTTACTAATTGCTTAATGCACACAACAATTTATCTCACATCTGAAACATATGCTCTTACAGCCTCTCAATCAGACTTTCTTGGTCTAGATATGAAAGACTAAAACTGGTATTCTGCAATATGTCTAATATTTGACCATTACGTCCATGATGATATCTTTAATCTATTTTATGACCTGAAGCAATAAAACTGTTTATAATTTACAATACACACAACTGTTTACCTTTAAAATGTAATCTACACTCATGGGCCAATCCAACAATGGCTTATTAGTTGTCTTTTAATGGTCTTAACCATTATAATCAACTGTTGTTCATGGTTCAAGCAGTTCATGATTATATGAAAAATGCCTCCCATTTGAGTTTAATGTGAGACCGAATATTCACAATAGGGGTTTTCTGAGACAGAAATGACTTTTAAGTTGTGCATTAAAATTGTCTAATTTCCTGACCATAAATTTTCGGTTTTGAAGACAATTGCTTAGTGTTTAGCCATTTTGGGTGTGGCCCTTTTTTTGCTCAGGATGTACAAGAGAGCCGTGCATTTCACTATGCCAATGTAGGCAAATTAAGTCGACTTTGTTTAATTATAGGTCTCTCAGTGAGAAAGGTGAAGTGGGTTGGGCCATACCAGCAGTCTAATTGTGTTTTGATTAACTGTAATTATCACACACACATATCACAGTAATTAGTACAACTAATTATCATTAATTCAGTGCAGTCAACTTAGAAGAAGTTAGCTGTGTGGAAGCACCATCCCCTCAAATTGGAGTGAGTGAGTAGTCCACTACTAGGTAAAGGTTCCAAGCTTTATCACCCTTAATCATTTTTGTCTTTAACAAGGTGTTTAATTTCTTTCGGTGTCTTTCTTTCTAATTTGTTTTAATGAAATTTCCACTATCTCACGACCAATTCGTACGAATTCGACGCATGATTAAAAAGTGGCTAATTCGTACTAATTCGTACGACCTCACTCGTACTAATTCGTACGATTTGTCTAAACCCACGTGACGGTTAGGTTTAGGGGCGGGGTAAGGGGTAGGTCATTCGTACGAATTCATACGAATTGGCCAATTCGTAAAATATGTACGATTTAGCAAAATCGTATTAATTCGTACGAGTGAGGTCGTATGAATTGTTACGAATTAGCCACTTTTTAATCATTCGTCGAATTCGTACGACTTGGTCGGGAGATCGGGTTGGAAATTTCTTATAAATGCATGCTGGTTCAACAAGACCTTTAAATTATGAAATTGGCTTTATTTTCAGTCTTAATAATGGGTTTGTAATCTTGTAAGTTCTCCTCTGAAACGACTTTCCTTTTCGGCTTTTGTCATCAAGCCCCTCCCCCTGACAGACCACGCCCAACTGCCCAACACGCCCTACTTTTCACAATCTAATAAGTTGTCAATGTCTAACATTTTTCAAAAGTCCTGTTTTCTTGTTCAATCTTGTTTCAAAAAAAGTACAAATTTATTTTATGCTGACAACACCTGGAGCTAGAAGATCCAACCACACCCTAACCCTACCCATAACTCATCCCTCGAACCCATTAGATCCACAGATTTAGAGCTGGACTAGGTCAAGCTCAACCCATGACGCCTAGAAAGGAGGAGCTGGACGTTATTTGGCTCTGCACAGTGAGTGCCATTTGGTGATCTTTCTTTCATCTAAACAAGCAACCTTGGATCCAACCTGGGTCCATCCATCTAATGTGCAATGCAATTAAAAAACCTTGCTAACTGCTACAGGACACATTTATTTGAAATAATAAGGAGATTTTTGCACTCTCCTTTATAATTTCTTATTATGTAGATAATAATAATAATAATGTGTTACATTATAGGGCTTTTTCTGGGACCTCACATTTGGAAGGGGGGAATCTCCTCAACCACCACAAGATGCATAGTATCCAACAAGCAGGAACAATGATTCATTGATGGAAGATTTTGCATGTGAGTGTTAGGCGTCATATATTGTTAGCTGAAGTAATGCACTTGGTTACAAACATTACAATCATAAACCTGATTAAAGTGGAACATTATATACATTTACTGATTGTATATATTCCACTTCTCTATATAAGGGAAGTGAAGTGACATGAAGGCCAAGTATGGTAACCCATACTCAGAATTTGTCATCTGCATTTAACCCATCCAAGTTAGTGCACACACATACAGAGGGCATGCCATTCACTGCGGCGCCCGGCCCGGGAAGCAATTGGTTACTTGCTTAACCGGCACCTCAGTATAGTTTCCTGCCAGTATTGAGAATTAAACCTGCAACCTTCGAGTTACAAGTCTGACTCTCCAAGCCCCAACTTTGTTACACATGCACATTTTTATGCAAAACATACACATATATTATATTACACATGCACACAGTCTTACCGTATATCCTTTTAATGCTTTCAGAAAAGAAAAAAGGGACAAGGAATGGCTTGAGATTTTCATGACTTGGAAAAAGAATACAAAAGAGAGAGGAAGGTAAAATGATGAATGTGTCTCTTATTTAGGACAAGGTGTCCATAACTTTCAGGTACTCCAGAAAACACTCTCACTCCGTTCTGGGTCACATTGTCTCCTGGGGACGTGGAAGCAGGGCATCGTTACCCCTCCCTTTTTCTTCATATCCCTCACACACAGTCTCAAACTGTAATACACTCTTTAATTACTGAGTTGAAAATACTTAATCACAGAATCACATCTCTCTAATTCACTCTGTGGACTCAACCTGGTTGTCATTAAAAATAAAACACAGAGGGGTCCTAATAAAGTTATAGAGCTAAACACAAACTTTTGGTTCCTCCTAAAGTTCCTCATCTGAATTAGAATGATTTGCATAGTAAAAAAACTACACAAAAATATTTGAATAGAATATAACTCAACTCAAATGAATCATTTAGGAAATCATACATAGCAATGACTACCATATTGTTAAGAATATTTCAGCATAGGTCAACCCTATAGAGGTTATATGTATTGTATGCATAACCACATTATGGAAGCAAATGTTCACAGACAAAAGGAGGAAAAGAAAAAAAATTCTGAAGTTGAGGCACTAGTGAGGTTTGAGAACTCAATGTGAACACAATGCACTACACTCAAAAAATGTTTATTCAAATGATAAAATTACAGTTAATCCATCTGACAAACTACCTGTGCATTCTTCATAAATACATCAAGCCCTCATACTGAAGATGGCAAAACATGACATTCCAAGTGAACAGAATGGCAAATTGGACAAAAGGTAATTCAACATTGCATCCTTATCAAGTGCAACAAGAATTCCAGCTCTGTTGCATGCTAGATACTAACTATCGGTCCAAAATTACTCCCACTGAGTGTCTGTAGACACCATTGTCCAAAAGACTGACTGAACATAAGATGCTTAAATTCACACCAGTTCCCATCTATAGAAATTGTCCTAATAGATTTTAATAATCTGGGATATTACATAATACATATCCTTGTACACTCACCTAAAGGATTATTAGGAACACCTGTTCAATTTCTCATTAATGCAATTATCTAATCAACCAATCACATGGCAGTTGCTTCAATGCATTTAGGGGTGTGGTCCTGGTCAAGACAATCTCCTGAACTCCAAACTGAATGTCAGGATGGGAAAGAAAGGTGATTTAAGCAATTTTGAGCGTGGCATGGTTGTTGGTGCCAGACGGGCCGGTCTGAGTATTTCATAATCTGCTCAATCACTGGGATTTTCACACACAACCATTTCTAGGGTTTACAAAGAATGGTGTGAAAGGAAAAAAACATCCAGTATGCAGCAGTCCTGTGGGCAAAAATGCCTTGTTGATGCTTGAGGTCAGAGGAGTCGACTGATTCAATCTGATTTCAGAACTTTGAAATAACCACTCGTTACAACCGAGGTATGCAGCAAAGCATTTGTGAAGTCACAACACGCACAACCTTGAGGTGGATGGGCTACAACAGCAGAAGACCCCACCGGGTACCACTCATCTCCACTACAAATAGGAAAAACACAGTATTAGTATGGTTTTCCTATAATCCTTTATGTGAGTGTATAATGAAACTGTTGGTTAAGTTAAGCAACATATCACTAGTTTTCATCTAGATATTCTTATCTAGAAGACAGCTGGAAGTGCTACTGTGCGCCTTTTATAGTGTGTCCACAGCTCAACGAGGTCTTTGGAAGAAGCATTTGGCACAAAATAAATGTCTGAGTGTGAGCATTTTGTTCCCTTGGCATTCCAAAAATACATGTGTTGCGTCACGTTGGCGTAGGGATGGCTGATTGCGCTACCAGTCACACTGGGTAGTGATTTTTGAATATGACGTGCAAATGCATTGCTCTTGAATGATCAATAGCAGATTTAATTGCTGATATGAGAAGACGAAAACAACGAGGATGAGTGTTGCTACAGAACTGTAGCTTCTTCCATGGCGTTGACCCACCTAGAACAGAACAGAATGTTCACATTATATAGGCCAGTAGTAGAACCTAACATGTATGTTATATTTTTTGTATAATGTTTTAGAAAGAAGTCTCTTATGCTAAACAAGGCTGCATTAATTTGATCAAAAATAGAGTAAAAACAGTAATACAGTGAAATATTATTACAATTTAACAGTACTGTTTTTTATTTCAATGTATATATTAAAATGTATTTTATTCCTGTCATGGCAAAGCTGATTTTTCAGCATCATTACTCCAGTCTTCAGTCACATGATCCTTCAGAAATCATTCTATTGTGCTGATTTGCTGCTCAAGAAACATTTCTTATTATCAATGTTAAAAGCAGTTGAGCTGCTTAATATTTTTGTGGAAACCATGATATACTGTATATATTTGTTAAGTTCAAAAAACAGCATTTATTTAAAATAGAATTCTTCTGTAACAATATACATACCGTTACTGTCCCTTTAAATCAATTTAATCCTGAAGAAAAGTATTAATTTCTTTTAAACTCCAAACATTTTGAATGTTTTTATACATCATATACATTTTTATATAAATGTACTGTGAATGTAAAGGTAATGTGTTTTTACCTCAGCGCAGTGTTACTGTCCTGGGCTCTGAAAGTATAGAAGAGAGTACTTTTGTGGTACAGCTGAAACATGCTGCTTTCCCCTTCAACCTCCGGCCTCACAGAGAAACCCAGCAGGGGAAGGGTCTCACATGCGACCCTCTCCTTATATATGAGAAAAAGACACAGGGAGAGATTAGAAACTGCATGTTGCAAGTTAATGTGTGCAAACACGTGACAGTGTGCATTACCTCAGGCTGTGGATATGTATAGAGAACTTTATCTTTTAGGAGGAACCACAGGCTTCTCCAACTTCTCTTGCTGTTCTTGCACCTTTGCAGCGTTCCACTCATCATTCCCTCAGACCCTGTCACCTACGACACATGATAATACATTAATGATTCATAGTTCACCCCAAACTCAAAGGAAAATAAACAAAAAATTTAAAAAACATTTATTTAAAAAAAAAAATATATTATTAAATATTATTAAAATTAAATGTATTATTTTATTACATAATTTATTTAATATAAATTTAAATGTACTCATTTAATAAATAAATAACAAAGTTTAAGTTTATAAGCTCAAATGCTCACCTTGCTCTGTTCCGTGATGCACGTTCGTGACTCTCCTGTTCGAACTCGTTCATCAAAATGAATGAATCTTTTTCCGAGTCAATTCGTTCTTTCGTTGATTGAATGAACCAAACGCCTCGAAAAAAGATTTGTTCATTTTGATGAACGAGTTCAAACAAGATAGTCACAAACGTGCATCACAGAACAGAGCAAGGCGAGTATTTGAGCTTATAAAACTTACATTTTGTTATTTATTTATTAAATGAGCGATCGTTTCGCTTGATAAGACCCTTATTCATCGTCTGGAATCGTTTAAAGCCTTTTGAACAGTTTGCACTGAAAGTGTCTTTTGGACTTTGAACCATTTGGTTCCCAGTGAAGTCCATTATATGGAGAAAAATCCTACAATGTTTTCATCAAAAACCTTAATTTCTTTTCGACTGAAGAAAGAATGACATGGACATCTTGGATGACATGGGAGTGAGTAAATTATCAGCAAAAGTCTTTTTAAAAGTGAACTACTCCTTTAAAGGGTGTATTTATTTATGAGAGTCATCTTCAAGAGCTGCAAGGAAAAGGGTCATAAGTGCAAATCCATTTTTATAGCACTAATACTCCTTCGGCTCCAAACTCAAGAAGGACTGCTTTAAATATGTTCTTAGCAGACACTCTCTTATTAAAGTGACTTACTACATGACAAATGACTACTAGAGCATCATAACCATGCATTTATACAGTAGATGTGAAAAATGTCTTATAATCAAACAATTTTGATGTATTATGTTAGATCAGTGTGAAAAATGATCTACCGAGAGTGCAAACAAATATTTAGATAGTATTTCGATATAGATATGAATCCAGAGGTTATGAGATACCTGGTTGAAAGATAAATGGCCTTTGCGGCTCTTCCATAGACTTGAAGGATGAATGTTTTGGAAGACAGCAGAGAGCGGTCGACTGGAGCTCTCCGTTATTGCGGCAACATCTTTCAAACAGATAAACACACATATGAGAGTCGAGCATAACTAGGTTTAATTGATAAAACTATTTGAAATGAAATCAAAGATATTGTGGTTGTACCATTCTTACGCAGTTCAGTGTAACAATAATCGCACACTTTGGCACGTCTGTTCTTCATATATTTCAGGGGGAATTTGTTCCTGCAACAATCTCTGCAAACAACCTACAAGTAAGATAAGATAGGAAAAATAGAATTAACAGAGCGTACTGGTACTCTATTGAAGTATGGGTTACACTTTATTTCACGTCCACTTTAGACATTTAAGTAACATTGAATGTTACTAACTTTAAGTAACATTGCAATCACATGTCAATTAACTCTCATTAGAGTATTAGTAGACTGTCTGTTTGATATCTGCTGACACTTTATTTTGATGCTATTGACTATAAGTAACTTTGCAACTACATGTCAACTTTTACTTACCCTAATCGTCTAGTAGAGTCTAATAATACTCTAATGACTAGTTTTTGACATGTAGCTGCAAAGTTACTTATAGATTTTAGAATGTTTAAAGTGGACAAATGGAAATTAGTATGTTTCTCTGTATGCATTTGTACCTTGCCACAGGCATGGCAGTGATGTCGTCTGTTTGTGAGGCTGAAATGTGTGGGACAGTTCATGCAAACAGTCACCTGGGAAACAGACAACAGGGGAGGAGCGTTCTCACCGAGACACATCTCTGGGCCCTCCACTAACTATAACACAAGACAAATTCAAAACAGAAGACAAAATGTCAACTCTTTCAGGCTTCACGTTGACATTTTATCATACTGTCTGTAAAGCTTCCTAACCTCAAAACAGTCCACTAGGTCTCCTGATGCTGGGCCAAGATCCACCAATGTCCGATTCAGTGTCACAAACCAACTGTCCCGTTCGATGCAGGAGCTGCACACGGGAACACATGCATCAGTCATGCTGACCACATACACATGCATGCTTGGGTGAGTGAGTGCATTTATGTCACTTGCCTGGCAGACAAAGTGATGCTTATATCGTTCACTTCTATCTTCAGTGCACTCTGAGCATTCTCTATAGGTGGCTTGCTGACCTGAAAGACAAGAGGTTTAATAATTACAATTCACTCCCTGTCTGTGTTCAGACAATTTATGGAGCTCAAAAGGAAAAATAAATTGGAAATTAAGATTCTATAAGAGGAAAGGCAAGAATGAGAGAAGGGAAATAATAAATAAACAAATAAAATCTATTTAGGAATATTTTTAAAACTTTTTTAAACATAAGAAAGCAAACTAGAACATGATGAAGAGAACAATCTGCCATGCTTTATGGATTTTAATTAAGTGTATTCTCTTATTTTTTATGCTTTTTTCCTCATTATTTTAGTTCTGTATTCTCATCTTGTTCTCTATTAAGCCTTTTTAGATCTTTACATTCTTCTACTAGTTATACTTTTCACATTCCCAGCTCAAAGATGATAAAGGCAGAATAAGTATTTCCCAATAAGAGCTAGATTTATTCAACACAATGACATAAAACACTGTGCTACACCCAAACATTACCAGACAACAAATGAATGAAAAGGAGGAACCTAAATACACAGTGGTGATGAGACAATGACAAACAGATGTGATGATTAATGAGTGTCCGTGATGACTAACGATTGGTAGGAAACTAGGAACAATGGAAACATAGGAAACAGGTGACTGACGAATGCAAACTAAAAGTCCACGAAAACGAAATGTATTACTATTTTGAATAAGCTTTTATTTTTCACTTTTGTTTGTTTTTATTTAATTGTATGTGAAGTTTTAGTAATTTTGTCATTTTATTAATTTTTAAAACTATTTCTATTTAGCTTTTTTTATTTATACTTCAGTTTTACTCTAGTAATTGTATTAATCCTATTTTGCTTCAGTTAGTTGCCAAGGCAACATTTCCAATTGTCACCAAGTTTTAATCTAGCAAGTTCAAGTTTTTGTTCTATAATATTTATTTTTATTTTTTTTTCAATTTGTGAAAATTATTTTTAATAGTTAAAAATAACAACACTTATATGGTTATAATCAGTATATTGTAAAAATGCTGCATTAGTGTTATGCCTATGAAAAAAAAAAGATTTCCAAGAACCATTATGCATTATTGAACTGTATAAATTTCCATGAATGTGGTCATTCCTACCTCCATCCCTGCCAATGGTAATCTGTTGATGAGTCTGAATTTGCAATCTTGCTGAGGATATGTGTAAAGCATTATGTCATTCATCTGAAAATGTAAAATTTTAAGGCTTAGAAATACATAACTTACACAACATACATGTAACATACAAGCACAAATAATTACTTGATCATTTTGTTATTTGCACACCAAATTTTCACCACAAGGGAGCACTATGAGGTCCGTTTTGACCACAGGTTGCTTTGCTGCAGTCAGTGACGAACACAAGCAGCAGCTGGGTTTAGACAAGCTTTCAAGGTATGATAACATAGTAATCTAGAACAAATTCAAACGTGCATTCAACTTTTGATATTACAAAGCAAATAATCACTGACTAGAATACTTCTCTGTGTAATAGAACCAGTTGTCATTAATTACTCGGTCTGACGCCATCTTATTCTTTCCAACAAATCATGTGCACAGGATTATGAAGAAAACAACTATACTGCTAAACAACCAAATTTCATCTTTGGACAGGATTCTTACCATCAGATATTGTCTGATAAGGAAGCATATTTTGTCTTCTGAAATGTTAATCAATGGTGCATAAGAAACTACGATATGCCACAGACTGTCTCCTCCATCAAGTAATAAAACATGAAGGATATTCGAGCTCAGCACTCTGGGGGCCAGATGCCCGTCTCATGGCACAACTGTCCGTCTGGCTTTAAACTCTAGAGTCTTTCTGACAGCCCATCTCACATCCATCCTGTCACCCTCGGTTCTGTTATCTTAAAAGATCGCTCTGTCCCCGTTCCCACAGACTTATTCTGGGGTGAGAGCAGCCCGGCAAAAACAATAGCACATGTAGACATAAACACACACAGAACAACATCCTGCCAGGAAGCTCAAAAAACAAGTAAAACAGCTCACAAACACAAAGGAGAGATACTAGAGACTATGTAGAAAGAAAGCAACCATGTGTCTTGTGTGCTCAACACTCACAAACTCATCTCAGCAAACAAAAGTGATATATAAAACCAAATGACAGAGAAGATTTTCAGTTGTGGTTTCAAAAATATTTGTATAATGGATAATCAAATTGCAAAAGTATTGAGCGTAAAAGCACATCAAATCGGCTCTCGTACCAAGAAAAGGTGACGTGGCTGCTTGCACTTTCTGCTGACCTTCATCAGGGTGCCCTCTTTCACAAACACCTACGGCAAAGATACGGAAACAATTTCATTAACTAAATCTGACAGGATAAGAGGTATAAGGTGTTATGTGATCAGTAAGCCATTGAATTTCTCACTCTCCCAGGCTGAAGGAGATCTGTCAAACCCAGAACGCTGTGTTCAATGTGGACCAAACGCAGGAGATCTGCCTGACAGAGAAAAAAAAAAACAAGGTAAATTCCGTTACATGTCACAATGGTGTCATATACACATTCGGCCTTGGTTCCACACACATATAACCTTGTAGACTCTGCAGGCACATTAGGCCAACACACACATACTCACTCCATTCTTAAGGCTGTCATTGGCGTGATAAGCTACATCTGAGACCACAACCAAAGCATCTGAGGGGCAAGAGAGTAATAGCATCTTAAGATTTTATATTTTAATACATTGGCATTTTCAACATTTAAAAATATTGTTATATTATTGTATTATATTAATACACACACACACACACATTTATGTTAGATGTGATTAATGTGATTAGAGCTGGAGATTCCATATACAATATATACCGGTATTGTAAATGGAATTTTAGACATGATTGATGATCAGTTAGATCAATTAATATATTGCAAATATTTTAATGACCTATATTCAATAATTATGAATAATAATATAATATATAAAAATACTGTAGTTTCTAAAACTGTATATGCAATAATTACACAATCAATATAAAAATGTTAAAATAAATTTATATTAAGCATGGTAAGTCACACTGCAGAACACCTCCCTCTCTTTTAGCAGCACCTAAATAAATGATTATCATATATAAATAATGCAGAAAGGCTTGTTTAAGAGGATTAATGAAAATGCACGATGGGGTCAAAGGTCATTTGCCTTTTGTGAAACTATCTTGAAGATCTGAGATTTGTGGTTGCTTAAGTAAATCAATAATACACACTGAGAGATAAGACCAAAGGTTTCCATTTCAATTGCAAACATGCCAAGATAAGAATCAAACATCAATTTCTGAAAATTGATGAAAACTAAATTAGGAAAAAAAAGTGGCTTCCTAAGTAAATTAAGTAATGTATTTTACCTTGTGTATTTGCAAACTCTCTGCTGTCTGGTGAGAGGTTATTTAGGTAGTCTGTTAGAAAAAAACAAACAAATTTAAAGTAATATGAAACATAAAATTAATAAAGAAGAACATGAGACTTAACATCTTTAACAAACAAACATATTTAGACGTCACCTGTTAGCAACATACGGTACTGTAGGATACGCACAATGACCTGCAGGAACTGCTTTTTCAGGGTCACTGCATCTAGAAGCTGAGATATAAAGCACAGTATTGTAATATTAAAAAAATAAGCAAATACCTGCCATCCGAGTAATTAAGCACAATAAGTAGACATTCACATAGCATATAGTACAAAACACACAGTACAGTTTGAACAGCTACACTAAACAATTATGGCTGGTGGATGCATATGCCTAATAATAAACATATATTTGATTCTTTTAGTGTTGTCAATCAATGAAAAAAATCCTTACTGTGCTTTGTATGTGTTCCAGATAATTCAATTTGTCATCATAATGACTGATGTAAGAAGAGAAAATGGAAAACTCTGTCTTCTTTGCCAGGATGATTTCAGCAATACCTTGATTCTGATCCCTGATGAATGGAGTGAAATGGGAAACAGATGAAATGATGACAGATGATCATAATTTGGGGATGATAACAGTTGAAGGTAGCATATGCGCATGCTTTTGTGAGAGCGTCTTACCATTCTTTTAAGTGGGTCTCCAGTAAAGTGTGGATATTTTTGTGGAGAGTACAAATATCAGGTACCTCTGTCCACACTGTCATCAGCCTCTCATCGGCTTCAAGTGACTATTAAAGGAAGGGTATTTCAGTATTTTGAAGATGCACACTATCATTATTTATCTAATTTTTCATAATCACATCAACATATTTCCACCTAAAAACCCCAGGCAAACATACAACGTCATTAATGAAAATATGAATGACTCACCTCACAGAGAAGTTGTAAAGTCTTAACATGCCTTGAATGAAGAAAAAAGAGGCATGTTGGTAATAATATTTTATTTCTATTCAATTGTTTTTCAATTATGAAAATAATTTGAGAATACACTTGAGATGTTGTTTTCATGACTTACTGGGCCTCACTATCCAGAAGCTCTTTGGCACAATAGAAAGCCCTGGAGCAGTTGACAGTCTGAAAAAAAAAGACAGCTGAGTTTCAATAAGTTGTAACAAATGCATGCAAGACACATAGAAACACTAATAATAAGCTCACCAGTTTGTCAGATGTCTTTGTCTTTTTCTCTTGAGAACTAGTTACACCAACAGAAACACCCACTGTTCCATCTGGCCTCACATTAGGAGAACAGAAAGTGTAGAGGCTAAATAACAGAAAAGGTAAAATCAGAACACATAAGTCAAAAAGTGTTTAAAAAAATATGGACAATAAACTTTACTGACAAAAACATAATCATAAAAAGTGGTACTCTACTTATCCTACGCAAGACTTTGAGTACTTATAACTACAATTTTAATAATAAATTTTTAATGTGTACAAACTAAAAGATTTATTCATTCACATGAAGTAAAAAACAAAACAAGAATGTACAGGTTATTGTGGACACTGTCAGCATAGTCTCTATGACTGTAAAAATGAAGAGGTAAGATCTGATGTCATACTAAAGGTCTTAAATGAACACTTGTCACTTGATGTCATGATTCTTAGATAAGGTAAATAATCCTGAAAATATATCCAAAGATTTGCTTAATTATTGTATCTTTTGTAATTAGCTTTTGTAATATAATCGGTTCAGTTAAAAACATACATTAAGGGGGTTGCAAATATGTCTAGTACATTTAGAAATATATAAATATTTACTATCATCAGATTACCAAAAGATTAAAAGTAGTTCACTTTTGAAAAACTTGTGCTGATAATTTACTCACCCCCATGTCATCCAAGTTGTCCATGTCACTCTTTCTTCAGTTGAAAAGAAATTAAGGTTTTTGATGAAAACATTCCTGCATTTTTCTCCATATAATGGACTTCATTGGGAACCAAACGGTTTAAGGTCCAAAAGACACTTTCAGTGCAAACTGCAAACTGTTCAAAGGGCTTTAAACCATTCCAGACGATGAATAAGGGTCTTATCAAGTGAAACGATCGCTCATTTAATAAATAAATAACAAAGTTTAAGTTTTATAAGCTCAAATGCTCGCCTTGCTCTGTTCTGTGACGTACGTTTGTGACTCTCCTGTTCGAACTCGTTCATCAAAATGAACGAATCTTTTTCTGAGTCATTTAGTTCATTCAACGAACGAAATGAACAAACTGACTTGGAAAAAGATTTGTTCATTTTGACCTTATAAAACTTAAACTTTGTTATTATTTTTTTTAAATGAGCTATCGTTTCGCTTGATAAGACCCTTATTCATTGTCTGGAATCATTGCCCTTTGAACAGTTTGCAGTTTACACTGAAACTGTCTTTTGGACCTTAAACCATTTGGTTCCCAGTGAAGTGCATTATATGGAGAAAAATGCTGGAATGTTTTCATCAAAAACCTTAATTTCTTTCCTACTGAAGAAAGAAAGACATGGACATCTTGGATGACATGGGGGTGAGTAAATTATCAGCGAAAGTTTTTTGAAAAGTGAACTAATTCTTTAGCCTTAGTTTTCAATATGTTAAATAACACATTGCTTATGATCCCAACAAGGTCTGTCTAGTTCCTCAAAACTGTTTTTTTTTTATTTCACAACTGTATTGAAATGAATCCTGAGCCTCATATTAATAATATAAAATATAATTAAACACCATATTAATATATAAACAATTGTACCTATCTGTCTCTTGCTCAGATGACTGACTTTTGCTCTGGAAGCCTGGCAGACTGCTCATATCCACATAGCCATCCGTATCATTGGTTGAACTCTGATTTCGTTGACTCTGAATGACTGGTTTCAGGAGGCGAATCTGCACATTCTCATAGTGAGAAGCAGCGGTTTGAACGTTCTCGTATTCCGATGAATCGGTATTGGGAGATGAAAAAGATCGAGGTTTGGAAAGGGGAAGAGGCTCAAAGAGGGAGCCTGGCTCAATAGAAATGCTGCTAGAAGTCAAATCATTATTAAGAGTGAAGTTTAGTCCTTGTTTTTGTCTACTTTTGTGGAAGAGATAGGAAGAAGGGGACACAGGTGGTGTGCAATCGGGAGCGTTCTGCAACTCCAGGCTGCCCATGTTATGCCTGATAAAATCCAAGCGTTTGCATGACACTTGTGGACTTGACTCAGACGAGGACCTGGAGGAGATCGAGCTGTTATCCATCACACTTTTCCGATCGGATTTCCTAAGGAACCGTAGCGGCAGAAGGTATCGTTTAAACCCGAAATCAGGCTTCTTGCAAGAAGCGGAGATTTCGTTCGGGAGGGATGGAGAACTTTTTCTGATTGGCCGCTTTGTGATGGATGCGAGTTCAAAAGGGGGTGGAATATCCACTCTTGTAACTTTAGCTAAGTTTGAGGAGAGGGTGCCTTGTGAAAGACACCCTAATGAACCAGTCAATGCAGGCCTACTATCTTCAAGGAAACACTGATCCGTATAGAAGGAGCGTGGGTGTAGCAAAAGTCGCCCATTTCCTGGTGCAGGGCTAGCCATTAGGTCAACTCTTTTGCTGGGGGTTTCCACCGATATAGAGCGAGTCATAAAGTACTTCCTGTTCTGAAGAAAGCCTTTGGCTTGGACTTTTGGCTCGGTCTCTTCATACACGTGATCTACTGCGAGTTCTTTTCCTTCAGATATACTCAAGTGGTCACTTGCAACTCCTTTTTCTTCACCAATGCTCTCTTCATCTTGATTTTGTTGTAAATTTTGGCCTTGAGTTTCAGGTTGCTGTTGACCAAGCGAGAGGGTGCTGCTGATGACCTCAAGATTTAATGAGGCAGACATGGCTTCATCATGATCAGCCACATATTTGCTAAAATAGTTTTGATTTGCATCTGGTACATCATCATCTGAGATAGCATCAGAGCCTGAAACAATAAATGGCTGAGAAGAAGAAGAAGCCTGATCGGACTCAAGGAGATTTACATCTCCACTGTTTGATGAGAGACAGTCTGGAGACTCAGTAGAAGCACTTTTGACTGACAAATAATTGTTTCCCTTTTTCTCCATTTTCTCTTTTTCCACCTGCATTTCATCGTCCTCTTCCTCAATGGAAGTTGAAGACAAATCAGAGCTGTTCAATCCATCCTCAATGGTAAGCATCATAATATCTCCATTGATGTTGTCCTCTGTCTCTGTTTTTTCAAGAGGCTCTGTTTGTTCAAAGAGATCACACTCAGAGAGTCCATCTTTGTCAGCTAACGCCTCACCTGCATCACAAATATCAGGGAACATCCCATCTATGTCTTCTTCAAGTGAAAACATGCATGGGATTATATCATCAGGGCAAAATTCTTCAATGAAAGTCCTACTGGTGCATATGTTGTCGTACAGTATTCTGTCTCTGTCTGTTATGCATCCATAAACTTTATTAGAAGCCATATGAACATCACTGGAACTTTCATGTGATGTTGATACACCATTTTTAGTCAGTCCCCATGCTATCTTCCCTATGTCTTCTACTTTTATCTGCTCTACAACATTATCACCCACTTCTCTTTTACTGGATGAATCAGAGAGAAGGTCCATTGACTCTTCCTCATCCTCTGATTTAAATGTCTCACTTTCTTCTAAACCTTCCACCAAATCTAAATCTATTCCCTGTGCTAACTCATCGCCGCATCCTAACTCATCCCCCTGTTCCAGAATAGCATCCGGTTTTGCCTCATCTGTTTGTACTGTCTTTTCCGTACAATTTTTTTTCTCTGTCTTCCTCTCTTGTGACCCCTCCTGTTTCAGGACTATTTTTCTATGCATTTCCATAATACGCCCTCTTGAATTAGGAGGACTTAGATGTTTGTTGGTGTGGAGTGGAAAGTGCATGTGGAAGTTTGAACTGAGCTGATGCTGGAGATATTTTCTAGGTTTGGATGCAATTTTTGGTTTTGGTTCTTGATTGGCACAGTACTCTTCAGGAATGGGTGGTTGACATTGCATCTCGAAAAGAGGCTCAGCCTGGAAGTGTTTGGGGTCCAGGGGGTGCTCTTGAAACTCTAAAACACATTGTGTAATAAGTAAATATTAATATTTACTAAAACATTGCTGGAAAGTAACACTGCAAACATTGTAACAATTCAGGGCAGTTCCTTCTGCTTTATGCATTAAGATATGGGCACAAAATTTAGAATAAGATGTAGAGTAAAAATACAAAAAAAAAATTGAAATTCAGAAATTCACTTTTCTATATAAAATTGATTGTATGATATGTACACAATTGTATTGACATATTATAAGGTGTTAATTTGTATTTTATATTTTTCATACACTTTTATTATGCATTCAGTGTTCATTTACTTATTTTTAAAATGTTTAGGTATGTATGTATGTATATATATATATATATATATATATATATTAAAGTGAATTGATGAATACAGTTTGATGTAAAATTAATGACTCCAACAAATGTGAGTCTTGAAGCTGACTTCTGCTGATGAAACTGCAAAACTATGTTCAGTAAAACTTTCTTTAATTTTTTATAATTCTGACTGCAGGTCTTGATTCTTAATATTCTTAATATTCTTAACTGTTAACTTTATATATATATATATATATATATATATATATATATATATATATATACACAAAGAGTAAAATAATAAAAATAAATAATTTAAGTTTGCACTGTGTTTTAAATATAATTTTAACTACAGATTTTAAATATAAGTTTCACTTTCAAACACAGTTTATAGAGTGGAAATTGTATGTATAATTACTTCCATTTTGCCCAAATTGTCCATATCTTATGAAACATTCTCATAAATATAAAAATATTAATATGTTAAGACAAAAACAGTCCTGGCATTTTGGATTAGCAAATACCCTATTGTAATTTACACGTGTTCTACTTGAGTATTTACCAATAGCCTAATTAAATATCTAACCAGTCAGATCAACTGTAAATTATCGAAAGGAGAGCTACAATAAACTTGATAATATTTCACATACTTTCAGACATTTCCCACAGACACATATTCCTCGTTTCCTAAATTACCATAGCCTACTACTTGTTTTTGGTTACAGAATCGTGTTAAAAACTCACCACCGGTCATTGTCGAACATCATCTATCCGAGCCGAGGCACGGCAAAACGGGTCAAATCCATTTGAAAACAATGAAATCGTAATCCTATGAGAATTTACCCTGGATTATAACACGAGATTATATCACATCCACTGCGTTCTCTGCGTTTTGCGGTAAAGCAGTGCAGGACAGTGCTCACAGCACGAGCGCGCGTGCACACACACACACACACACACACATACACTCACGGTCGAGACTTGCCTTGACTTCCTGAGGAAAGGGCGTCAAGACAAAAAGAAAACATAAATAGTTTTTGAATAAGGAAAATGGTATTTTTATAGGCTATAGCTATATCTTTAATATGCATACATAGGCCTATAGAGTTTGTAGAAATATGAGAAGCACACAGATCTGAGGAAGGAAAACAAATATTTGTCTCACAACAAATAATGAGTATAAAACATAAAATTACCTAAAATAAATGCATTATATAGAGAAATGTGCTTTGTTCAAAGTTAACTGAGGGCAATATATGGCGGCTTCAAAGGTTTGCATTGCAGGAGGAACCTCTCTTATCCTGCATTTAATCTTCCTTATGGCAATATGTCGAGTATAAATGAGCATATTACCACTTTAGGGGATTGAATTTGTCCCTAGTCATTTTGTTCCTAGCAAGCATTCATGATGCCCCCTCAAAAAAAAAAAAAAAAAAAAAAAAAACCTGCAGAGGATTATAGATTAGATTCTCTCGTGTAAAGCTCTTATGATAATATCAGTCACAGGTTAAATCCAAATAGTTCAAATGTCAGTTGTTCAGATGGCTAAAGTAAAGCTTTAAAAAAAAAGAAAAATAATCATCAGTTTTTAGCTGATAACTTCAAATGTACTGAACTGGCCCATGAGTTGATACAGGAGTAAAACATGCATCTGTTATTTTTGCATGTATGATTAATAGTAGGAAGTCTTTTCTATAGGCCTAAATAAGGCCATGACCTTTTCCCAACATCTCTACAGAAATATGCTTCCTTCCTCAAACGTCTTTAGCCTGAGTTCAGGCTGGGGTAGTGTGAGCAGGTCTGGAGAAGAGACAATTGAAGAGTTTTTCAAAAAAACTTTAAACCTAGGACTTGTACCTAACTTTACTTATGTATTTATTTACTCTAATGGTATTTGTGTACAAATTTTATTTAGGTGTCCTTTCTGTAAAACATTTTTGTTGCTTTATTTAGATAGGCATATAATGAATTTTAATCTTTATTGCAGGATTGAATATTTTACCTGTTCCAGATTGTTGGGACACCATGACAATAAAAGTGTCACAAACTTGGGATAAACAAAAAAAAAAGAAAAAAAGAAAAAAAGAAAAGAAAGTGTATTACTTTGTGTTAAGAGTTGCATGTACAACATAACTGGATCACATCATGCACGACACACTCATATCTCATCATATTCATATCTCCATGTTACTTTTGGAATCGCAATGGCAACTGAACAAAGGTGGACAGCATTATTGATATCTTCTTCTCCTCTCCACTCACTGCCCACATAAATAAACAAGGTTATAAGGCAAATTTCTTATCCTTGATTCATAGCACACTCAAAAAGGCTCAATACCTTCAGACACAATAGTTAGTCACAACCTGAGTGTATGATTCTGGTGTTTTCACTCACATTGCAGTCAAATAAAATGCTGAAAAATGAAGATCTCAGCAGTTCGCTAACAGCAAGTAAGCAGCTAGTGAACCTGCTGTAGTAAAATATTAAGCACAGGCACTACAATCATATAAACATACACATAAAGATGGTGGGGACAAACACACTGACACGAAATCACTGTTCATCGTTTGAACAAAGAAGGGAAAAAACACCCTGAACACTCCACCCTTTCCAGTTCAAGCAGGAAATGCTGAGCATGATTTAAAGTAGGTTAAGTGTTCATCAAGGATTCTGTTTTATCTGAGCATCAGTCCTTTTGATCATACATTTGCATGTGTTCAGTTTTCATTGCAAATGTACTAGTCCCTGTTGATTTGTGTTGATGCAAGATATCACAGGTATATTTATTTAATGCTAACTCTGACTAGAGCATTATATTTCATGACAGCAATGATATAACACACACAAAAAAGTTAAGGAAATGAGATCATCTGTTAAGGAAGGATGAATTTGCAGATGAATCTTAACAGAGCTTAGCTAAAGCTTTATTGGGTTAAAAAGCCCATATATATGTATATATGTATATATATATATATATATATATATATATATAAAATCGTGGTGATAAAAAGAGTAGCATACAATGTTTATGAACTTACATTTCATGCAGGTAGAAACCCTGAAGGTCACTATCTTTGGAAAGTACCATTTTTAGAAGCAGTTTAACATTTTTTTTTTTAAAGAAAAAAAATCATAAGGTTAAAGTAACCTTTTTATTGGTCAGCCCTCAAAGGTCAGATCGCTAGGACACAATAAGACATGATAAGTTTTTTTTAAAAGTTTATTTAAAGCTTTATTTAATAAGAAAGATAATTGTGCAGAAGTAATTTAAAATCAATTTGAATATATATATATATATATATATATATATATAATTAATACACATAAATATACAAACAAATAAAGAATAAACAAACCCTGGAAATCAAAGCATGTTGAAAAGATCACTGAGGAGGACTGTTTCATCATCATCATCCTCAGGCCCAAAATTAAAACTCCATCCTTCATAAGCAGGTTGTTCACCCATAAAAAAGTCACCATCCAACCGGAGCGTATGAAGTAGCTCCTCTAGACTAAAATGCTGAAAACCCCTTTTACTATGAAACACTTCTTTATTGATGAAAGGTTCCGTGTCCTCATTCTGATCTTTCTTGAACTTTCTCTCTCTGTCCTGATCAGGGTTAGTTAGATAGTTCATTTGATCATAGACTCGCCTCCTCTCTTTGTCAGACAGCACCTCATAGGCTAAAGGGGAAAAAATGGAACAAAATGATTAATAAAATACTTTAGTTTGGTAGTGAATAAATGTATTTTAGGATGTACACTTGTGCACCCACACACACCCTGAGCAATGTGTGTGAAGGTCTGCTGTGCATTTGGGTGTTGGCTCTTATCAGGATGGTGTTTAAGGGCCAGCTTGTGAAATGCTTTCTTGATCTCCCTTGAAGATGCAGAGCGAGGAACTCCAAGAACTGAGTAATAATCACTCACACAAATACAGGTACACACACATAACAGAAGCACCAAGCATAAATGCTCTGCTGACGACATCATTCACCTGAAGATCAAATGAGAATAATAAACCATTAAACCTACACATATAGGCCAACTATTCAAACATCAAACCTCAAAACATATTTAATGTACTAGCAGAAAATAAACATCTGGCATCTGTTAACAAATTATGCCAAGTATTTAAGCCATTTTTTCATCATAAGTAACGTAGCGTTTATTTTCCATAAACGCAATTGCTTTTAACTTTCTTTTTTTAAACCAATCCATTCATCAAGGTGTCCTATCAGAGCAATCACAGGTGTAGTTCATCACATTAACTATGGACATGCTCGATGCTCCACTAAATTTGAAAACCAGAAAGTAGCTTATTGTTTGAAGTTTTGCTAGTATTGGTAGCCTGGTGCCCGCGCGCACACACAATTATAATACAATATACAATGAAATTCACACTTTTCTAGTGTCCAAAAACTCTTAGGCCCACTAAGGTTTCATAAGAAAGAAATTCATAAATTTCAGCAAACTTACCAAAGTAGGCCAATTATTAATACACCCAGAGCATTCCCTGAAAATTAAGTTACTTAATCACGATCAATAAACGCAGACTTTTCTTCGTGAACGAATTGTTTTATATGGATCTTTAAGTGTGAATCATTACAAAAGATTTGATTCATTCGGATGATTCAAAAGATTCATTATGCCACTAACATCCATTGATTCGATTCATTCGGATGATTCCAAAGATTCATTACGCCTCTAACATCCATTGATTCGATTCCTTCGTATGATTCCAAAGATTCATAATGCCACTAACATCCATTCACGTGAGGGCGCTGTGTTTTTGCCCGCATGTCTCTTCACGGTAGTGCTTCTTCTTGAGAGCGGATTGTAAACACACGGCTATGGCTGCTGAGAGGGGCGGAGGCGACAACGACGTTAACGACGAAATGGGGAACCAACTACAGCTCCTGCCAGGTACGAAATGCTATTTGTGTCCTATTAAACACGGAGTTATATCAGAGTCGAAACCATGACATCTTAATGTCCTCCTCAAAACTTGAAGGGAGATCTTTACAGCAGTCGCCGTGCATGACAGCTGACAGGTTTTCTTTACTGAAACTGAAAGTGTCTGCGTACACATGTTATTTAGATTAGAACACACAGTATTTGCACTTGTGTACACGTTTAGGAGCTGTAGCAAAATGAATGCAACAATATTTTGAAGTCAAGTGTTGTACGTATGTACCTAGATGAGATGAGAGAGACTATGTATTTAGATGAGATTTACTTTTTGCTTAGTACTGACTTCATGTGTGCAAGTTGTCCTCAGATGACTCATTGTAATGTAGTAGTTGACAAAATGAAAGTAGAAGTAATAAGTGGAAGTGGAGTAAATAATAAGAGGAATTATATTCCACTTCTAATCTTTTTTTATTTATTTTTTTGATAGAAAATGAAGAGGAAGAGGAGGATATCATGGAGACCGAGGATCGAGATGGTGAGGATGCAGAAAAGCCAAGTATTATAAACTTTGACACAAGTCTGCCAACTTCACACGCTGTGAGTGTCATCTATCATCAGTACTTTTAAACACTAATAAGATTAAAATCATTTTCAGGATATAGCTCTTTCACTCATTTGAATTCATTAGCGTGCACGTTGATATTAAATAAGTAATTTATGGATCCATTTTTGCTGTAAAAGAAATCTCAATTTATAGAAATAATGTAACTAAGTCATCAATAGTTTTTTATTTTATTTTGCATGTTCGTCTTCATTTGTGTGTGCATTGTGAAGTATCTGGGCTTAGACATGGAGGAGTTTCACGGCCGTACCCTGCATGATGAGGACAGTGTGCAGAATCTGCCAGTTCTTCCCCACGTCGCTCTCATTCTGATCCCAGGTCAGACGCTGCCCTTGCAGCTTTTTCGACCACAGGAGGTCAGCATGTTCCGCAACCTCATAAGCCAAGACCGCACGTTTGCCGTGCTTGCACAAAGGTATTAACAGACACAATATGTAGAATAATAACTCCACATTAATGATCACGTACCTTTGATTCCTCTTCAAAGACATTATTTAAGCAGGTTGCAGTAGAGGGTTTGCAGGTGTATTGATATTTCTTACATTTAGACATGTATGTCATAGTTTGACCAGGTTTCTATTTCTCTCAGTCCTGATGGGAGTGGAGCAGAGATAAAGGCAGAGTTTGGGACGACGGCAGAGATCTATGCATTTCGTGAGGAACAGGAGTACGGCATCGAGACAGTGAAGATCAAAGCTATTGGACGGCAACGCTTCAGAGTGCATGAAATTCGCACACAAGCAGATGGGTAGGGATATTCACATGCTTTCAGTGGGTACAACACTATTTTATATTGAATTCAGTTATGTAATGATAAAAACTTTTTTTTAACTATATATTTCGTAGGATTCGTCAGGCAAAAGTACAGATTTTATCGGAAAGGATTCTGCCAGACCCTTTATGTGCACTGCAATTCCTGCCCTGCTTGCAAACCAGCACTCCACAGACCAAATGCTCACAAACAACACCACAGCAGGACCGGTGCAGCCAGACCTACAGACAGGTAACTGACATACAGATAAATGCACATCACTTTAGACCACTTTAGGAAACATCCAAGGGGGTCACAGGATGAAATGTATAATATTGTAAGTAAAGTGCTGTTGTAGTTGTTATTATATTAAAACATCTAACTATTATTAATGCACTAAAGATCTAACTTAATTAACCCTAAAACTGTATTCTGGACAAATGTGGGCAAAATAGTTTTGATTTATTTAAAAAAAATATTTCCCTTGATCTGAGCGGTACAAGACTTGGCTACTTTTCCTAAGTTTGCCTCCTGAACACACACAATTTTTTTTGACTCAATTCTACAATGTTAAGTGGGTAAAAAAAAAAAAAAAAAAAACCCTCCTTAATCTTGTATTTGGGTCAAAAATGGGCACCCATAGAAATGAATGGGAAAAACTGTAATTTAGAGCATTCTAAAATAAGCAAAGTCTTCAAAAGGTGACTTCATCTTTAGGTATTAGCTCTAAGAACTTATTGGAATGAGATTTTAATGTACTTTAAAAAAAATAAATAAAACTTAAAAATTAGCATAATTTACATAGAAAATATGGTACATTTTGAAGTAAATAAATTCAAAAATACCCCCAAAATAAAAAAAAAACCCACCATAAATGGATAGACAAAACTTTATCGAAGACATTGATATAACATTTATAATAAATAAAAATTAGGATCATACCCGAGTCCTCTGTGCCCACATTTGTCCACAATTACAGGATTAAGGGCTATAAAGTCAATATGGTTTGAGGGCTATAATGCTAAAAAACATTTACTCAAGATTAAAACTGAAATACCCCCCAATAACTACTTTTTTAAAGAACATAGTTTTTATATATATATATATATATATATATATATATATATATATATAATTGGACTAGTTATTCTACTTTATCAATGTTTTGCCATTACTTTTACACATAACTTACATGTCATTTTCCATCTCACTTTCTTTCATAGAAGAAACTCCATTGTGCTGGTATGACCTCATGGCCTCCCTGGGTGTATGCCCTATATGACTCTGTGAGTTTGATCTCTTATTATCAATTTGATTATATCATAAACAATATATTTTACACCATACATTATAAAGTCATAAAGGGGCAGTTTTTTTTTACCATTTTACCTCTTTGAAATTAGAGAGACCTTATTTACTCATTGTAAATATTATTTAACTTTTATTCTTATTATTTATTTAGATTGTAAATACATTGATCCGTTTCTAAAAGGTACAATCTCAGCAAACTATCATCATCATTTAGATATTATTGACAACTGATGGTTGTGTTTGTGTTTCTCTCCAGAAAACTCTCATGAGCAGAGTAAAGAAACAACTCCATGAATGGGATGAAAACCTCAATGACGAGTCCCTGCCTACAAATCCCACAGGTACACACTGAGAATGAACACACAGACACTTTCAGGCTCACACACACAGTCAAGTAGTTAAAAATGGTCTCTCTCTCTCTCTGCAGATTTCTCATACAGGGTGGCCGCATGTCTACCAATAGATGATGCTCTACGACTTCAGCTACTGAAGATTGGCAGTGCCATCCAGAGACTGCGCTGTGAGTTGGACATCATGGACAGGGTGTGTATGTGTATAGTTGCCTTTGTCTATTAATCTTCATATTCGTCTATTTGTCTAGGAGTTTGTTATATTTATTGTAAAATGCAGGAAAAGATCATGTTCATATTTGTTCTTGTCTCTTTACAGTGCACCTCTCTCTGCTGTAAACAGTGTCAGGAGACAGAGATAACCAGCAAGAATGAGATCTTCAGGTTAGACAATTACTTTTTTTTTTTTTAATGGTGAGAACTTAATTTGATAATGTAGTTATATTATTTGGCAATTGAGGAGAATTAAAGGGAAAGATTACTAAAAATATATATTTTATCATCAAGGCACCAAAGCCACGTCAAGCACCAATGAGGAAAAAGCACCCTAAAAGTTTCATGAAAGTGGTAGTATAAACACTTCATCCATGTATTTCTTTCATTAAAAAAACAAACAAACAAACAAACATTTAGACATTTTTTTCATCTTCTGGTGAAAAAACTGACTTCTCTCTGGTGCAGAAGTTGCAACACAGAAGTTGCTCTATGTTGTGACATATTTCCAAGTAAAACAGAATATTGAGTTTTACTTTAGCGCACCTCTTCTCTATCCCTCGCTCATAGCAGACTGATGGTTGGAGGGGAATGGTTAAGGATATTCAATCAAATCCATCAAACTGACGTCATCAGAGAAGCAACGCCATTCCAGATCGGAAGCAAATTTGTAGATTTTGATTTGTATTATTATAGACAAACAAATTATTTTTAATTATTCATCACAAGACTATCAAAGTAAATAAGGTCAATTTTTTTTTCATGATGACTTTGAACCCTGCACCCTTCTTACAATTGACCGCAAGCTCACAGTCAGATCTGCCTCCATCAAATCTACAACTGATGGATAGAACCAAGTCCTCTCCCTACATTTTTTTTATTCGAATGCACATTAAACATTGAAGAAACAATGTGTCGCTCCTGTTTTATTGCAACTTTAATATTCAAAGTCATTTGAAGCCATATGATAGCTTTAGTTGGGGAAAAGATCAAAGTTTACATTGTAAAGTCATTATGAGGCTTGAGGCTTATCAAATGATGAGGGTGATCTTCTCCTTTAAGATAGAGATGAAAACAGTTACTGATGCAACACTCCTCTGTCTTTAGTCTGTCTCTGTATGGGCCAATGGCAGCATATGTGAATCCGCATGGTTATGTTCATGAGACACTTACGGTCTACAAGGCCAACAACCTCAACTTGATTGGACGGCCTTCCACACTGCATAGTTGGTTTCCAGGGTGAGATTTAATGCTTTTGTTTTTGATTAACGCATTATTGCTTTTGATTATACACATTGTTTGGCATTGTCACATAACATTCGATGCATTTCTTTTCTTAGGTATGCGTGGACAATTGCTCAGTGCAGAACCTGCGGCTCTCACATGGGCTGGAAGTTCTCAGCAGTAAAAAAGGACCTGAGTCCACCTCGATTCTGGGGTTTGACTCGTTCTGCCCTGTTACCGACAATCCCACAAGGCGAGGAGGGTGTCAAGGGGTCACGCTTGCTGTGCCTGTGATGTGATCCGACGATTACTTGTGACCTTTAACCCAAGAGCTCATAAGCATATGCTCCCCGAGGGGTCTCCTCTATCACCCCAAAAACATGAGACTCCAAACCACACCTAGAGAGAGAGAGAAAGTGTGTTTGTGAGTTTATATGTGTAGATGTGTGCATGAACAGGGAGAGGAATGAAAAAGGGGACAGTGATCCATAAGATACAGAAGTAGAAAGAAAAACAGAATTTAAGTTGTTGCCTTCACACACCTTGTGCTGTGTAAATTACAGGCTGACACGTGCAATATCATACCGTATTAGTTCTTTAAGATTACAGTCTGTTGTAATGCACTTAATTTACAGTCTAAGCAGTCTTCATCATTACTACTAGATGACAGTTGATGATCTTTAAGCAAGATCTTGTTTGGATGTTCATGAAATAAGTACTGTGTTAAAATAGGGACAAATCTCTTACACCATCTCATTTAGTCTGACAAAAAGTCTTTCATGGCCTCATTTATTGACATAATCAATCATGTAGAATACATCTAAGCTTCAAAACAAGATCTAAACTGCTTAAAATGAAATAATTCTCCACATGCTTGGCACACAACACCTGGCTAAAATTGTCAGATTGTGAAGAATAAAGGAAATATCAGGGAGTTACCCTTTATGTTATTCTCAAAAACTATTTTGTATTTCTCAGTTTTTTTTTCTGTTTTACCTTTTCCTTTGTCATTTGATTATGTGGAGACCATTAAATTTAATAATAGTTTGATGTATATTTTGAAAAGCCAAAAACATGTGTGTGTCCAGAATGAAAATAGCGTTGGACAAACTATTCTCCTCTGATAACGTCCTAAAAATGTAAATATTCTGTTCACATGTTCATTAAATGGATATACAGACAATCGGCACACACATGGATATTCTACACCAGTTACATACAAAAACACTGACTTGCATATCTGTAATGTTCAATACGTAACATACTGTTCAGTTCAAATAAATTCTCACCAATAAACCACATCTGAAAAGTCAGTGTGTTTCATTTTTAAGGAAATTTTGGTAACACTACAAAACATTTATAGTATGACACTCCAAACAGAGCCATAGTTTGAACACATTTGTAGACAAAATCCAAATCAGTAAATAATTCTATTCTGTTGAAATTATTATTTTCAGCGTTCTGCTGAAATAGCCAACTTGGGTCTTTTTTTTTAAAGAGAAGAATACAGTATAACGTAATAATTTAGTATTTCATTAATGCGTCATGTTTTCATTTCTGATGACCAAGCCACTAGAGGGAGGTGTTGTTATGCTGTCGCGTGCTTTCTTCTTCACTGGCTCTCAACGTTATTACGCAACAACAACAAACGTCAAGCTGTAGATGGGTGTCTGGTAGTCACGTACACGTTCTCTTTCCATTCTTTAAACAGATGCTTGATGTTCTGAGCCAATTAAAGTGAACTTTATCGTATCTAGTTAGTGTATTTTTCCTTTTTGCTTAGCCTTTAAGACAGAACTAGCGCTTTAGGTGTAACTTACTCCATAGTAACTTAGCGAAGCTGTTATTTGTAGATTTGTGTTGGTCCAGTCCTGTCCTGTCCTGTCGATGCCTCAGGAATCTCAGGAGGGGCAGCAACCGCTGCCGCTGGTCCGATCTCTGGTTAGCCGGATACCGGCCTACGTGTTGTTCTGTAACAACAGCCCGCGCGTGGTGAAGCCCGTCTGGATCAACTTTCGAGGGGAGCCGCAACCATACGTAGATATACAGCCGTACACCGGTCGAAGAATGACAACTTATGTGGGTTCGTCAAATTATCTTTGAATTACGTTCAAGATAAATTGGTAAAATTGCAGTGTGAGGCGTTCCGCTTGTTCAGGTTTATTTTAATCATGTCACGTACACCTTAAGAAGTAAAAAAAAAAACCGTATACCGTTCCATGCACAAAATAGCTAAACAGCAATTGTTTTGCACCAGGCAAACCAAACTGTTCAGTCTTTAGGTTGATTGAAACTGCTTGAAAAATGAACTTTGACCCCGAGTGTTAGTGATTCGAAACCTTTGACATCTTGTTTAGACTTTTTGCAAGTGGAGAGGCTGCTCACTGCTGACGTCCAGCTCCCCCTTTCTGGACGTAATGGGACCCTACCCTACCCCTAAACCCAGAGGTGGAGCTTGGGGAAGGTCAGGCTTCCTCCATTATGTCCAGAGACATTGTCAACACAATGTACATTATGTCCACCCTCTTTGGATGTAATTTGTCCAACATGGGTGGAGGTAGGTTCAACCAAACCCTAACTTTAACCATGACTCTAGTCTATCCCTCCACCCATTAGATCAATGGAGAGGGAGCTAAATGTCATTGTGCTCTGCAGTGAGCACCATTTGCATTGCAGAGCCAAATGGGTGAAGCTTGACCAAGTCCAGCTCCACCTCTGTGGGTCTAAGGGGTAAAGTTTAACTTAATTTATGCTTGGGCATAAGTTTAGGTTAAGGGTGTGATTGAACCTTCTAGCTCCTCGAGCAGCCTCTTGTTTTTTAACTTCGTCATGGCAATAAAATGAATAATCTCAAAGATATTGTCTCTGTGCCTTAAAGGGTTAAGTAGTGCAATAATCTATTTGAATAAAGCTGTCTGTATTTCTGTTTACTTCAGGACATCCGTGGATGTTTCGGGATGCAGAGACTGACGATCCAATGGTAGTCAATAGTAAAGAGATGTACTTGCCAGCCTCCGTTGAAAATGGACAAGTCTCAATTGCGCACATCACATTGCCTGGTAAACATATTTCACTGGCTTGTGCTTAAGTATAACCAATACACTCCTTCTATAATATCTATATTGAGTAACTGTGATAACTGTATTTCTAGGCATGGCATAAATAAGAACACTTGATATTATTTTCATTGTAAAAGAAAAAAAAACTGGAACCACACACACACAATTATAGAATCATTAATCAGACTGTGAATCTGAAATTGACTTTGCACTTAATATTTCTTTACCAGTGTTGACCTTGCGAGATCGCTGTCTGCAAGTTGTGAGGCGGTTGGTGCGCAGAGAAGATATCTGTCGGCTGGAGATCGCCCGCTGCCTACAAGATGACCTTGCTCAGAGACCCAGCATCCACGCAGATCTACGACGCGTTAGCCAGCGAGTGGAACAGAAGTTACTGGAGAACAGAGAACAGCAAAACAGATGAAAACATTAACTGTAAAGCGTTAACTGTACGAGGACATTTTTACTGAGCAGACCTGTGCACCAGCACCATATACAACAGACAATGTAGTCTGACACTGTAAAATACAAACCTGAGATCAGGCGGAATATTTTCTTAAGCAAATGGATGCTTTAAACATGTATCGAGCAATGCATTCAGGTCATTTAGGATTTAATGAGTGGCACTGATTTGAGAGCCCACAGAAAGAACTTTAGAAAATGCAGATTTTGTGTGATTGTCTGTGTAGTAGACCTTGCAATAGTTCTTGTATACTTCTACTCTGTTACCAATAACTTTATACTTGCAAAATGTTCTTTGTAAATAAAGAAATATTAAATATTTGTAATTATATGTAACTTTTTAATTAAATCTAATGACTCTTGCATCAAGCCAGCATTCATAGATCTATCTATCTGTAAAAATATACATACAGTGTTTAACAAATTTATTAGACCATCTGTCATAAAGGGAAAACACAAATAACCTAGGAATATGTCAAAAACTTGTTTAAAACTTTTCTTTTTGTCATTAGATTAGGCAAATAGCAAACTGAAACAGATAGTCTTTATTAACACATAACAAAAAAAAACAAACAATATTTCCTATGGCCTTGATAGCAGCTTCCATTGTTGCTGCCATTGTTTTTATGTAAAGTAAAGTAAAGTACTTTGGAAAAAAGTCACAAAGTTACAATTTATTAATTACTTACAATATTTGTTGGTCAAAACAATGGTTTGATGTTTCTGTATATTTATTTATATTAACTCTTTGTGCTTTATCGCTTTTAAACATATATATATATATATATATATATATATATATATATAAACATATATATATATATATATATATATATATATATATATATATATATATATATATATATATATACACTAACAAATAATTAATAAATTGTATAAACTTGTAGCATTTAAAATCCTTGATATTTAGTTACAAAGCACTTAATCATCTTACCCCATAGTCTGGTGCATGTTGCGAGGAAGATCAACATGTTTTCAGCCATATGTCTATGGTTTTCAGCGAACTGGATCTTTTCTTCTTCTTTTGGGCATTGTGGGCAATAACCATAGTAATACGTCAAAAATGTTAAACGGTTTAAAAAAAAAAAAAATTGAATTCCTGTGTCCGCCCTTACAGAAAATTGCGTTTCAGTAATAAACCCACACTATTACCTCTAAAGTTTCTATAAAATTATAATATTGCATTTAACCTTAATTCTCTAGGTCAAATTAAATGTTCGTTTTCATATTCCTTCAAAGTCTACACACATGCTTGAAATGCACACTCCATACTTGGTAAGTAACTTTTCACCACGCATGCTGTCCAGGGTCCAGTACGGTGAGGACCGTTGACAGCAGTGAGCAGTGTTTCACATCGCTAATTACTTACGCACGTGATCCACCTGAACTTTCATCCGCATAGGCCTTAAGGTTTGTGATAATAAGTTTGATGTTGCTTTGACAGAATCGGGTTTAATCTAGACTATTACACGCTTTCAAACTATTTTCCGTTCTTGTTATCGCCGTTATGTGCACTGACGCTTGGGGTCACAGTTTTAGGTCAGGCATGATGAGGTTTCTGCTAATTACTAGCATCTGTAGTTAACTAATAGCTTTTTAAATAAACCTTGTTAACGCGTTTTACAGTGTACACAGGTTTGTGCTTTTATTTAATAATGTATAGAAATAAATACATTGTATGAAAGATCCGTCGATGTTTCTAACCTTTTGGCTAGCCTAACGTTACAGAAAATGCGTGTCTGCTGCCCATTACGCTTTTAAAGATACGTGTATTGAATTAAATTATTTAAGGGAGTAAATGTAACTCCCCGTTACTTCAGTGAGTCTCAAATGTCATTGTAACTGCATTGCTTGCTGGACTGCATCTCTACTTTGAATTTACAGTGTTTTGGTTTGTTTTTAGTTTTGGACCTGGAAGTGTTCAAACACTCAAAATTGGCTTGGAAACAGCTGCACCTGTTTATGGTTCTAATTTTAACCCATGTATACATTTTCTTTCTTTCTTAAGATCCTAGTACGATGAACCGCAAAAGGGAAAAGGTGACATTGACATGGCTGAATAAGTCGATCAACTCCCCCAGAAAGCTCATGAAGAACAGTGTGGGTGTGGCACTGCCCACATGCTGGGATGGAGATGATGAGGGTAGTGCTATGAGCGAGGCTGGCTCTCCTGGCCTGAACATATCTACTGGGTCAGCTGGACTGGGCGACGTTGAAAACATGCATCTTACCACTCCAAAGCACTCTACTGTACGAAGTACACCTAAATCACGCTTAAAATTGACTGGACCTCACCGAGCACTTCGGAAAAAAAACAGTCCCGTTGAGGTGAGTAACTAAGTTTTTTTTTTTTTTTTTATGTTTCTATGTAACCAAGTAAGTAGTAGTATTAAGTGTGTATTTAAAAATGGCATGTATTTGAGTGGATTTCCATTGATTTGTGTTTTTTTTTTTTTTTTTTGTGTGGCATTTAGGACACTGTTAAAAGGCAACAGTCTTCTGTTGAGACTTCACCTTCCTCTTCTGAGAAAAAACACAGGAGTCCAGAGGATGGATGGAAAGTAATTTACCTCAAGGCGCTGAATGATGCAGTTGGGAATGCAGAGAAAAAGTCATCATTTGGTGGGCCTAAAAGTCTATTTCCGAAGAAAACCCCAGACAAACCTGGGAAGGCAGAGGAGGAGGAAAACGTTTGCTGCTCATTCAGTGAGAAGAGTGAACCACTTTCTCTGTTCACGACTAAGGATGGTGGGCCTCCCCCGCTGGAGATCATTGAGACAGAAGATGAAGGGGAAGAAATAAAGCTGGACACCAGGGTAATGGATTCTACTACTTTTTTGGGATAGGTGGGGGGAGAATGTATCATGGTTTCATCAAGAAACTTGAATATTGATGATTTAGGACCAAATTCAGCGTATTAGATTGATTTCTGAAGAATCATGTGACGTTAGAGACTAATTCAGCTTTAGAAAATTCAGCTTTGCATCACAGGAATGATTACATTTATAAAAATATAGCAAAATAGAACATTTTTAAAATGTAAATTTCATGTTTATTCTGGACTATTTTAAAGAATTGATACTGACTTTGTCTCTATGCACAGAGTGTGATCCTAAAGCGGCCAGAATCGCCGGATTGGTCGGATGTTGAGGACCTGGGCCAGGTTGAAGTTTTCTCGCAGGATGAGTCCTTTGAGCCAAAGGGGCAACAAACAAAGCTTAAAAGGGATTGTAAGCTTGTGGACTTCAGTGACACTCCTCCACCATTGGAACACAACCCTTACTCCGCATCACCAGCTGTTTTAATCCCTTCAACATTCTCACAAGCCCTTAGGAAATTTGAATCTCAAGGGGCTGAGACTATCCCAACTATCCCAGCCAGGGATGCGGAGCTGTGGTCAGAGCATCCACCTCGAACTACAGCCTCTGACCTCACAACCCCCAAGAACTATTCATGCTGTATGTCAGTTAGGCGGTCCCTCAACATCAGCAGCTCTACTCTGGCCGATCCTTTGATCCCGATCCTCTGGCCGAACACCTACACATCTGAAAGCTGGCATTACTCTCCTCAGACTACACGCAGGACTTCAGAATCGAATTACGCATCCTCACGGATGTTTCTGGCTGCTGACAGTGAGACCCGCAGGGTGTCGGTTGGCTCGGAGCCTCTTTGGTTGTCAGATTTGACCTACTCAAATGCAGATTCTGCAGGATTTATTGACACGCACTGTCACCTTGACATGCTCTATGGGAAGTTGGGTTTCCAGGGAAGCTTTCAAAGGTTTCAGCGCAAGTATGCAAGTAGTTTCCCTTTGGAGTTTAGGGGCTGCATCGCAGATTTCTGCAACCCACGAATCACAGAGAAAGAGGCCATCTGGGAGGGGCTACTGGCAGAGGAGAAAGTGTGGGGTGCATTTGGTTGCCACCCACATTTTGCCAAAGAGTATAACCACACTCATGAGCAAAGCATCATGCGAGCTATGCGTCACCCTAAGGCCATAGCGTTTGGAGAGATCGGTTTGGATTACTCGCACAAGAATTCCACAGACTCAAGGAAACAGAAAGAGGTATGGCAGACTGGATGATTACGTCCAAATGTTTTAAGCATGTACTTGAGAGCGTCAAAAGAACATAATTTCTGCCTTTTTCCTGTCAAGGTGTTTGAACGGCAGTTGCAGTTGGGCATCACTCTCGGGAAGCCTCTAGTCATACATTGCCGTGATGCCGATGATGATTTGCTGGAAATTATGAAGAAGTGTGTCCCCAGGGATTACAAAATACACAGGTCAGTTCTCATAAAACAAACACTCGGGCTAGTTTTTTTTTATGTTGGTCCTTAGGGGAAAAAAAAGTTATCTATTCAAAATAAAAACTCATGACTTATATTTCACTCTAACATTAAACTAAAGTAATAATTTGTATTTGGAATTAAGCAATGAAGCATGTTTTAAGGAGCATTGATATTTATTTTATGTATTTATTTTTGAAATATTTACAATATTTGATTTTTTCCTATTTTTAAGTCATTCTGTCCATACAGAATCCTTTTTTTTGTATTTTTCTTTTTTCTATCATATATAATCTTTTATATATATATATATTCTGCTTTATTTTCTCTTATATTATTTAGATAAGATTATCATTTATAAAATAGAATATCTTATATTTTGAGGTGAAATTACATTTTATTGTGAGATTTTATTGTGCCTACATTAATATTAGTTCAGTGTTGCCAATTTAGCACCAATAAAAACTGACTAGCAACAAATCTAGCAAATTATTTATTTTGCTTTATTTTTGGCTGCTGGTTAACATTTATTTGCTTTCCATTGATTAAAAGTATGTAAATGAGAACGGTTTTATTGGACATTCGGCCATAGATGTATAAACGCATGCCTCATTAGCTGCTATTTCTATGGGCTGCTATACGCAAGCGTCGATCAAAACACCGGTCTGTGAACACTCGAGAGCAAGTTGACTGACCCCCTGCAAATGTACTTACAGTAGAGTATAAATATCTAAATCTGCAATAGACCTCAGCAGATGATTTTTCTAAACTAATAATACAAAAAGACGAAGGCATCAGCTAACAAGACATTAAAAAGTATAAAAACCTGTAATATTGAGTTATATGATGCAATTTTGCGTCATCATTGATTCGCACTGTGAGTGACAACACGCTGACCGTTCCAAGATGGCGGGTGGCCTGGAACGGTCGAATGTTGCATCTATGTACACACACATCTATGCATTTGGCTATATACTATATTAAAACGCGGTATGTGAGCATGTATTAGGAGAGAAAGCTTATTATGTCATTAACGACTGTTTGAGCAGGATTTTTCTACTGTCCATTTGAAATATTTGGCAGCACTGGTCAGAGTTTATAGTCTACTAACCTTTGTTCATATGTTTGTTAGACACTGTTTCACCAACAGCTACTCTGTGATTGAGCCGTTCCTAAGTGAATTCCCTAACCTGTTTGTGGGTTTCACTGGACTGGTGACGTACCAACGTGCTATGGATGTTCGAGACGCTGTGAAACAAATCCCACTCAACAGAATCCTACTGGAGACAGATGCACCGTATTTCCTACCCAGACAGGTATCAGTGCTAGTTACTAAGCACACATTGTTTGATTCCACTAACACATATGTGTATGACTTGTCTATATATTCACCTCTTTTTCTCATTCTGTAGGTGCCCAAGTCCGTATGCAGGTTTGCTCACCCTGGTATGGGCATACACACGCTACGTGAGATTAGTGTGCTAAAAGAAGAGCTGCTAACCACAGTGCTGCAAACAGTACGGCAGAACACTAGACACGTATACGGACTGTGATTGGAAACGCTACTTATTTTATCAACTGCAGTCCTTCAAAATCTTAGTCCTGCTAGCAGTTTAGGCTTGCATCTTTGGCATATTCTTTCTTTTTTTTTTTTAAACCTTTTCCTTGTGTTTACATAACAATGTCTTCAAGAATTGATATTCCAATGTACTATAGTGTGTGTTGAGTGTATGAGCATTGCTGCTTCGGTTTCCTACCGTGTTAAAGGGAATTTCACATCAGTTAAAACCGTTAGCAATGATGCATTTTAATATCTCTTCAGTTTTGTTTTAAAATTTGTTCTCTGTTCTCAGGTTTCTTTGGCTGTGTGTTTGCATGCATGCTTACAAGTTATGTATGCTTTTGAGACATAAGTGACATAAAATGCCATCTTGTGTTTTCCCATATATTAGAAACCAGTCATTTTCACGTGAAAATTTATGTAAAAAGAAAATGTGAAACAAATGTGAAAAACCACAACAAATAGCTTTTACCAAGTTGTTGGTTTTATATAAATGTAACTTTTGTTTAAATAAATGTATATGCAACATGAATGGGTGCATGAAAGTATTATTTTTTTTGAGAAAGACAGGGCTGCTTTTCATTTTGTGACTCCATTAAAGGTTTATTTACATCTGTAACACAAACATGACCCTGAAACCCAACACTTGAGAGTGAGCAAAGAAAATAGAAACCATAGGCCGAAGGTTATTTCTTTGTCATCCTTTATTTTGTCAAATCAATGTGTTTGAATTTGATTTAAACTGTAAATCATTTTTATGATTTATCAGGAGTTGATTTTTGTAGGATTTGTAGATCTTGTCAGAATTCTGAAACAAATAAGAACATACATTTAGCGTGTTAGTTTGAAGAACACTAAAACTATTCAAATACAATGGTGTCTTGAAGAATTTTCTGTCAGAAAGCACTTTTAGTTAAATCTAGGACTTTTTCTGGAAAATTTTCCTTTTGTTTGGCTCACCAAATGGAGAATCACTAAGAAGATTCACAAGAACCTTCTGCAGGACAGGACCGTATTTCTCGTATTCTGCTTCACTCAGAGACACAGACAGTTGGAACGGAGCGCTCATCTAAACGGATAGTGAGAACAAAGTATGACTACAGAAGTAACTCATTGAAATCATATTTAAATGTGCACTTGCTGGTTTTACCATAAACTGATCATCCTCTTTAATCACTGGGATCTCTGACTCGGCAGCATCTCTTCTGCCCACCCGTGGTGGCCTTCGACCCTTGAAAGTGGAGACACACAACATATCTGATGCCAGACTTCAATTGATGTAAACTTGACCAACTTCATTTTTTAAATTGAGTGCCTACAAATGGTTAACTCCAAACAAACTCAGACATATCCGCTAGACACATGCTCACCTGTGGTTTCTGATCAGGACTGAGGAAGCTGGTGCCGCCTCTTACAGATTCCAAACATAAGGAAAGAGCACATAAGAGCAGAAATATGTGGCTGGCACGACTGCGTAGAGGCATCCTGGGAAAGTCACTCGGTTTAGTTCTGTTTTATGACAACTAGCTTAATGACCACTTTAAAAGTAAAATGATTTTATATAAAATCAATCAAACCCACCTTCTGTAATGATCAAACTGCTTCAGTAGGTCTGCACACACAGATCTGCTTCTCACTTTTATAATAGCCTTTGGTTAACAATTAGCATTAAAATCTACAAATGAAACTGTGAAAAACAAACAGAACTAAAAATCCCTGATTGTTATATTATGTGAATGTGTAACAAAGATTTACCTTAAGGTGATATGAATATGATAACAGATGATGACAAATAAAGTAATATGGTGATGTGGCTGCTGTGTCAATAGGTGTTACTAGACCACTGAACTATTTCCTTAGCAGGTTAATACAGACCTGGCAATTCCTCTGTAACTGGAGCAAATATTGGGTACAAACATGCATTTTCAAGTGGACTCACCTTTGTACATGGTTCGCAGCATATTCTTCCAACAACATGATCTATGTAGGTTTTTGTGGCAATTAAAAAACAAATTTTACACGTGTTTTTATGGGTCTGAATAACATTCATTTTATTTTTATCAATAATAATAAATAATGTAGCATAAAGTACCACTTTTATGGAGAATATCAGTTTATGGGCCATTACTTTGCCAGTCAGGCTGGGATACTAACTAACCAGCTAACACCTGTTCGACCATCTTAAACTCGCTAATCCATCTTTCCCAACTTCGTCTGGTTGCTTTTTTTATATTTCGTTGCGTAACGCCCTATGTTGGATATTTAACATGGCAGAAACGTAGAAACATGTTTTATTTACGCCATAAAAATGGAAAACTGGTTTTAAAATATTGTTGTAGTTTGACCTTCGAGACGGCAGATGGCAGGCTACATTTATTCTTTTCAGCATTTTTTTGACACTGTTGTGCTCTCTGGATGTCATTGCTTACCTGCTATATCACCTAATCAACAGTTAACATGGATAAAAAGAAGAAACCATACACTGTTACAGCGTCATCGGTGAATAATAATATCTTATCTCTTTTTGAACAAGACACTTCCCACAATTTTAGTTTTGTTTGTGTGTTATGTTATAGTTAGCTTAGCATCACAGCTGACAGCAGCAGACTTGCATTGTGCAACTTTACCTGTTTTTAAACTGGGAATGCTGGTCCGATCCTAAAATATTTTGTACAACGTATAAGTTACTTTTCAATGTACATTTCAGCTGGTTGATTTGAAAGCGGAATTATATCGGAAGCAGGAGAAATTTAAGCACGACAGACTTGGCCAAGATGCAGGAGCAGCACAGAAGTCCAAGACAAAAATAAAAGTAAGACACGAGCAGTTCATGTTAGATGATATCATTCAATAATTATAAGCCTGTTGTAATTGTAATTGTGTGTTTATGTGCTCACAGAAGCCCAATATCTGGACTAAACAAAATGAAGGAGTCAATGTACGAGCCGAGAGGGACGTTCAGCAAACGGTTGAGGAAGAAAACACACTGGACAAATCCAGGTGAATACTAGTCTCTTTTTTTGCAGCTATTCATAGTCCAGTAATACATTATTCTGATTCTTTATATCCTCTTCATCAATTATGCAGGCAAAAATTGGAGGAAAAGGCTCGTCTTTATGAACAAATGACAAAAGGAGATTTCCCAGGTATTTGCTTGTTGTTGACCATCCCAAATTCAAGCATTTCACTTCTTGAATAATTTTTAACACTGCTTTGGGTGTTTTGTAAATAAACTAATATAGAAGTTGACAATTTTTTTATATTTAGATGAGGAGACTGAAAGTCTTTTTCTGGTGGACTTCACCCAGAAGATCATCAACCAGAGGAATGAACCACAGACATACACTACACGGGACCGAGATGGAGAGGACTCTGATGTGAACGTCCCTATTCCAGACCCACAGAATGCAAATGAAGAATGGTACGGTGTGTTTTTAAATATATTTTGAACCTGATTACGAGGCAATATGATTTGAACTCAACTACGGGTTTTCTTAATTGCTCTCTCTCTCTCTCTCTCTTGCAGGGTGGACTATGTTGATGCATTAGGACGTTCTCGAAGATGTTTAAGGAAAGACCTACCTGGTTTTCAGAAAATGGATCAAGATTTCCAGAACAAGAGGTATGTTTATTGTTCTTACCTTTGCTATGTTTTTTTTATTTTTATCTAATTGCCATTGGTTGTGCTCCATATTTATCTATTATTATGTACAGGGTGACTGGCACTGACAGGACGCTGTTATCTGATGACATGAGGAGAGAAATGCAGCGAGAGCAGTGGGAGAAAGAGGAAGAGGAGCAGATGAAGAGACCTGTTGGACCCATTCACTATGAAAATATCAAAGAGCAAGGTGAAGGATAGGAGTGATCTCTAGACACACCGAAACCTGTCTAATGCGTAGAAAATGCCTTTAAGTAGTGCTTCTTTGAGAATGTCTCACATGAGTGTTTTGTGTCCGTTTCAGAGGCCAGAGAGCTGGGTGTTGGGTATTTTGCTTTTGACCAGGATGAGGACCGACGTAGAAAACAGAGAGAAACTCTAGACATGCTGAGAGATCAGGTCAGAACAACAATTAAATGATCTACAAACTCTTTTCCAAAATGCATTGAGACTTGAGGTGCACTGATATGAAAATTCTGGCTGATGCTGATACGTTTGTTAAATATTGTGATCCATATTATTATTATTATTGACCATTAAAAAATGGCCTGATATTTCTATACCATTTTGTATATACTATTAGCCTGGGAAATTTTGATTTGCTCTGAATCTGTCAAAGAGCTCATTCAAGCCCATTTCCAATCCGTCGAAAGCGCGGCTCCAATCAAAAATGTTGGGGCGGGCTTTACACGATGTTGACAGCGCTGGGTTTTTGAAGCAGATTTTGTTGCATACATTACAAAGATGGACGCCGCCGTCAAACATCACTCGCTCGAATCAGCTATCGCGTCTGTTTTAAGCGATTTGAACGTTTCCTTTTTGTTAAAAACCGAGCAAAGAACACTCGGCCGCCGCTCTGCATACGTCATCTCCTTCATCGCCCCTCTGGAAATGATTCGTCTATGACGCTTTGCCAGACCATAACTCAGTTACAACTGAGAATGGTCTGGTTTTAACCAGGCTAATATAGTATATAAATAGGGTAAATCACTAAAAACTAATAACAATAAAAATTAAATACAAGTGAATATTGGCATCACAGTAGTATATAATTGATAAAATGAAAGACAGTTAATTGAGTTATATTGTTATTGTTATTAAAGATTAACACTATATTTTTAAACGGTGTGCTTGGCTTCTATACTATTGGCTGTGATTGAAACGGTCTTCTTCAGCTTCTCTACTATTGACTGCATTGTAAATTATTTAGGTTTACAAACTAGTTTATTTTCTCTGCAGACCACAGAACAGCGCAGCAAACGTGAGCAACTGAAGGATAAGCGGAAATCCCTTCTTGAAGCTCGACTCGCTAAAGTGAGGATGAGAAGGCTAAAGAAAAGCAAGCTGGAGCCAGGGGATGAAGAAGATGGTGCGTTGCTGATTATTTAACAAGTCTTTATATGCTTTAAAGCATATTTAACTTGTATCTGTATGTTGGTGGTTATTTCTAAAGGTTGTGAGGATGTTTTTGGATCATGTCTGATGTTCCCTTGTAGCTCCTGCCGCTGATGGTGCTGAGAATGATGAAGATGAAATTGGACCCCCTGCAAAATTGCTGAAAGTGGAAGTGCAGATTCAGGAAAGAAAAGACACCAAACCTGGCGTTCCATACGTAAGGGAGTGGGACAGAGGCAAAGGTACATGACCTGACACACAAATGCACGGCAGATCCCTTTCTTTTCATTTGCTCCAGTGTTTACATTTGCTGTTTTTAAGAAAATGCAACTTTCCTTTTCCAGAGTTCTCCTGGGGTCAGTGGACCAGTCTTCGTCGAGAGGAGCGAGACTCCGATTTTGCTCCTCCCTCTGCTTATTTCGCCGATGACAGATGGGCCAATCACAACAGAGCAACAGACAAAGGGCAGGCTAAAGGAAAACCTGCCTTCAAGTGGTCTGAATCCCAAAGGGCCACCGAAAGAGACACAGAGAACATATCTACCCCTAGTCATCCTTCTGACATGCCCACATATGCACAACCTTCTCAACCACAGACTGCACAAACACAGAGTCTGGATGACCTGTTGTCGTTCTACAAACACTCTACGTGAACAAGTCAGAAAATCACGTTGGAAATTATAGGAAATGGCAGGCTCCATCAAGCCTGGTGCATTATGTCAGTCTTAAGCTGGAGGTACATTTAGACTTTGTGTAAAATGTAACTGATTTGCAAAATTAGAATAAAGATTGACCAGATTTTTGTATGTTCTTTGTGCATCTTTTATTCCATCTCTATCTTTCTATAGTCTCAGTTTCAACCCCCTTTTTTAACCATAATTCATTTTGCCATCAATTCTGTCACCAGGTTGTAAATGTATATATAAATAACTTTTGTCAAGAAAAAACATTGATTTAACCAAAGCTACTGTTCTCTTCATCAGTTTTCTTGTTCTTAATGATTGCGAAGTGTCCTTCTACTTTGTGTTTGTCACCATCTTTTTCTTATGTTTTTATGCATACTATGAAAACTGCAGTCATGTGCAACTCATAAACTTTGCCCAGTGTAACTCTTCTTAGTTACTCAGTAGCCTATAATGAGTGTGCTTTACAAGTAACTAAGTTTGAGTGTATTCCATGTCATTTGAAAGAGGACACTAAAAAACTATATATTGGATAAAAATTCACATACAACCAAATTGCTGGACCATAGTGACCTTTGATCTAAAGGATATCCTGTCTCCGCAAAAATGTGCGTGTGAGCATTTTGTATCAACTGGAGAGAGAGGAAGGGTAAGAAAGTAGAGGTGACAAAGAGAGGACCTTAAAAAGGGTTTATGTGGAAGATTGAGAGAAGAATTTACTTTGTTTTCCTTTTTGAAGATTAAACCATAGTAGGAAACCTGTTTAATTCCAGTGAGATGGTAAGTAACCATTTCAAGTTGTGATTATCACATGACATAGTAACATGCTGTTCAACCATCTGCTGTTTGTAGACAATTTGTTAATACTAATGAATGCTTTAAATATCATGAAATGTAGTTTTTGTAGCATTTATTAATCTTGTTTCATATATAATTATCACATTATTATATAAAATGATTAATAAAATGAATGTATACATTCTATTGTTCATTGTTGGTTCATTCATAATCTAATTATTGTTAAACATGCATTACTGTAAGTAGATATTGTTCATTAGTTCATGATGCCTAATACAATGGTTTATGTTACTGAATTGATTGAACCTATAGTAGTAAAAAAAATTATATATATATATATATATATATATATATAGGCTACTGGAATATTATTATTAGCTCAAGAGATTTTAGCTCTTTGAAGTTTATTATAATAGTCACAATGGATTTCAAGCATTGATTTCAATTCTTGTACTGTGCAAATGAATGACTCTGTGAGTGTTTTAGGAAGGTTCAAGTGCAGAATCAGCACTAAGTGTAAGTGCGAACAGCATCAGAATCACTGATTTGACTCAGGATGGAGAAGTTATGACGTTTGCCATTACTTCCCAGAAAGTAAGATGCATAAAACAAGTTCTAAATATGTTTTGTGGAATGCTATAAACATCAATACTTAATGTTTTCCCTCAGTTGAACAGCAGTGCAGGGGTGTGTGTTTTTCGGACACATGAGGACTTTGAATGGCTTCAACAGAGTCTTTTCTCACAGGAAAATATTCCTGGGCTTCAGGGAATTATAGTGAGTCAATTCTCTAATCGCTATATGCTCATTCCGTGTCAAATCAACCAAATTTTCAAAGCTTCCCTTGACTAATTTTGTTGCTGTTTTTTTTCTGAAGAGAGACAAACCTTAATTGTGATGAAAGCCAATGTATGAAATACCATGAATGCATATCAACTGAGTAATGAACTATTTTGTAGAGGAGGGTCAAAATGTCGATTTTTCACCTGAGATTTGGAGTCAAACTGACTTTAGAAAGATGGCAGCATTTTGCACACCTAATTTGTTTTCAGCAGATTCTGCCATCTTTCCAGTCATGTTTGTCATTTTGATCCGCTTCTACAAAATAGTGGACTCAAAAAGTCGAAATCATATTTTGGTTGTCATCACTATTTGCTAATAATGCTAATTCTGGGTATGGATTACAATTCTTGGCCTTCATGTCACTTTACCTTATGTTAGTCTTTCTTCAGAGAAAATATGAACAAAATAAAACATTGAGCCAGGGATCTCTGATTGAGTTGGAATGACCCTACAGGTATTTGCCTATTAATTGTCACGCTAAAACCACAAGATCTATGAATGGGGAAACACTTACATGAGATGATTTTATACCCACAGTTTCCGCCTTTGCCCCCTAAAGCCCTTCCATTGCAGTCAAACATGCAGACCAAAGCACTCAAACAACTTGGTATGTATTATTTGAAAATGCACAGGCAGTGTGTGTGTGTGTGTGTGTGTGTGTGTGTCAGTCAGTCACCTTCATAGTGCTTTTAATAATATGGACATGTTTCAAAGCAGCTTTACTATAATAGGAAATTAAAGTAACATAGATTTTTTTGGCTGTACAGCAGCTCTAGAATAAAGTAATTGTCCAGCTGAAGTTAGTTCTCATCGATTCACTTCCATTGCAAAGATCATTAGTTATTAACTTAGGGGCCACTTACACGACACCGTTGTTACAGAAAACCCGGCCGCTAATTCGCAGAACAGCCTGGTGGCTCGAGAACCATTATTTATATATTTATTGTGTGTGTGTGTGGATCCCAATGATTTGATACTTTGTTTCTAATGTAACATTTATGTTTTTCTTTATGTGTTCAGGATTCCTGGCTCTAGGAAAAGATTGGCAGGGTTATTGTAAGGCTTTGGAGTTTTATCTCCAGCAGGTGGCAACACACCCAACTCTCTGCAAGTGCAAAGCACTGGACAGCTTTCTTAATAACTCTGAGGTTTACTATAAACACACACACACACACACACACACACACACACACACAGTGACTGTGATTTTTCATGAATCTGTATCACAGCCATTGATTGATAATACAATGGAACTGACCAGGCTAACCTGTCTTGCTGAGGTTCCCAGCTAAAACTGAAGGTAGTAGTTGTGTTTTAGAACATGGTATCTTGTAAAGTGTCATTTAGATGGTTGAGCTGTACTATCAGCTGGGTGGAGACCTGGTCACCTATATTGGAACAAATCAGCTACTATATGCTCTAAAAAGCAGCCTGACCGGTTCAGGCTTGCATGATCTGGTTTGTTTTTCAGCTGTGTTCTTGACCAGCTTCCTCAGCCACCTAAACCTAAGACCAGCTTTTACCCAAACTAGCTATCAGTTTTAGGAAAGATGTCAAAATCTTTGTTGATAATCTGACTTTTGTCATTGCATGTGTTGTTTGACTAGTCTCCTGGAAAACAGAGAGGCAGGAGAGGAATCTTTAATCGCCTTAGTCAGGCTGTGGAGGAGATGAGGAAGGAAAGTCATAAGGTATTTGTGTAAAAGTTTGTTGTTCATTTGAGTGATTTATGCAGGTGTTCATCCCATCCACCTCTGGGAAAGTCAACACTGTGTAGTGATATGATATATGACAATATAAACTTAATAGATATATGAATGTGATTTATATCATTTGTAAAATGTTGTCCCCAGGATGTGGACAACTTCTTTCAGAACGAGAGAAATAAAAACACAAATATTGCCACTTTGTCAAAGGTTGCCACAGAGGTACACTATTTAAGCTGTTTTTCAGTTTTTTATCTGGCCAATGCACTGTTAGTCATTTTATAATTCAATGTGCAATATTGTGTTCTTCTCTCAATAGAAATTAATCGATGTTGTGATGACAGAGCAAAGTAAGTCACTGCTAGAAGTTTTCACACATCATTTAGAAACACAGTAGGCTTATTTATATCAGTGTTTGTGTTTTACAGAGCTTGCTTTGGCCTGTGGACATTTCTCCACATCTCTTCATCTTTGTGTGAATCAGGACGATGCAGCTGCTGTAGCTTTCTCCAAGTTAGAAATTTTACTTAATAAAATGACCTCTTGTTTCAGCATTAATGTGCATGCTTAAGTGAATGTTGGTTATTATGAGAGGATAATCAGTTTATTCAGATGTTGTGTTTCTTTAGGGTTTGTTTGAAGCTGTCTGATATTATTGAGGCAGTAAAGGTAAGTGCACTTTCTCATTCCTTTATGTATTTTTATAAAAAAAATATTGAATTCTAAAATTTGATTTTTTTAATTTTTTATTTTAACTTTAGCAAAACTTTGAGAAAGTTGCCAGTAACAACCTAAGCACTCTTGGTTTGGGTCTGGACCTGGAGTCTCGCTACCAAGAGGCAGAGAAAGTATGTTTTATAAAATGCCTAAGCATGACTTTGATTTTTATGCGTGATATTGCTTTTATGCAATAGTAACTAACCTTTTAGATACAGTATTACCAGTGACTTTTTTTTTTTTTGCTGTGCAACAAAAGAAAAGCTCTAAACAAAGACACTGCAGGATTACTGTTGCGTTTTTCATTCCTGGATGATGTTCATTCCTGAACTTTCAGACAGTGTCAGTAAAAAAATCCCCACCATAATGCCCAAGTCACAGACAGATTTGCCTATTTTAATTTTAATTTAGTATTTATTCATTTATTTTTCAGTTATTTATTTCAGTTTATTTTAGGTTACATCAAGTTAAACTAAATGATAATGAGACTTGTTGCCGTACTATTTGTTTTTTTCTTCAGTTAACGTTTATTTTCTCAAGTAACAAATGTTTTTTAATGTTTTAGTTTTAGTTAACTATAATAACAGACTAAAAGATTGTCTGGAAAACGCAGGCAAGTGGAGTGATACAGTGAAAAGTCTTTGTGCTGCTTGAGTCAAGACTGTATATCTGATCTCCTAGTCTCAACCAATCAAATTTTAGGGCTGGAACTATTTGTTTAAAAAACTCATGTCAGTATTTAAACATAAGCCCCAAAACATTAATTCGGTCAAGTGTGTTCAAACTCCTCCATATATATGTTGTGTTGAATGCAGGTTTGTATTAAATGTAATGAAATCTAACCCAAGGCTGCTGTCTATTTCTAACAGGAGATGCTCTTCAGAAGAACCTGTAAACTGATAGAGCTGGAAAATGTTAAGAAGACTACAGAAAAAGCCAAGGCCAATAAGAGAGAAGTGGTATGTTTTTAATGTGTATCTTTCATATATTTCTCTGTCCACATACACACGTCCACACTAAAAGTGTTCACATCATATTTAACTGGGAAATTCAGATGAAGTCTCTCTGTGTCTAATACTGTAGATGGAAGCGTTTCAAAAAGCTGTTGAGAAAGAGTTTAACCTGATTTCATCTGTGGCTAAAGAAGAGGTAAATGCTGTTACTAATGTTAAACCCATCTGCTAAATGTATTACACTGGAAACCTGACTGACATGACTTCTGATTCTTCATTTTAAAGTAATGTTAATTGCACATTGTACATTTATAGAGGGTATATTTGTATTTATTGGACTAATGTGTGTTGTAGATTGAGCGCTTCCATAGCTCCCGAGTGAATGTGATGAAGAACTTCCTGATTGGCTGGTGTGAACAGCAGCTCAACACAGCGAAGGAGTGTGCTGAACTCTACTCTCAGCATCTTGAAGCTTGCAGAAACATGTATTCAGAATGAATGAAACAAACAGGTGATAGATCATAAGAATATTTTTGGTAAGACTGCTAAAAATAGAAAATATGTAATGAAATGATAAAAGTGCAATGTAAATTCGGTTAATTCTCATCTTTTTGAAAAAAAGAAACTGTCCTCTTTAATCTGATTGTGGCCTACATAATGGTTTTCAGCTTTTAATGCTGAAAAGTCATCTAACTTTAACTTCCATTTCCACAATTCAAAGTTAGACTATAGATTCAGAAGTGAACTTTGTCTTATGTAAGCTTGCAGTAAAGCAATAAAACCCATGATTGTTTCTACTTCGCAAACATGGTCAATTCTGAGGTGATGGTTTAATAATACAGCTCAAAAAGAAACATTTATAATGAGTTGCTGTTTGTAAAATAGTAAGAACCATGAGCACGTTATTAAGGTAGAAAAAGTTTATTCCAGCTGGGAGACCCGTGGACATGGCAAATTATTTTCTGTCATCAAAAAATCAACTCTAGCATTAAGCCGCCTCTTGTTAAGTCTGGGAGGCCATCTGTCTTTACATTCATCAGGAACCAACTTCCAGTCCACTGCTATTAAAACTTTATCAAATTAATTTCGGAGATCATATTTGAAATATCTTCTAATAATTTCTGGTTTTGTGCTGCATTGTTAAATCCATAAATATTAATTAGAATGAAATATATATATATATATATATATATATATATATACTATAATTTTTTAGTACTACCATCAACCAGTGACCACTTCTATCAGCTTGGTGAACGATGACTTCCCCAGGACATTTGTTAAAACATATGCCACTCCTCCAGAATGGTTAGACCCATGGCTGAAAAAAATATTTACTCACACACACACACAAAAAAAAAAAAACACATACACAACTGTTAACAGGTTCATTTTGTTCATAAAATCTCAAATTTATTGGAATGAAAGACATTCTCTTTGAGCACATCCCAGCATTAACATGTGAAGAGTTCAGATGCAAAAGCCTCTAAATGCCATTTGAAATTTTCTTCTTTAATGATGATTTTTATCAAACTTGTATATTTAAGTTCAGTAATTTCACTTAAATGGCAATGATAATTACCTATTAATTGTTATTTAAGTGAAATTACTGAACTTAAATATACAAGTTGGATAAAAATCATCATTAAAGAAGAAAATTTCAAATGGCATTTAGAGGCTTTTGCATCTGAACTCTTCATGTACAATCAAGTCAACGAGAACATTTCCGTGAACAAAAAAGCCATGGAGGGGACCAAAAAAAGAAAGAAGATAATTTAGTAATTCAATGTCAAGCTGGGAAATTTCTTCATTCCTCGACATTCCAAAGATGAGTTTACATTCTGAATTAATATATCGACCTTCTACTATCATCTGAAGGCAAAGTACAGCTGTAACCCATTCATATTAACAGCTAGTGTCTTCCTGTACCTGCTCAACTAATTTTATTAAAATACATTTATATAAAAAAAGAAAATTCTTTACTTAAAATAACTGTATCACACTGTTATACTCTATATAATAATAACTCCATTTAAAATATAAAATCATATCAGTATATATCTACACAAAGTGCAACTGTAAATAAAGTGTTATTTCACTGAGGTTTTACCTCTTTCAGTGCAGAAACTACTTGTGGGTGTTTTAAAAGTGTGGGGAGGTAGTCTAAAGAGATGGCTTATTACTGGGATTTATGACCAGAAAGGGTATTCAAATAAGTCCAGTTTACACTCAACATGGTGCCTCAAATGACTGGTGAGGTTTCAGACTTTGAAATGGTGGTAAAAACACTTACTTCATACTGTACTTATCCATTAGTATCCCTGGTGATCTAACCACATAGAAGCCTTTTATTGCTCAATATTACAATATAACAATACAACACACTCAATAAAAATAGGCAAGTCTGTCTACTGGATAAGAACTGATTTGGTTCATATAGGTGTAATGTAACTGATGGCTATTTATACTGGCACAAAAATAGATCAAACTGAGGTTATTATTCTGATCAGCCATTTGGCTTAAACATACATACTTATTGTGGATGTTTAGACGGTGAACAAAGCACACATATCCAGTAATATTTACAGCAAGTATTATACTTAAAATGAGAACATTTAAACAACTCTATTATTCAAAACTGAGAACCAGACAATTACAAAAATGTTAAATAAAAATACATGTACACTACAGCACAGCACAGCACAGCACAGAGACCTATATGTATGCTAAAGCTCAGCTAAAACTTAAAAACAACCTGGATTCGGTAGGAGAATATGTTGCACATATGCACAAACACACACTGACACACCAATATCTCACACAGCTATACATAAACAGTGTGAGAAACAGTGGAAAGGAGTCAACTAATATCTGTGTGTTTTTAGCACATGGCCGCTTTTCAGCACAAGTCAGCTGAATTTCAAACAACTGATGCCAAGAATGTAATTTCTTCTTTCTGTGGGGTTACTTCACGGAACCTCCTGTGTCAAGAGAAAAACACACAGATAAAGAAACATGAAATCACCAAACAAAACTTCTCAGCAGTTTAAAAGCCATTTTGTTGTCTAATAATCATCTCGCTACCAGCATTAGAGAGGTCATATTATGCCCTTTTACAAAGTTTTGATTTTGTTTTATGGGGCGGGAATCAAGACTCAAGACTATAATCGAGGAGCTTCAGCTTGCTCACTGATACAGAGAATAACATAACATTACGCACTTAATAAAGTTGGAAAAAAAGCATAATAGGTCCTCTTTAACATAGAAAAGTATTAGACACAAGGGTAAGAAAGGAAATTCAAGGAGCCAACACTTAAAAGGATGGAAAGAGAGCGTTCTTGCCTTTTTATGTGTACTTGAACGCTGTGTGTCCTTGTGATTGGAATTGAGGGATTTCCACACAGTGGTTTTAGACATTTCATGAGATATGTTAATATCAGAGGGATCGTTCCTGGACAACAGGTGGACACAGTTGAGGAGAGGGCAGGAGAAGGGCACAAAGGGAAAGGTGAGTGTTTGTAAGTACACATTCACAGTGGACATTGTGGTGTCTAAGCTCATTTTACATGAGTCTGACTGTTGGACCAAGGGTTTGCGATAAGCCACAGTGTTTGCATAGAGCTTCTGATAGCAGTTTGTTACCTGGGGTCTGGTGTTTTAGGTGAGTGTAGAGGTTTGCTCTCCAATGGGATCTGCACTGTGTCTTTGTCTTCTAATTTCTCAGAGTCATCCACCAGCATCTCCTGTGATTCCTGCTACTCATAAACACATACAGTACATGCAGCCTCCTTCGTTGTATATGACAAACCACAATGCAAGGTTGGGTTGATGTATTAGTTTCAGTATCAGTTTACATGCATAATTTGTTTGAAAGATCATGTTAGGGTTGTTCAGGGTGGAGCCCTAACATACAACTCCATGGTGTGCTGCTAATTTAATATTTTATGAATATAATAATGATTTAATAGTATGTGGAACTATAAATAAGTGAAAAATAAACATTTCAAATAGTAGTGCGTCATGATTTTGCGTCTTTTTTAATTTAATTTTATTATGTTGCTTTAACTTTATTAAGTTTTTAAAGTGCATCACTTTGGCAAATGTTAAATGTTACATTTTCTGCCCATAAAGAAATTTACAACAATGCACATTACTGCATAGTTTAGAAAGTAGTGTTTCCAGGGTGGATTTAAAAAAAAAAATGATTGTTTGGATACCATTTGCTATAATAAACTCTGCATATGATTCACAAACCTCCTCTGCCTTTTTGGAATCATCATCCAGCTTCTTCTTACTCTCAGGCATCAGATCATCAAGGTAACTAAGCTCCCGATTGGAAAAGAAACAGTCCAGCAGCTTACGGATGAACACTAATGCCAGCACCTGCAGGAAATAAACACACTTATGCCACTGTTATACTTTATTACACCCATAGTTTTTAAATCAACCTCCATCACTGTTCCTGTGGCTAAAACAGTTGAGCATTGCACTATTAACACAAAGGTCATGGGTTTGATTCCCAGGCAATGCATGAACTGATAAAATGTACTGTATTTTTCAAAAGCTTTGGATGAAAGTATCTGTCAAACTAATATATATGATTATTTCACACCAGAAAAACTCCAAAAAAGCGATGTTTTATTCTAGTATTGAATTGTTAAGAAAGTTTTAACCTCCTTAACATTAAAAGTATGTACTTTGTTTTGGGACGTACCATCATAGGGAAGACGATTGCGGCAGGGGAAGTTTTGATGACCCAGAGCAGCACAAGGCAGGTAAGTTGGGTTAAAGTGAACAGGTGGACTTTCCTCAGAGGAACGTGACGTAGATAAATAAAGTCTGGCTGGTGCTTCGCTGGCATGCCAAACAACTTCAGACGGTCAAAGAACTGAGCAAGAAAGGGCGGAGAAAGATGACAAGTAACTGACAAGTCACTGTGTACATGTCTATGTTTAGTGTCAGATGAATGTCTCTACCTGAATGCCTTTCAGAGATGAGGCGCCCATATAAAGAAAAACACCATAGAGAACTGGCATGGGAATGAACTGTAAAACACAAGCAGTCCTTTAAGATATTTTGTAAACTAATGCATTAAGTATGCCTAATTTAAGTAGGCCACATATTATATGTAACTAGATTTTGTGCGATTACCTGTAATGCCCCAGTCATGAACACAGAGCAACCCATCAGTAGGAAAATGACCAGCCCAGTAAGCCTTTGCTCTCTAATACCCAGAAATCGAGGTTGCTCCCCAGGGGCGGAGCTTTCAGACTCCAGCTTCAGGCTGTTGACGTGGGAAATTGACAGGACAGTTGCTGCGACAAACCAGGGCAACCCCATTATAGAACATACAGCTAACATCACTCCAACCATCAGAAGATCCAAATGGTACCCGCAGCCTTTCTGTGAAGAGGAAATAGAGCAGATACTGATCACACACACATATGATCAGTAGAGAGACACACATCCTCTGTAAAGGCTATTTTAAAAAATATGCATACTACAAGTTTGTGCTCCTTGCGGTTTATTATGACGGCGGTGATCTGTTGGTCCATGAAGATGAGGATGGTGCAGAGAAGAGCTGGTATTGAGGCAGCCAACACAGTCCACCATGGGTTTCGCCCAATGGGGTTTATTAGCCAACCCCGGTCATCACGTGTGGGCTGTAAACACAAGGAGAAATGTAACAAAATAGCACTGTAATCATACTTTCTCCATTTTTATTTAAGTGTATTACTGATCCTTTTTAATGTGAGGAAAACTGCACTGTGAATTAGAGTTTCATATATTTTTCATCTTTGATAGTATTACCTAAGAAACTAACAACTATTTCTTCCTTCTTTATTGTCCAGGGTCACATGATCCTTACAAAATCATTCTAAAATGCTGATTTGTCACAAAGTAGATGTTACGATTCCTGTTTTGGGACTCTTATTTTGGTATGCCTCCCATTGTTCCTGTGTTTGTCTTGTTTCCTTAGCTACCTGGTTTGTTTTCTTGGTTACCCTTGTTTCTTGCTATAATGATTAATTACCATAACCTGTCCCTTGTTAGCTCCTTGATAGCTTGTGCATGGTGTTTCCTCTGTTCTTTGTCTGGTGTTGTCCTTTGTGGCTGTATTGTGAGCTTAGTTTTCAGGTCTGTTTCTACCTGCGAAGGACAGGAGTCCTTCCTGTGTGGAGTTTGCATGTTTTCCCTGTGCAGCGCATGTATCTGGATTAGCTTGGGGTATAAACTCAATTCCATGACTCAGCATTGTCTTAATCTGTCACTGCAGGGGTGCCACTGTAATCTAATCATATGAACAAATGTTCCTATAAACAAAACACGAACAAATTGGACCAAACAGGACTGTTGTGGATTATGACTGGACAGAAAAGAACTGACTGAAGACTGAAGCGGTGCATTCATCACTAAGGTAAGCTTTGAATTTAAAAGCTTCCAAAACAGAGCTGTTAGAAAGAACTAGAGACCTCAAAGCATTCAGGAGAGCTTCTTCTCTTTACTGCCCCGCACAGATATTTCCTTTTGGGTACCAATTATACCTGGTACCAATTTCATTAGCAGCTATTTTGGTTTATTTGTCCAATTTATATTTTATCATAGGTTAGAGCTTGCAATAATATTTGATTTGAGATTTTAATTATGATAGAACAGGCTTCATATATAAAAATATAAGCAAATGAGCAAAAGTTATAGTAAAAATTATATAGTAAAATTATGTTTCAGTTTTTCGGTTTAATTTAATTATTAAATTATTCAATGAGCACAATTTAATTGTAATTGGCTTAGCATTTTATTTATTTTTTTATTAGGATTAAAATAAATATATCTCAAATATGTATGGATTTATTGTGTATAATATTATGAACACATTACTTTAATCCAGTACATACATATTATTTCTGAAATAGTAGCAACTGCAAAGATTTTCAAGTAAAAATGATGCTGGATGGCATTTTGAAATTATATTAAAAGTCCTTTCTGAAGAGCATGGATATTCCACCAGGGGGCAGAAGACATGTACTGTCCTACATAGTATCCCAGTATTTTTAATCATAGTATGGGCTCTATGCACGGCGTTATTTCCGGTGAAGGATTAAGGATGCTCGATAACTTCCGCCGATCATAGAGTCCAATGCAATACCGAGAATTTATATTGAATTTTATACTCCATGGTTACACTAATGAAACGTTAGTCACAAAAACAGATAAAACAGACACCCCTCGTTGTGTTTATGCTTCTTTTTAAAATTATATTAAATAAACATAACTATATATAAAATTACATCTAAACGTATGTACGTTTCGTTTCAAAGACGGGAGGACAGTAAATATTGAAGACTCTGCCATAATCCCGTTTTCTCCGGTTTTCCTCCGCTTTAATCTACACAAATCGGAAATGGACGAGCATCCTTACGTCAAATGCGGAACTTATGCGTGCATATAGCCCATTAAAGCCTTAGAAAGCCATTTACCACATTTAATACATACAGTGTTATAGGGCTAAATATGCAAACACCAGTGTGTGTGTGTTTGTGTGCACATTTTATTATTGATTCCTACCTTGAATTTGTTGGGCACTTGCAATTTTTGGGATGGAACTCCAATGAGATAATCAAGCAGGACCATGAGAACAATGGTGAGGAACACAGCAAAATCACTGATCACTGACCGTACCTACATCACAAAAACAAATTAATACACACTTTGCATTTATTGTATACAAAATATATGCATATATGTTTGAGAATACAAGTATTTCAGCCTCACCCGTGTTGGGAAGTATCTGCTAGTCTTGAAGTCTTTCAGGAAGCTAGACAGGAAAACGGTACCGAAAAACAAGATGACTGACCAGAAGAGAACATCAGGGGTGTAGGGACCATGGTGTCCACACGCCGATCCAATAAACTGCCCCTGGAGGTCTAAACACTCCTACTCACAAACACACACACAAAGTTTGGCTCATATTTAACTGAACTGGCAGCCCAGACGCTGACTCAGTTGTGAAAATAGGATTAGCACTAAATGTGATCTGTGTGAGACTACACTGTGAAAAAACATTGCACTGCAGTAATGGGATGTGAATTGAATAACAGGACTCCTCCAACTGTATAATGTGTGTCATAAGGTGTTCTTTCATAACATGATGATGTAAGATGATGTACATGACAATGTGAGGGTGTTGAGAAGTTAAAAGTGACATTTAAAGGAATATTTTGTCTTGTTAAAGCTGCAGTCCGGCATCTCTGTTCGAAATCTGCAATTGCAGTCATTCGTGGAATTATCAACTTAACGTGAGTTGTACTTCAACACCCTCGACACGGCATAGTAAGGTAAGACCATGTAAGAATGTTCAATTTTCAGTAGTTTGACTAGACTGTTTGTAAGGATTGTGGGAAGTACCGTTACAGTGAGGTTGCTCCATGGTACTGCAGAGGCTGTGACGTTCCTCTGATTCCACAGTTCTAGTGTTTTATTACTGGGATTATCAGGTTCTGCACACCTACAACTGATGGCATACAATGTGTTAAAATGTGTGTTCATAAACAGTCATTCCAATTTCTCATTGATGTCTAGAAGAATAACTTATTCTCCTTACTTGCATATTAATTATTAACATCTAAGAACACAAAATTAGAAACCAAGGATATATCCAGAGATCCAACTTGCATGTGTCTGCATATATGAGTTTATATACTTACTAGGCCAGTGTTAGTTTGTCCAGATTGCCATGTCTGTTGATCGGGTACAGTTCTCCAAGATGGAAAAGTTTCTCGAGTGCTTCATAAATAAAGATAATGCAGATGAGCGAAGCAAACGCTTCCTCTGTAAAACGTGTGATGTAACAGACCAAGGAGCTGGCATCTGTTGCAACAAGAATCAGACACAAGAAAGCTGTCCACAGACCAATACAAGTACGAAGGGACAGGTACGAGAGGTCGAAGTCTCTACAGGGACAGAAACAGACAGGACAGAGACAATAGAGAGGGTTAAGATAAATGAATACTAAATTGATACAGAAGATATATTGTAAATATATATTCTACATCCCCTTAAATTAACTGTATGTTTTTAAAAGAAAATTATTATTAGATTATAATATAATAATACAATATTGTAATATTAATAATAATAATAATCACAATAATCATTAATACTATATAATTTCAAAATTATTAATGAAATAATATATAATACATATAATATAGAAATTATATTAACAAATGTATTAAAATCACAATAACCAATTAAACAATTTTCTGGATAAGAAAGTGAATGATTAGTTAATTATTAAATATGTTTATTTTTAATACTTGGTCTGGCCTGTACTGACTTGCAGAACTTGAAGAGAATCTTTTCAAACACAAGGACCGGTCCAGTGCTTCCCAGTATAGTTAGCGGCTGCCCAGCAAACAGAGAGTATGCTACTCCAGTCATAGACGCCCCTAACAGAGACTCAATCGCACTCTGACACACACACACACACACACACACGACTGCTGTGTTTTGCATTATAAACATATTTTTTTACATGACTTTGCCTAATAGACCACACAGAAACAAAACTGTCCGTGTTTGCATACTTACAATGCGTCCCTCTGTAGCCTCTCCCAGAAGCCCTCCAAACGTGATAACAGGTGACATGCAGGCACAGTATAGAAACAGAAAAGAGGCTACACACTGCAAACTCAGACCATCTTTATAATCACTCAGATAAAATGGAGCTTTTCTCTTCACATCCAGAATCAGTCCTCCAAACAGTCTACAGATAGAGTAAAGAGGAGAGAAACATATATGTCCACAAATGTATATTGTTTCCATACTGAACCAGTAGCAGTTCTATTCATTAAATGTTGTTAATTCAATGTTTATAAAGCAGTTTCTCCTCATAGGGACTGTTGGCAGCTCCCCGCCAGCAATGTAGATGATTTCTGGTTTTAGGATATCTGGTTCCCAAAATGTATTTAAATCCTGACCCACACACCTTCCAGTTCTCTGTAGTTCTAGTCCATGGTGTTCCCCATGCTGCTCTTCCTCAACGGGAACCACTGTTCCGTTCGGCACTCCTGGCATCTTTCTTTTCTCCTATTCAGAAAGAGAAATACAGTAGATGCATTATAACAAACAATCAATCACTTAAGCATCACTTTAAAAAGTGTGTTTTTCCACACCTGTGATGGGACACTTTTAGGAGGTTCTATGCGTATAGCAGGGTCCCATTCTCCTGGAGGCAAAACTGTCACTTGATCCAGAAACTCATCAATACCAGCCAACAAATCATTCTTGTCCTTGGCCTTGTATGCAACATCATGGAAAATCTAAATGATATAAGAAAGAAAATATATTACATTGAAAATAAGAATGTAAAAGTTCTTCTGAAAACGTAAGGACTTGGGGTTAATGCATTAATATCCAATGAGAAAATGCTATGACTACTGAAACACTGTATGTCTAGTTCTGCATTGACCTCATCGGTCATGATGGTGGCCATAGAGCGACCGATCTCATGGTACTGCTGGGCTTTTCCATCTGGACCGAGCAAAATGAACAAGAATCTGCAGAGTAAAGAATGATTTTGATCATTCTGTTACAATGGATTTATCAGCTCCATGCATGCATTTGCAAACAAACAGCTTATACCTAGTGGGAATGGGAACTTCAGTAAGCCCTGTGAGCAGTACAGCAGGAGACAGGCGAACAAATGCAATGATGGATCTCTCTAAAAAGTCCAGCTCTCCAACCAGCACATTAGAAGCTTCAGCTCCAGTTGGGATCTTTTTCATGAAATGTGTGTCAACCTACGGAAAGAGAATCATAGCAGTGTTATTTTTGTGTTGTTTATAGTAGGCAAGGCAATGCAAGTTTATTTATATAGCACATTTCATACACAATGGTAATTCAAAGTGCAGTTTCCATAGAAGAAATTAAAATAATCAAAAGAAATCAGAATAATTAAAACAGTTTAGAATAAAAAATAAAATGTACAGTACAGTAACAGTCGGACGAACAGTGGCACCATAGGCGGAAATCGCGGGGGGGTCGGGGGGGTCAGGACCCCCCCTATCTGAGGGTTGTCCCCCCCAAAAAACATGTGTATTGTAAATAATGTAATGATATGTTCTCAAAATAATTAAGAAATAAAATAACACAAATGCAAACGGGGCAATATCGAAAAAAGCGTTCTAAACATTTTGAGACCCCCCTCCCTTGCCTCACAGTGCATTGGTCCACTCACTGCCTCCGTCCCTTTTACCTCAGACGCCTCCGTCCCTTTTACCTTAGACACACACATTCCGGTGGCGGGAGAGAAAAACATAGTTTTTGAGTAGTTGTGGAACTCCAGTAAAGGGGTCGCACACCGGACGAGAAGCGTCGCGCAGCGCCACGTCTTTACAATTCGAACACATTATTCTCGGTACACACACCGGCGGCGCCGTTCGGCGTCTGTCCGCGGCGCCCAGCAACGGCTCAGGACCGTGTTCAAAACCCTGCTGCGCCACAGAGTGCCATTTACATAGTTTTATATACAATTTAAATAATTTTTGTCTCAAATCGGTGCTGACGGGTCCTGACTTCGCCCTATGCTGCAATATGCATTTAGTTTTGCATTTATTTACAGAAATTCTCAATTCATTCAGTAACCAGATGCTCTGAGGTAAAGTTTTCAGACTGCAGACTCAGGAACGATTGTTTTTAATTGTACAGTACAATAATAACTTAGAACAGACATTATCTTCATGTCATTAAACATTACAATATTGCTGGCCATACACTGGTGAGAAAGTCCGGGTGCGCTGTGCATTTAGATTGTAACGCTTTCACTGTGATTTAGTTGGTTTATATTATTAAATATAGTTAAAGAATGAGTCAATGAATGAAATGAAATCGCTGCGCTACGTGAGGAGAGTATGTAAATAGATTCGCCGCTGGCTTAAACCAGAAAGAAATTAAGAAGTATAATGAAATGGTCTCCATGCTACACTAATAATAGTGGTAAGGCTTTCCTCTGTATTTTTTTGCCTGTATTATTGGTGTCCCCTTCAAAATTTGCTCTTGAGAGTTGTTATGTTTATTGTCCCCCCCAACATTTTGATGAAATTTTCGCCCCTGAGTGGCACAATGCTCCCTTAGTAAATGCAAAGCTAAATAGATGTGTTTTGAGTTTGGATTTGAATGTGATTACTATAGGAACCACCTGATCTCCTCTGGAAGCTGGTTCCAGCTGCGGCTGGCATAATAGCTAAAGGCGGACTCTCCATGCTTAGAGTTAACCCTTGGTATTTCTAGCTGATGTGATCCGAGTGATCTGTTAGATTTATATTCAGTGAGCATATCTGCAATATATTGAGGTCCTAGCCCATTGAATGATTTATATACCAGTAGTAATACTTTAAAATCAATAGTACGTATTAATATTTTGAATTAGCTTTTACTTTCATTTATTTATTTTCAGTAGTCATTCACATATTTTTGTTTACGCTGTAGTAATTTTCTTTTCCATTTTACTAGTATTTTAGCTTTAACTTATTTTTTTTTATTTCAGTTTGATTCATTTAGCACTTCAAATTAAACCTATTTTATTTCTAATATAATTGTCAGGGCAAAAGTGTTTTAGCCTTTATTGAGATTTTTCTTTATTGCAACCACACTACGTGTTAGAGCGCTGCCCATACCATAAGGTTATCAACTCCAACATTTATGTTTTACATGTAAAATTTCAACTTTATTTAATTTATTATATATAAATAAATCATATAGAACTCGTATTAGTGGCTATTCCAGTCACAAATAGCTGTTCGTTTCAGTCAGGGTGATAGATAAGAAGAACAGCAGGTTTGTAATCTGATTGGGGCAGCATCTCAGCCATCCTCACTATCACTCTTAATGTCTAACATCTGGCTCATTACAGTTCACTTCCTTTTTCCTGATCAGTAGCATAACATTACACAAACAATGCGTAGTACCTCCAAGGCTCACCAGATGGCAGTGTTTGTGTTTACGTGTGGGTGCATTTGTCCCAGAGGTTCTTGGTAATGGTGCATAGCCTGCCTCCAGTGGGCAATCAAAAATATAAACAGAAATAAACAGATTGAACCTGTTTGTTTTAATGGGTTGTCTAGCACTTGCATTATCTTTCCTCTCATTTCTTATATTATTTCTTTGTTCACTGGACCATTTCACAAATTATCAATTTTCCTAGATCTGTTTTCTCTGAAAACAGGATGCAGGACAGGTTTTTGCATAAATTTGTGTATATGATTTGTGGCTTAATTTCTGGGGGTAAATATAATGCCATAGAATGAGGGCACAGAATGCTCTGTCTGAATTTGCAATTGAGTACATTTTCATTCCCACAAACGTGAATATCTCTTATTTGGTATTTTTTATTTGTAGTTTGATAAAAATTAATATTCCAAATTAGTCTTGATGTTATGGTTCAAGCACCTTGGTGAGATCCATCTGGCCATTGTCCGGTGCTGCACTATTCTTTACATCTGGGTTTGTCGGTGGAGGCTGAGGAGAGGTGGCAGGACCTGAGAGATTCAATAAAATATGATAAATATCTTATATCCACAGCATCCTAAAATATAGCACATGAATCAGTTATGCATTATTTCTCATTGGATACCAATAAATGTGTTTAGAGTAATCTAAAATTAAAAAGGGAAATTTATAGTTCTGAAATAGGTAATAAATGGATAAAATAAAATATTTGAAAGTATAACAATAGACTTTAAATATTAGGTGTTAGTATGAGACTGGGATGGTAGAATCACTTATTGACCAAGTTATTTCCACTCTTTCATTTCCAATCATGAGCATGTAAACAGAGTCAACCAATTCATTTTCATAATACACACAAGGATACCACACAGGATGTCATTAAAGCACCAGAAGTATTTCCGACCTCAAAATAATGGTTTAAATGAGGACATTCTGTTTACAGAATAATTCGTAAAATAAAATAAAAAATTGCTTTGCATTTCTCCTGTGGTATCTTTCAGAACAATAGCCCAACTGACATTCTATGCAAATGCATTATATGTTGAATTGCACTACTTGAAAACAACATTATAATCTTGTTCACGGTAGAGAAAGATGCATGTACTGTAAACTACACAGGAACAGTAACCGTGAAGACACTGAATTTAACATAACAGCCGTCAAAATAATGACGATAAAATATTCACAAATACACTTAAATTGCTGTAAATGAGTTTTTATGAATGAATGGCTCGCTCTAACTGTTGCTCTGGATTTTCGTCAACAACAAGCGCTTGCACCTCCAGCTGGTGAGGTCAATTAACAGCAGATGGAAATTATGCTCGGTAATGCTTTTCCTGCTGTTCCTGGATGTCAACGTTAAATTTACTGTCGAATTTGAACCACTGAATTTGTGAAAGTGAATTTGCAAAGCGAAATAAAATAGAAACAAAAATCGACTGTTGAATATTATAGGTTGTATTTTTAAACAGTTTGAATATTTTGGAAGTGAAATGTTAAAGGTGAGTATGGATTATTGAAATTTTAAAAATGTGTTTGAATTGAAATATTCACAACTTAAATATTTAACCATGCTGAATTCAGCCCATAAAATGCAAGCCCTGAAAATACAAAGCATTAAAATGCAAGCATGGTTTATGTTTTTTTCAAGTAGTGCTATTCAACAGCCTTTTTTTGTTTCAAAAATATTGGAATTATTTACTTCCATATTAGCATTACTGTAAAACACACCTTTTGCAAAATCAGAATTTTGTAGACAAACTGATTTTTAGTGGATATTGTCACAGACATGTTACGCGTCAGGTGAGCTCAGGTGTGTTAGTGGTTCCATCTGCAAGGTCCAATTGTATGGCAAGAACTGTTTTATCTAGAGCATCATCTGCTTGGAATAAACTGGATTTAAGAACAAGGCATATATCAAACATATATAATTTTAAGAAGACTCTAAAACAGATTACAATTAATAGTATTACATCAGTTAATTTGTGACTGTCTATATGTACTGATATTATCAAATGCTGTATGAGTGTGTATATGTGGATAAATGTGTACATGCGGTAATGTTATATTTATGTATGTTATATTTGTGTATTTTAATTGTATATAAGTTTTAGTACGCTTATGGGCCCCAGGAAGACTAGCAACCACATTGTGGAAGCTAATGGGGATCCAAATAAATAAAAGTAAATAAAAAAAGAATGATTTAATTCTGTCCACAGAGCTTAAGGTTAAGGTTGTGTTTAACCAAAAATATTCCTTTATTATGCACATGTAAAATGTGCAGTTCAGCTCACCCGTTTTATCCATAGAGTGAGGTTCACTATGTCTCCTGCCAGAGTCGGTGAGGGATTTGACCATAGGCAGCAGGTTGTTCCTCTTTTTGTCATTCTGGTGATGATGTCTCTTCAGAAGTGCCTCTCGAACCTTCATTCTTACACTGTCATCCAGTTCATGAGCTGCCTCCTGATGGTCAAGCACCAAATCTACACACAACAAATAATACATACAGACGAGAACACAAATGTACATCAGACAATGTATATACAGAACAATATTGAATAATTTAAAGTGACAATGTCTTGTTTTGCAAGATTACACTGTATGGCGATTATGATCAACCTACTTAGGACTGAAAATGTTGTATTCCAGCATGCTAAATATTGCAGTACTTTCCCTACACATTCACTCTCACATTCTCTTGTTCTCTGAAACATCCCACAATTCCAGTTGGAGCTGATGCAGCATTGTTAATCTGCATAACTCGCTCCTTTCCTCCACTCCAACCTTTACAGCATAATTAAATTATCAGGCTCTCCCTGTCCTTCTCTTTCTCTGGCATTAATCTTGTTCCTAACACTGCTGCAACATTGATCAAAACAGTCATGCCTCAATGAGACACAGGTTACATTATCAGTATGCTAAACTTAAATAGCCAATGTATGAATTAGGTATTCAAACTTTGATGTTCATTTAAGGGCTGCTAACAGCCATGCCTAGTTTATCAAACTAAGTACCTAATGGGTTTTATGAGTGTTTGCGTTTGTCTATCACCAACATGAGTGGGAGTGTGAGGTTGCAGTATGTGTGAAGTTACAGGTGGGCCTAATATACTGCAGGACACACACACACTTGTCACGCTGTTGTACTTTTCCTCAGTAAAAATCTGTACTGAATAAATATAACCTTGTCAGGCTCAATCAGATTGTGATCAGACTGTTAAAGAGGACATATTATGCTTTTTTACATTTTCAACTTTCTTTAGTATGTTGCTGTTTGAGCATGAAAAAGGTCTACAAAGTTACAAAGCACCAAGTCACTCCAAAGAGAGTTATTCTTTATATCAGTGAGCATTTCTGAATTCCCTGAAACGCCTTGAGTCTTGAGTTTTCTTCTGTACATGTCACAATATTCCGAATTTAAATAATTCCTGTCGAATGCATACACAAAAAAGGGGTAGAGCCTGTTTGAGTTGCCTTAGTGGTGTGTTTTCGCCATGTCCAAGAGATGCTGTTATGGTAAGGGGTGTCACAATTTCAAAACACGCTCGAAGTGGTTGGCCAATCACAACATTGGTCCAGCTGACCAATCAAAGCGCTTCATAGAGACCGTAACTAAACAGAGCGTTACTGACAGATTGGGAAGAGAGGTGCTGCAACAATGCAAATATGTGAAAAATAATGTTTTTGAACATCCAAGCCTGTAAAGTTATTCTAAAAGATCCCAAAAACAAAATCAAAACTTTGCAAAAGGGCATAATATGACATCTTTAAGCAAATAATTTAAGCAAAAAAAAGGTGTAATGTGTTGTATATGTTAAAATTCGTCTTTTCTGAGTTTAATGTGCAAAGCGCCATACCCACTGATTTCTGACTGACCTGCAATTTCCTCGATGCAGTTGGCCTTCATGTCCAATAGGACAGTTCCATTTATGATGCAGCTTCGTAACTCAAACAGGCTATGGAGAGAGAGTGTAGCTACGTACGGCTTACTCCATCTCTCCCCGCCATCTTCCACATCCTCCTCAAATTTTAGCCACCTGAGAAGATTAAAAACCCCTGAGTTAACCTACATTTTGGCACTGAATATCCTGTTGCAGGATAGGAAATGTGTTGACATTAAAGGATTAGTTCACCTAAAAACAAACAAACAAACAAGCAAAAACATTTATTTATTTATAAACATACTTTTTAACCAAAATTGTTTGTCTTGGGCTGGTCGGCGACGTGCCATTATGTCATCACGTTGGAAACAACAAACTTTTTTTTTTTAATAATAATAAATTAAAACAAAGATGTCAGACGATTTTGAAGTTGGTGAAGAAAACGAGAGAAAATGAGATGGAATTTTTCGCCCTTCCCTGCCTTTTTGAACCGGAGTACACAGACAAATAACTTAGATAGATGACGTGACACGTGAGGTTCTCAACGTTCCTGATGCGTCACGGACCAACACAAGATAAAAAATTGTGGTTAAAGGTATATAAATGTTTATTTATTTATTTTTTAGAAAATGACCAATCTTTTCGCTAGATAAGATCCTATTCCTTAGCTGGGAACATTCAGAGCCATTTGAAGCACTTCACAGCCCTTTGAAACTGCATTGATTTGGACTTAAAAATGTTGGTTGCGCTTGAAATCAATTGTGTGGAGAAAAATCATGAAATGTTTTCCTCAAAAAACTTAATTTCTTTTCCAGTGAAGAAAGAAAGACACAAACTAAAGGGCTGTATTGAGATTGAGTCCCGCCGGGTCCTGCGGGGACCAATGCAAATCTCGCGGGAGTGGGCGGTTTGAACTTTGCTGAAATGCAGAAATGGGTGGCAAAAAACAACTGCGGGATCGAGAGGTAGCCTAGCGACACGATGGAGCGGCATACGTTGCGGGAGAGGGCGGTAATGGTCAGAAATTTGGCAGACGGGAGCGGGATGAAGAAAACAGTCCCGTGCAGGGCTCTTGGATGGCATTTGGGTTAGTAAACTATCAGAAAATGTTAATTTTGAGGTGAACTAATCCTTTTAGAGACATATTCTTATACCTAGCAGTTTCCTTCCACTCCGCATCTTTGCCACCTTTAACACAAATTTCATCAAGTTCTGTAAAGAGCTCATGTGCCACGTGTTCCTCATCCTCTTCAGTGCCCAAAATAAACTGAACCCTCTGGGATGGAGTATCTAAAAAAGAGAGATAGGAAGAATGAGAGACACAGACAGACAAGAGTATATTTGTAAAACTTTTTCATTTTCACTGTGAGAGAGGAAACAGAGGCAGGAAGCACAGTAAACAAAAGTCTCATTAGAGTAATTTTCAATGTTTGTTATCATAAATATGAGTTCATCCTTTTGGAATTAAAGGGCTCAAGGAAATAATGCTGAGAGGAAGTAGGGTAAGCAGGGTAATGAACATTTTTATGATACAGTTGTAACCCTGTGCTTTGGAAAGATTAATTTTATTTAACTTTAACTATCCGTCGATCTGTTTCTTAGTTTTGTGGATTTTCAGAGACTCTCTCTGCAGGTTACATTGTTATGCCAGTAGGTGATGACAAATGAATGTGAGTGAGTCATCTGAATCATTCACTCAACCGATTCGTTCAAAACATTGATTCATTCAGGAACTGCATTTCTGCTGAAAACAGATTGTAAGTGTTGTTGCATAAATAGTTGTGTGTTCATGATAAGACGTGGTCAACAGTGTATTTAGTCCATTTCATGCGTTTTCGATTTGTCCCGGAACTAATGTTCACTGTTTGTGTTACCGTTACAATGGTTTAGTCGGCGCACTGTTTTGGGTTCCAGTGGTGCAGATGGCTACGAGACTTTGTTAAACTGCATTAAAAGTTGCAAATGTCGGATGTCTGAAGTTCATGCAGACAGTCAAGTGGACTTTCAAGGGACTTTAAAGGATTGAATAACCTATTTTCACAACAAGTGGCTAACGAGCCAAACCAATGGAGAAAAACTGTAACTAACTTATTTTCCACTTGATTTCTTTATGAAAGCAATATCACATATAATTCATTTTGGATCCAGGATTTAATTCTCCAGATTCACCTTCCTGTGAATCATCCTACAAGCGATTGCTTGACTTATTTGTTACCCAAGCTGTTGTTGCTCTCACCGTGTGATGCTAAGGTACTTTCTGTGTTCCCGTCTTCCTGAGCTACGCTTTCAGCTCTCACTTTCTCAGATCTCCTGCGGTGTTTGGAGCTGTGTGGCCGGTGATGACGGTGAGACTCCCTGCCCATGGGCATCCGCACACCCACAAACAAAGTCCTGTGACCTGAGAAAAAGGATAGAGGGATGAAATTTAACATGATTTTTTTCAGGTTAATATTAGGGTATTGAGCTGTGAGCTATATCACATGAATAACTCAATGTGTGTGTGTGTGGTTATCTACAAACCCTCTAGCTCTTCTTTCTCATAATGGATATTCAGAACTGAGCTGGTGCCACCATGGTCCACCACAGCTTCCTCATCAGGCCTCTGAAAGACACATTAGTTAAATGAGTGTGTAAAGAAGTACAGTACCATAGACTTCCTAACACAATTATTATTTTTTTCATTAAAAACAGTAGGCCTAATTGTTTATTTGTGGTTTTTCTATTTGGGGATGTCACACAAACATCATTGTCAGGACTTCCCATCTGCTGTTTATATACATTTTAATCCCCTCAACCTTTTGCTCACAGAAGCATTTAATTTTCACAAATTAATTAGTATATTATTTACTATGTATTCTTAATTTCAGGTTTTAGTTCCATGAGGTCTTCTTGTCAATAGAGCATTGTTGGGATGTGGTGGAACAGGAGCTTCATGCCCTGGATGTGCATCCCACAAATCTCCATCAACTGCAAGATGCTATCCTATCAATATGGGCCAACATTTCTAAAGAATGCTTTCAGCACCTTGTTGAATCAATGCCACGTAGAAATAAGGCAGTTCTGAAGGCTAAAGGGGGTCAAACAGTATTAGTATGGTGTTCTGTTCCTAATAATCCTTTAGGTGAGTGTAAACTTCTATGCATATACACCTACAGTATAAACACTCGCACATACATATAAACCCGATGCAAGCATACACATTCATAAAACACTCGCGCATACATACAAAATAAAACGTGGATGCATCCTTTAGTTGTGTACAGTATATGTTAGTGCGGTTTTGGCGGTTGTAGAGTTATAATGACGGTGTTCAAATACATAACATTAGACTAACGTTAGCCAGCGTATAGTATCATGATTCAGTACTCTAGTATTTATTTGAGATACATTATGTTTTTTTATTAATCGAGCAGCAGAAAAATATACAGCAAACCAAGCCACCAAAGTCTAGGTATAGTCATATTAACAAGAGCATGTTAAGCGGATAAGGTGAGAAGGCCCGGTTGCGAAAGAGAAAACCAATCCTTGATTTTATTTTAGATTGGACTTTGCTAATATGGGAAAGGAGAGAGAAGAGTCCAAACAGATACCTAGATATTTGTAGGTGTCAACGGTTTCCAGTGCAAAACCATCCAGAGAGGATTTTTTTTTTATTGCATAGGAAGTTAAAAAGGGAGATCGGTTAAAGATTAATTTAATAGGAATTTAAATTTAGTTGGAGACCACGGAATGAATGTTGTATACTGTTAAAACTCACTTGAAGGCTGTCTAACACGGTATTCATAGACGGGCCAGGTGTAAAGAATAGTATCGTCTGCATATAGATGTATCAAAGAGTCACCTGCGGTAAATAATATCGAGCCGAGAATTGAACCTTGTGGCACCCCCATCGAGACAACCAGCAGGCTAGATAGCAAGCCCTCTGATTTAACACACTGAAATCTGTCTGTAAAATAATTAGTGAACCATGCGAGGCAGTGATTTGAGAGACCCATACGTCAAAAAGCTAGATACATATTACAAGATCCTGTGCCACTTATGAAGACATCCAAAATAGATGCTCACTGGCACAGTTAATGAAATAAATTCATATAAATAAACTTGCCTATATAAGCATATCATCTTGCCTGACTTTGCGATTACCTGTGCCCAGTACCTCCAAACGAGGCCACTTTTATTTATTAGGCTTCCTATTATTCACTTCCTTCTTTACATTTGTGTGTGAGCGTGTGAGATATATCCCACTGGGATGCGGCTATCTTTCCATGACAGAGATGATTCATCAATGTGTTTTCATGTTTTCAGGAACACAAGCCTATAATTCAAATAAATCCATCTGAACATTTTGTGCTTAAAAAAAGGGCAAATCAGAAGGTGCAAATATTCTCACGGACTAAACAGTGCAGTACAATAATAATAATAGATTCAAGTGAAAGGATTCCTCAAGTGAACCCATTTGCTTTAAAATGATGAGAGCATTACTTGTTGTTGACTGGCAAATGTTGCTCGGTTCTGTTTTAGCTTGAGGCTTATATATGTTTAATCTGTGTGGTATTGATTGACAGTGATGTGTGGATCAGCATTTAGGTCATTCATTACATTGTGTGTCACAACAAAAGCACCAGTAGCTTTCCATTTTAGAGAATCCGTCTTGTTTCCAACATCCCAACAAATATATAATTTTCTACTCTCATCTTATCAAGGTCCTCCAGAACTGTAATTATTACAGGCTTAAGAACAATTGCATAAAATGATGGAAGTTTCTTAGCTTCCTTAATCCCACTGTGATTTTAATATTTAACATGCATTTCCAGGTAATATATGTTGAATATGTGACATGAATATACCTCACTTCTGATGTAGGCTACATAACCACCAAAGACATTTGTCTGATTGGGATTACATACATTTAAAGTCATCCATTTTAAATGTATGTAATCCTAATCATGCTTAAATTACATTCTTAAACAGAGGGAAGTCATAAAATGTCTCATTCAGACTGCCATGTTGCCCTTGTCATGAATCATTTGAGTCGTTATTGTCATTAAAACACTTACCCAGGGGACAGGATAAAATAGAGATGGAGCTAATTAATCATCTGAACATATTAATTATTTTCTGTGCTCATCTGTGCTACTGTTTTCCTCCTCCTCTCTCAATCTCTCCTTGTCTTTCTCCCTTTATTGGTTTGACATGAGCATATACCCTAATCAAAATAATAACAGAACACTTGAGCTGACTAGACTGCTCCTGTGTCACCTAGTTACCTGTCTGTGTACAGCATGTGTGTAACTCACAAAGAGATTTTCCACTGGTAAAATGACCTCTTCTTACCTCTCCTTATCACCAGGCAACACTTATTCAGTCCCTGGTCAAAGACACACACACAAAAAGTGTCTGTACTTTATGGAAACCTTGATTGCGACTTTATTTCTCTTCAATCTTGCAATAGTAAACTATGAAAATAGTTGCGAGACAGAAAGTCAGAAATGATTTTCTTGTCATTTTTATAGCCCACAATGTGACTTTTTTATTTCTCATTTTGGGGCCAGTAAATTATACTTTTACTCAGCAAGGATGCATTTAATTGATAATCACTTTAAAGAGACTTAAAATGTTACAAAATATTAAATGCTGTTCTTTTTATCTCTCTATTCATCAACAATCCTGAATTTTTTTAAATCACATTTTCCACAAAAACAGTAAGCATCGCAACTGTTTTTAACATTGATAATAATAAGAAATGTTTCTTGAGCAGCAAATCAGCATAATATAATTCTTTCTGAAGGATCATGTGACTCTGAAGACTGGAGTAATGATGCTGATAATTCAAATTTGCCATGTTTTCTGCTATAGAAAATTAGGGAATATTTTTATTTGTAATATTATTATTTGACAATATTACGTTTTTTACTGTATTTTTGATCAAATAAATGAAGCCTTGGGAGCTTTTTTTTAAATAATTTAAAACTCTTTCTGAAACCAAACTTTTGAACTGCAGTATATCTTTATTTCTCAGTGTGACTACATCCATACACCCTTTTGACTTCGAAGGTCACATGGGCCATTTTTTGCCCTTCCTCCTCCTCCTCCTCCTCCTCCTAACTCGTTCTCCAGCACATTGCTTTGACAGTTATCTTAGTAATCTTGACACAGACCACAACCTCTGCCACTACCAGATGCACAACCCATAAAATCATTTCTTCTCTGAAGTGAATGCTTTATGTTGTTCGAAAGTGAGGGGTAGAGTGTATGTTATTGATTACTTTTAATTTTTCAATAAACCACTAAAAGCATACTTTTGAGAGAGATGATCAACCCTGCAGTATGAGCAACTCATACTAACGAGCATGTGGTTGGAGTGAAAGATTTGCTGTAGCACTTGTTCCTCTGGGCAGAATGACTCATTCATAAGTCAAAGCCATCTCAACCTTCCTATCACAATAATATTTTGTATGGCATGTTGATCAGGGGCATATTTAAAAAAAAAAGGTAGTTTATGTGTCGTTGTGTATAACAAAATGTGCATTTGTATTACCTTGTGTGACAAGTTTTTGTGTTTTTCATTCAAAATACACAAGATTTTGCACATAAGCCTTGAAATCTAGACGCATTCTCTCATTCTCATTCTTCCACCACACAGTTTTTTTTTGTGCTGATAATAATGCCAGTGGTGCCAATAATGCCAGTTTAAAACTCATCAGCTATGGAATCAGGGTTGGTGACTTTATGTGGTCTTCTGCTTCATGGCTGAGGTCCTAAACACTTTGTCTCTGCAATAATACCACTTACAGTTGCCAGTGGAATATCTGGCAGGGGAGAAAGGTGGCATTCTGTCACTGAATTTACTGAGCTTTTCCCTATTCCCTACATATCCCTTTACACTAACCCTTACACTACCCCTGAACCTACCCATCACAGAAAAGTTTCTGCATTTTTTTACATTTAAAAATAAATCTCATTCTGTATGATTTACAAGCTTGTTTCCTCATGGGGATGGTGGGGACCTCAATTTAGGTCCCCACGGTGACACAAGTCACCATGAGTCAGTGTGCATTCAGGTTGAAGTCCCCACCAGAATATAAAACAAGCGCACACACAAACACACACACACACACAGTATATATATTTTTTTCACAGTTGTACATTAGGTGTATTTTATCTTTGCAAAATGGACACACACACATGCTGTAATTGCAGTCATTCACAGAATTATTAACATTATGTGAGTTGTACTTTGACACGGCACAGAATGGATGAACACAATGTTTGAGGAGAGTGTGCAGCTGTAAGTCACCGTGCCGGTGTGGATACTGCCATTCAGAATCACAGATTATTCTTTTTGGAAATATGACCAACATTTTAACCGGAAAATGTCCTCTGAACTAGTAAGAAACATCCACTTTTGTTCTGGTTCAGACATTGGAGTAAAACGCACTGATTAAATCTATAACAATAACTTATCATAGCACGCAAAACCGCACAAATTATACTTTGTATTGTTAATGTTAACAACGTCGGCATTGTAAACAATGCGTGACTACATTTTGTCCTTCCGATGATATGTATCCTTGTTTTCGCATGGGTCCGGTTGCAGTCTCTTTTTGTCACTCCCAAGTCCGAACGAATTCTTTTCCATTTTACAACGGGTGAATATTCAGTTTTCACTGGTGATCAGTTGTCACTGATGGTGGTCGTTTGAACCTTTCTGGATCTGCCATCAAGTTGATAAGTTTAATTATATCAAGTGTTGTGAGAAAAGGCTATAAATCTCCACCTCCAGCATCCTCACACTCAAAGCCTACTAGCCGAGACTCCTTCTTTATGTGTACAAATGTGACGTAATGAAAAAGACATGCTCGAATTTCAAGTGGAAATCCACTAGTACCACTATGAATTAAAAAACATTATAACCGCTTTGAATCGAGCTAAGGCAAGCATATAGTTTTGAACACTGGCTGGTTATGTATTTTTTCAAAAATGTATTTTGGATAATTTTTTAACCCCCAAAAAGCTACGTACTGCAGCTTTAAGTATGAAGATGACATTTTTTTTTTTGTTATTTAGCTTATTAGTTAGTGCTATTAGCTAGTGTTTAAATCTGTTTTAAAACTTTTCATGATAAATCTTTGAAACAAAATGATTTTTATAAATATTACAGGATCATAGATATAGAAATAGTAGTTCTCTAGAAAAATAACTGGTGTTGAAAAGAAATCTGGAAAGTTTCAGGCTGCAATTAATGTAAGGGACATATTGAGCCAAGTCAGATGTGTGGGGAAAAAGGCAGACAGTTCTGAATGGTTTGCCCACATTCACTCTCTGTACTTAGAGTGTCTGTATAAACACACGTTTTTCAACAAATGGAAAAACTATCGATTGGTTTCTCTGACAAAGGGAGGCTTTTCACATGCTCTTTCTCTGAACAGTCACTATCCACTGGATGATAAAATTTTCCCATATTGAAAAGTTCCTTTGGGTATACTCCATACTCATAATTTTATTTTAAATAATATTTTTTCCCTTTTTGTCAGTTGTTATGAATCTTCTAAACGGAAAAGATCACCCAAAAATGAAACTGTCATCAAACTAATTCATATGACTTGTGTGCCACTGTAAATCTAAGTCTCTAAGTCTTTTAAGTTGTTATTCGCTTAAAATCTTGACGCTCTAACTTTCCTCGCCACATTCATGAGAGAAGCAGCAATGTCAGTTTTATCAACAAATGTTCTTTTGAGCCAGATTGATCAATGAATCAGTTGATCTGTTCAGAGATTTGCTGATGAAGTGGATTGATCCAGTTAGTTGACTCAATCCAGCTGTAGTTGTTAATAACCCACTTGAAAGGGAAATCAATCAGCGAATGACTGTTATGTCTGTTTGTTGCACACATAAAGCCATTGTATGTATTCAGAAGAATTAGAATAGAGTACACAAGTCATATGGGTGACTTTTATGATACTTTTGCAGAACACCTGTTCAATTTCTCATTAATGCAATTATCTAATCAACCAATCACATGGCAGTTGCTTCAATGCATTTAGGGGTGTGGTCCTGGTCAAGACAATCTCCTAAACTCCAAACTGAATGTCAGAATGGGAAAGAAAGGTGATTTAATCAATTTTGAGCGTGGCATGGTTGTTGGTGCCAGACGGGCCAGTATGAGTATTTCACAATCTGCTCAGTTACTGGGATTTTCACGCACAACCATTTCTAGGGTTTACAAAGAATGGTGTGTAAAGGGAAAAACATCCAGTATGCAGCAGTCCTGTGGGCGAAAATGCCTTGTTGATGCTAGAGGTCAGAGGAGAATGGGTCGACTGATTCAAGCTGATAGAAGTGCAACTTTGACTGAAATAACCACTCGTTACAACCGAGGTATGCAGCAAAGCATTTGTGAAGCCACAACACGCACAACCTTGAGGTGGATGGGCTACAACAGCAGAAGACCCCACCGGGTACCACTCATCTCAATTACAAATAGGAAAAAGAGGCTACCATTTGCAAGAGCTCACCAAAATTGGACAGTTGAAGACTGGAAAAATGTTGCCTGGTCTGATGTGTCTCGACATTCAGATGGTAGAGTCAAAATATGGCGTAAACAGAATGCGAAGATGGATCCATCATGCCTTGTTACCACTGTGCAGGCTGGTGGTGGTGGTGTAATGGTGTGGGGGATGTTTTCTTGGCACACTTCATGCCCCTTAGTGCCAATTGGGCATCGTTTAAGTGCCATGGCCTACCTGAGCATTGTTTCTGACCATGTCCATCCCTTTATGGCCACCATGTACCCATCCTCTGATGGCTACTTTCAGCAGGATAATGCACCATGTCACAAAGCTCAAATCATTTCAAATTTGTTTTTTGAACATGACAATGAGTTCACTGTACTAAAATGGCCCACACAGTCACAAGATCTCAACCCAATAGAGCGTCTTTGGGATGTGGTGGAACGGGAGCTTCATGCCCTGGATGTTCATCCCACAAATCTCCATCAACTGCAAGATGCTGTCCTATCAATATGGGCCAACATTTCTGAAGAATGCTTTTAGCACCTTGTTGAATCAATGCCACGTAGAATTAAGGTAGTTCTGAAGGTGAAAGGGGGTCAAATACAGTATTTGTATTGTTTCCTAATAAACCTTTAGGTGAATGTATATTACGGTATTCATCCGGTATTTTTTTTTTTTTTTTTTCATTTTTTTGTTCCACAGATGAAATAAAGTCAGACGGGTTTGGAACAACATGAGGGTGAGTAAAATCTGAATTTTTATTTATGGGTGAATTAATCCTTTCATATTTAATGACAGTTAGCAGTAGGCCTACTCAAAAGTTCAGGTTTCCTCCTGACATGTCAAATGGTGAGCTACAAGCATCTCACTCGGCATTCAGCTTTAGTTTGGCGCTGAATAACTGCACCAATAACATTGTTGCTGAGAGAGAGAGAGAGAGAGAGAGAGAGAGAGAGAGAGAGAGAGAGAGAGAGAGAGAGAGAGAGAGAGAGAGAGAGAGAGAGAGAGGATGGCGTCAAGGTCATTTGAGGGTAACGGGGTACACTGAAAGTAAGAGCGCCCCAAAGAAAACCATATTTTGCACAATAATCTTAGATTCAAACTTATCAAATGCTGAAAGCTTTAATTTCTCAATCAATTTACGATGCTATACGCGCACTCTCTTGATGCATTAGGATAATGGATTGTAAATTATACATTATGTGCTATTTCTATCCTGCGCTCCCCTACTCAAACCATTACAAAAAGGCAGTGCGGATCCCTCCGCAAGAACGCCCATCAGCCTTCCCCAAGACAAGCTCAAAGTCGATGACGCGGATAATAAACGAATGATGAGAGCTGTCCCTGGCAATACTGCAGCACGTGCCTGTAACGCTGCAATAATACACATCCACGCGCGGAGCACAATCGGGTAATATCGCATACTAGTCTGTTGAAATCACATAAATGTAAGAAATAAGAACGGTCTGCTTTTAAAGGGATGCAATTATACACCGATAGTGCAGCGTCGATACGATATTTGTGGCAATGAGGGCGAGAAGGAACACACAGTACTATTGATCCCTGCACTAATGGAGCGCCCGGATGTGTTTGGCTATTCCATTTAAGATCAAAACGCAATCTTATATTTGATTTAGCTAACATAATAGGCTTTAGTGAGATACACAACAGAACATTGCAGATACAGCAGATGCCGTATTCTAAGTTAGCCTACTGGAGGAATAAACCAAATAAATAGACATGCAATAAACTTAATTAGCGGCTATTTCTATCCTGCGCTATTACTGAACCCATGACAAAATGACAGAGCGGATCCCTATGGAAGAACGCCCATCAGCCTTCCCCCAAGACATTCTTATTAAATAATTGAACTACCTGATAGCTCAGCATGGTCTCCTGGTCGCTGTTTTCGGCAGGCATGGTTAACTCCGTTTTAAAGCAGAGTCGATTGCAGCTTCCACAGAAAGAATACAGCGACGCGGCTCAGATTAACAGTTCCTGTTGAGAAACTCCAGATCGATTCATGCATATATATAAGATTAGAGACATTAAGTAGCCTATTCTTGATCCCGTCTGAAACACGTTGAGAGATATACACGCACTCGTCCTGTGTACACTTGCTGTTGTTAGGCGCGCGCTCTCCAGGACTTGGAAAGAGGTACAGACCGTGACAGCATCATATGTCATCCAGCCAATCAGAGAGCTCGAACTGGGACTGTTGCTGAAGCTGAATTCGATTGATGCGATTTTGCACCTACAGAAAAAGCGCCAGAAATAGTTTATGAGTGTACTAATAAATGTACAATTTATGAGGGCGAAAAATAAATGTGACAATATCTCAAGCGAAGTCGTATCGTGCTACAGAAGACATTGTGCTACAGGTTTTAGAGAAAAATCATTATAGTGTCTGTAGGAAGGCTGCAGGCCCCGACCAGGTCTCTGCTGCCAATGTCGTATTTGCTAGGCTACTGTCATTTTTAGTTGGTCTCTTAGACTAAGTCCCAGCGTGTTTTAAATTTAATTTCCAATTTGCATTTCGGGAGAACAGGTCTGTTGAAGATGCTGTTTCTCTTTGCACCCATTCCATTCTGCAACTTTTGGAAGGGACAGCTACGCACGGGTATTGATTGATTTCAGTTCTGCATTGACATTGTGCTACAGGTTTTAGAGAAAAAATCATTATTTAGTGTCTGTAGGAAGGCTGCAGGCCCCGACCAGGTCTCTGCTGCCAATGTCGTATTAGCTACTGACATTTTTAGTTGGTCTTTTAGACTATGTAAAGTCCTAGCGTGTTTTAAATTTAATTTCCAATTTGCATTTCGGGAGAACAGGACTGTTGAAGATGCTGTTTTTCTTTGCACCCATACCATTCTGCAACTTTTGGAAGGGACAGATACGCACGGGTACTATTGATTGATTTCAGTTCTGCATTTCATAATATTATACCAAAGAGACTGTGTGACAAAACTTCTGGGGTTGGGTGTTAAGGAGTCCATGTACAGTAACTGAATTTTTAACAGACAGATCTCAAGTGATTAAAGTTTATAACCTCTTGTCAAAACCAGTGTCCACCAGCATTGGTGCACCACAAGGGTGTGTTCTGTCTCCCCTTTTCTTTTTTTCTTTTTATACCAATGACTGTCTTTCTCGCATGATTCAGTCAGGATTTTTAAATTTGCTACCACTGTGGTGGGCCTCGTTACCAATGACGATGAATCGGCTTACAGAAAACAAGTATCCTTGCTGGCTGAGTGATGCTTAATTAACAACCTGTCCCTTAACATCTCCAAAACCAAGGAGATGATTGTTGATTTTGTCCATCAAGGACAAAACAGTGAAAGTTTTAGGTTCCTTGGGACCATCATATCCTCCAGTCTTAAATGTGACACCAATCTCAGCCAGATTGTCAGCGACTTTTCTTTTTAAGACAATTTAAGACATGTAAAGTGTCCAAGGTGTCTAATTCCCTTTTAATCCTTTTACCATCAGGTAGAAAGCTAAGAAGCATCAGATCCAGATTAGAACCACCCGTTTTTCACTTACCCACAGGCTCTGAGGTCCCTCAATTCACACCAACAATCGTTATCTGCTCTGCTTTCATAATTATCTGCTTTAATAAGTCCTTCTCATCACCAAATGCATTAGCATTTTATCTGATTTATTTATTCATTTGATTATTTATTATACTTACTCATTGATAGCAACAGTATTTGTATTCTGATTTTGTTTTGTTTTTATTGTTTATGTCATGTCTGATGATGTGTTGTTATTTTTGTCCATACTGTCTTGTACTGAGTGAGCCAAATCACTAAAATGAATTCCAGGCAATTTGCATCGTTTTGGCAAGTAGTAAAGACTTGACTTGACTCTATTTAAAATAGCCTACATTTCAAATTAAACACAGGTTTTATTTTTGTGTTAAGTGTCATTCACTAGGCTACTCACTGTAATTCCATTTTGTTCAGGGATTTTTCACTACAAATATACAGTTAGTATTTGTACTATTTTATACTATAAATACTATAGTATTTTTTTTCCATAACAGAAGTCAATTGGGCCCATCGACTGTTTGGTTTCCCATATTCTTCAAAATATCTTTGTGTGTTCAGCAGAAGAAAGAAATTCATACAGCTTTGCAACAACTTGAGGGTGAGTAAATGATTTTTGGGTGAACTATTCCTTTAACATTTCTTTTAGCTAGATAGCGTACATTGACATCTAGTGGCTACTACTAGTACAGATAATAGTCTGCCTTTAGCCTATTCCAAATGGATAGGTCATATCAATCAAAACTTTATTACAGACTCAAAGTCCATTTAAAAAAAAAAAAAAAAAAAAAAAAAAAAAAAAAAAAAAAAAACATTATTATTTTAGAGACACGCAGTGTCTATAAAAATAGTTTGGTCATACAGTAAACATGCATAATAAAAAATAGCGGTGTGCATATCACTGTGTGTTATCTTTGGAGCTAAATCACGAAAAAAAAAAAAATGGTGTGACGCTTTAACAATGAATCTTTCATGGAACATTTCATAAATAATTCAAGTACCTTTCAAAGCGACTGATTATGACCGTAATAACAGACAGGATATCAATTATAATAGCTAATTGTTATTATTGTGCAGCATGGGGAGTCTCATCACTAATGAGGCTGCTGTGCATAACTTAGCCATATGTCCATACTATTCATAAGCCTATCTTTAAAGCAGTCAAAAGAGTACAATAAAGACCTGCTATTTGATGAAAACATTTATCAGCTTCCAACTGTAGCGTTACATGTTCACACACTGGATTTGCAGCACGGCGTCATCCGTTTCCAGGAAACAGTTGTTAAGGGTGATGTAAACTGCACGCCGGACTCCGAGCTGGAATGGTTGCAGTGCGCATGTGCTGATTGAGCGTTTCTGTGCGGTTCTGCTGAGCTGGCTGGGCGCACCGGTGACCTTATCGGTTTTCACAGACTGTTTCTGGCGGCCCGCGGGTGTAAAATCCAGAGGCGAATAAATGTAGCAATCCAGGTGAGTTTGCTCAGGAAATCTAATCTCGTGAGCGGGCCTGTGGAAATTCACGTGTTTTTGTTGCGCTTTAAGTTTTGTAAGTTGATCTGCAAAATGTTTTCAATTAAATATTGTAATGTGATTCTTTATTTCGGAAGGAATGTCCATAAGATTGGTTATGTTGAGCTAATGTGTAAAGCCGTTTCCAGGCAGTGACAAATTACATTGTTCAACTATTGATGCATTGTGTGCGCGTCTTCTGTCATTTCTCGCGTTAAATATGTTACTTATTTGTGTGTGAAAGAGCGTGAACAATGGCATTTATCATTTTACCTTTACCTCTAGGTTAAAAAGGGAAAGATTGATCCAGTTTATGAGTGATGTGAGAATGAACTCAAATATGCACCAACAAATGCAAGGTATATGCACACTTTTATCATATTTTCACCACTTATTTTATTTTCTACCTTTGATGTCACAGAAACTACACTACAGTTTTTGGGTCAGTAAGATTTTTTTTTAAAGAAAGTAATAGGCCTACCTTTTTTCAGCAAGGACACATTAAATTAATAGTATACAAGTGTCCATAGATATTTATTTTACAAAAGACTAATGTTTCCAATAAATGCTTTTGAACTTCTTAGAATCCTGCAAAATATGAATATCGGTTTCGGCTGAACTGTTTTCAGCATTGATGACAATAATAAACATTTCTTGAGTAAAAAATCTGCATATTAGAATCATTCCTGAAGGGTAGCTTTGCTATCACAGGAATAAATGATACATTTAAAATATAGGCTCTATTATAGTAGCTAGAGAACAGTTATTTGAACAATATTTCACAATATTATAGTTTTTACTGTATTTTTTATCATGGGTGTGGGAGTATAAGATACTTCTTTTAAAAATCTCACAGAACTTAAACCTTTGAACGGTAGTGTACATCAGTGAGGCATTCTCATAGGCACAATGGTTTTTATATTAGATATTTAAAACCCTACACCTCCCACAAACAAAGACTATTGTCTTAGATTAAAATCAAAATATGATTTGGCAAAATTACGAGTCTTTCATATGAGGACCACTTCAGATATTGTCACAATGTGGAATTCAGTCTATTATGTGAAGGTATTTTGAAAAATTGCCCCACACAACTATAGACAAAACTACACACACTATAGGTCGACCTTGTTATTTATTTATTTTTTTGTGTAGCAGTTTTGTAAAGCATTTCCGTGTATGTCACAGTGCCACCCTTGGAGGGAAAAGTTCGCTGTAATTATCTAAATCTGCCTCTGATTAATGGGGACCGACTGAGGACAGCTAAGACTCTAGTGGACAAAGCCATAAAGGTTAGACTTCTAAAATCTCAAAGAATCTTTGTAGATGTAGTGCATTGAATAACTGCAAAGGATCTTTAATCATTAATAATAATGATGACATTGAGATTTCAATGAACACACAGTGACGACTGTAATTATTCTGCTGTAGGAAAAGAAAGTGTTCACGGTGCATGGCCCATATCCGGTAATCCGCGCGGGCCTACGCGCAAGAGGATGGGTGGAGCGCCGACTACCACGGCCCACTTTCCTACAAACCCGTCGACATGATCTTGAAACTGAAGCCACAGATGAGGGTGACAGCAGTGATGATGATGGTGAGAGTATCTGACAGAACAAAGATGAGATCCTTTCCATCACACGAATCTCCCTAGACACACGACAAGTTCTGTGTGCACTGGTTTACTTAGGGGACAAAATAGTCCCCAGATGTTAAATCTGTCAAAGCTTCTGCTGGGCATACCAGCAGATTTTTTAAAAGTTAAAAATGATTAATAAAGACAGTATTTTTTTTAATAAATAAAATAGAATACACAGCTATATCCTACTACTAATATATCCACTGTCTAGTGCCCACATCAGCAAATCAGTTAGGACCTTTGTTTCTACATCCCTGGAAGTAATTATTATTAAAAAAGGTCATGGTATCCTCCTCAAATAGATCATTTGGTAGACTATTGTTCAAGTTTGGGGTCTGTTAGATTTTTTTAGGATGGACACTTTCAGGCAGTTTAATTGTAGATTTATAATTAGAAAATATATTTATCCTTTAAATAACTTTATATCAGCAAATCAGCATATTATACTTTGATTTCTGAAGGATCATGTGACATACATAATACTGAGTAATGATAATGAAAATTCAGCTTTGCCATCACAGGAATGAATTAAAGTTCATAAAACAGTTCATTTAATATTTGACATTATTAAAATTAGTACTGTATTTTTGATCAAATAAAATAAATGCAGTCTTAATTAGCATAAGAGACTTTTTTCAAAACAATTTTAAAAAAGTTTTATCGACCCTTAACTTTTTGAATGGTAATGTAAGTGTGTGTGTGTAATTATATACTGTAAATTCAATGCTTGGAGCATCCTATGTGACTGTGTTTAGTTAATGACGCACTGTAATTTAAAGCTTTATATGATGGTTTGAGTTGCTACTTGACACCACTCATTCCAACACACAGATGTCTGTGAGTGATCATTCTTTCAGTCCCTTGCCTACGGTCACACCACCTTCTCTGTTTCTTGATACAGACTTGGTAGAGGAGGGAGAAAGGGACGATGAAGCAGATGATCTGTACGACCTAATGGTGTGTATAGAAACCGTAGAATTTCATTTCAGTGACAGTTGCCATAGCAGCTGGGTCTTTGAATGCGACTTATGGACAGTCTCTGATCCTCTGATTTTTTTTTATCCCCTAGTCACGGTTGGTTCGCAATGAGACCCCATATTTCTACTGGACAACAAAGAGGGATTCAATCGACTGTAGGTCTTTACGTAAAGATCAGATGACCAATCATTATGCAAAGGCGGGATCTTTTACAACCAAGGTTCATTGTAAACTTGACATTTCCAAACTAAATTTCCTCCACGCAACAACTCTTACTCTTTCTCATTACCGATTGTTTTATAACTATGTCTTTTTCAGGTTGGTTTGTGTGTGAATTTGAGAAATCTGCAGTGGTTTGATGAAGCAGACCCTGATACATTCTTCCCACGCTGCTACAGACTGGGGGCGGAGGATGAGAAACATGCTTTTATTGGTCAGTACACACTTAATCTGGAAAATACTGTGTCCTTGCTGTATTTTTCCCTATTTGCATGCTGGTTTCTTTTCCTTTAACAGATAATTATTTCCCCCCAATGTACTGTAATTTACACCACATTAACAGTCTCCCTGGGGTAAACTGGTGTTAGGTGTTGCTAACACACACAGTTGTGAACTATGATCTCTGTAACAGTTCACGGGTCGCCCCAACCTGCAATATTTGCGTTGCCAGACCATTTTTTTTTCTTTTTCTTTACAGACGACTTTAGACGCACTGCATGCACAAGTCTATTGCTGTATGTTTTGGAGAAGTATGGAGGGGATTCAGAGTGGGAGAGAATAGGCGAGGTTCATGATGCTAAATCTCGTGGTATGACACACACTAACACACACATTCGAACTCACACACAGATTCACACATCTTCCCTCATTTGTAGGTCTGAGCAAGCGGCGTAAACAGCACACCAATCAGAGGGTTGGAACCTCGTTAATTGACAATGCATTGCATGTATGTCAGGAGTATCTGAACAGTTTAGAACACTGTGACATAGACGTCACTTTGGAAACAACCCCTACCCTCTCGGAGCAACAGTGGAAGGTGTTTCTTCAGAATTATTACTTAGTTATTCAGTGAGTATAATTTTGTATTATTATTTATCATATGTCTAAAATTGCATAAAAGAGTAATATCATGAATGAAACAGTTCTTGATATTTTTAAAGAGAGTTAAATGTACTTACCTAGTAAACATCTCTAAGTTTCGGGGCCGAACATTTTATTATGTAAATCACCTTATGAAAATAAACAGCATTACAAACTAATGCAACTTTCTAACATTAGAGTAATTAAAGAATATTTACACACATTTACAATGGTGTTTAGCAACTTGGACTGCGCAATCATGGTAAAGTAATAAAGATACAGTAGAATAAGTAGAATAGATATTATTATTCCTGAACGTCAGAACTTTTAGACCTGATATCAAACTTGCAACCAGTGAGTAATAATAAAATAAAATAATACAAATAAATAAATAAATATAATCTAATATTATTAGGGGTCTTGGGGAAATAAATAAAAAAGTAAAAATGATTTTTTTCATGAAAGATTTTGTCATCTATAATAATAATACGTTTTCTGTTCTCTTTTTTTTATACGTTTTTTTTTATTATTTCCATCACCTACACTAAGTTTATCTGTGGAATAGTGAAGATGCATAATAGTAAGTAAAGAGAAAGCTTTCTTGCAATGTTTCTTTTCCTTTGCAGTGAAGGACTGACGATAGAGGGATGTGAAGAATATGTGGAGCGTTGTAAATGCATGCTGGAGCAGATGCGTCAAGTTTGCCCTCAGATAGAGACTGATGGACTCAGCAACATCTGGATCATTAAACCTGGGGCCAAGTCACGAGGCAGAGGTAATTTTGTGAAGGTCAATGGTGTAAAGGCTATCGCAAAACTGTTTAATTCACTCTTGAACTATTCTAGGTATAATGTGCATGAACAAGCTGGATGAGATGTTGAGTTTAGTAGATGGAGACCACTGCATCATGACGGACAGTAAATGGGTGGTGCAGAAGTACTTGGAGCGGCCCCTCCTCGTGCATGACACTAAGTTTGATGTTAGGCAGTGGTTCCTGGTCACAGACTGGAACCCTCTCACTGTGTGGTTCTACCGTGAGAGCTACCTCCGTTTTTCTACGCAACCTTACTCCACTCATACATTGGACAGGTGAGACAACAAAAACAAAAATTCTGTCATCATTTACACACCCCTATATTGTTACAAACTTGTATGAGTTTCTTCTGTGAAGCTCACGAAAAAGATATATAAATCAACTATTAAATCTAGCATTAATAAGGCAAGTCACCATCAGTCAGGATTTGGCCCACTATATAATATCCAACATGCCTGAGCAAATTGCAGAGGATATGAAGAAGGAATATTGACTCTTGGCATATATTAAATGTTTTGCCAATAAAAGCCTTTAAAATTTTTTTAAATACTGAAGAAGCAAACTTTGCATGACACAATATTTGTCTCTTTTGGCCACGGCTGATGTGAACTAACATTAACAAATGGAAATGGATAGTTTCAGTCCTTGATTCTGATTGGTTGAGCCATGTTCGCCATTGTAAATGACTCAACAAACATACACCTATGACCTCATTACATTAGTATTACTGCGCAACTGCCATTTGTGATTCTTTGTTGCTGCATGCGTTGCTTAGCAAATTCTTTGGAACTACATTGCTTGGCGGAGGAATACATGTATTATAATGTTATATTTTTGGTTGCTGGTGTTTAATTTATTAATAAAATGTTAAAATTAGTATTTTTATGAAGTAATCATTTTATAAAAGCAACTCCGCTCTGTGTCGTCCCTAACAACAACCCTTAGCTGTTCTAAATCCACTGTAAAACATGGCTTTGCAGGGCTTATTGCTTATTTAGTGCTTCCAATGTTTTTGTCAGTGTTGTGCAAGTTACTTCCAAACTGTAATACATTAGGTATTACTTGTTACTGTTATTTAAAAGTAATTCATTACCTTACAATATTACTGTCCCAGAATTGTAATACGTTACATTACTCATGTATTACTTTTGAGTTACTTTCACCAAAATAACTAAGTAGAACTTAACTTTTGGGCTGTAACGATAAGCAATATGAAACCGAAATCGCGATTCGCCACACGACTCAGATCCACGAACCTACAGAATCGCGACACACCTCTTCCAACTCCAGCGTTATTCTCCTTACCGTCCATATCCAATGCTGCCTTATCTTTAAATTAGGCTATTAGTATTATTTGAAGTTAACATTATAAAACACATAGACCTACACCACAAAACTAGTTGAGGATAAATTATTTAAAATTGGGGAAGTCCAGCATTATGGACATGACATTTGCAGTCAAAACTTGAAATAAAAATTCTCAGAAAATACATATTGAAACGTATATAGGCTACTTCCTTAAAGGACTCCAGACATTAGACAAATATCAGTCTATGTTTTATTTTTAATATTAGGGAAAAGACACACATTCATGCGTGACAAAAAAATAGAAGGTAAAATATATTTTTTGTAATTCTGTTAATTACACTGCGCAAATCGGATGAGGAAGGGTTGGCTCTCCAGCCTCCATAGAACTTAAAATATTCATTTTATTTTAGTTTTCGTGTTCGCATTTATGAGGAAAAAACTATGTTACAGACGCGACCGCTCTGAACTGGCACTAAAAGACTGCTTTAAAACTTTCACACAGTCTGTTGCCTTTAAGAAGTAAAAGCAGACAATACACTGTAATACAACTGTAATACAAGCCTCACTGAACATGTAACGAGTAAAATATTACTGAAAATTGATTAGTAATGCCTTACACTACTGCGTTACAGCAAAAAGTAATATGTTACTGTAATGTATTACTTTTGTAATGCGTTACTCCCAACACTGGTTTTTGTCCACGCAGTTAAAGTCAAGAAGTCCCATGTGAGTTGAGGATGAGTAAATGATGAGAGAATTTTACCTTTTCACAATTCCTTTAAAATGGATTTTTCTACTGTCTTTCTAGGCTTCAACTAATCTTTTTTCCCCCCTGTACTTTAACACCTTCAGCTCTGTACATCTTTGCAACAACTCCATTCAGAAGCATTTTCAGCCAAGCCCAGATCGCAATCCTTCTCTACCCGCAGAGTCCATGTGGTCGTGTTCGCAGTTCCGCTCCTGGTTGGCTGCTTCAGGCCGTGGTGGTCTGTGGGAAGGGGTGGTGGTTCCAGGTATGCAGAAGGCTGTTATCCAAACTCTCTTGACTGCACAGGACAGTGTGGAACCTCGCAAAGCCAGTTTTGAGCTTTATGGAGCTGACTTTATGCTGGGAAATGATTTACGACCTTGGCTGTTGGAGATCAATGCCAGCCCCACCATGGCACCCTCCACAAGAGTCACAGCTCGACTCTGCCCCGCTGTACAGGAAGACACTTTGCGGGTGGTGCTGGATCGACGCTGTGACCGCAACTCTCACACTGGTGGCTTCCAGCTCATATACAAACAGGTACACACAAAGAGCCATATGGGAGAATCTGGCAAGATAAAAAAATAAAACATGCATTCTACTGATCAAAAGCGTAGGGTGCTAAGATCTTTAAATGTTTTTGAAATAAGTATCAGGGCTCACCAAGACTGCTTTTATTTGATTAAAAAGACAGTGCAGTAATATTGTGAAGTGTTTTTTCATGATACATTTTTTTTCTTCTATTTTAATTTATTTTAAAATGTAATTTATTCCTGTGATCTCAAAGCTGAATTTTCGGCATCATTACTCCAGTCTTCAGTGTCACTTGATTCTTTTAAATGCTGATTTTCTGCTCAAGAAGCATTTCTTATTATTATCATTGTTGAAATAGTTGTGCTGGTTAATATTTTTTTCAAATGAACAGCATATATATATATATATATATATATATATATATATATATATATATATATATTGTAACAATGTCTTTACTGTCACTTTATCAATTAAGTGTGTCTTTCCTGAAAAAAATATTTAATTTCTTTACTCTTTTAACTTTTGGAGGCATTTTATATTTAAATAATTATATATAATTATTATAATTATTAGGCATTTGATAATTAAATACTTGTCTTTAAATAATGAAATATTTGTTATGTTATTATTTAAAATTGTATATTTTAATGTATACAATATACAGTATATATATATATATATATATATATATGTATACTGTACAGTATATGTACGTATATATATATATATATATATATATATATGTGTACAATTACATTTTATACAGAACCTCATTCTCATTACTGTAACATATGTTACAGTAATGAGAATGAGGTTCTGTATAAAATGTAATTGTTCTGAAAATGTCACAGAAAATCTAATAGTTTTTTGGGTCCTAATAACTAACTTTATTTTTATTTGTATTGTTTTTTTTTATGTTTTCAGGCACCAGTAGAAGTTCCTCAGTATGTGGGAGTGAATCTTCTTGTAGAGGGGACTTCAATCAGACGACCCCGTGCCCCTATTTACAAACCTCTCATTCAGTCTCACCTTGAGCCGCTATCAAAATCCACCAGTCACAAGCCTTCACTCATTAACAGCCATTGCACTTCTGGCAAGGAGAATCAGTCACAGGGGGTAAAAAAGGCCTGGCCTACACTCTCCTCCCGTAAAGTCACACCGGAGCAATCTTTAATCTTTCACCCTAAACTGAGGAAACGTCCCCACAGACTAATCTTACCTTCAAACTGTTGTGTGCTTCCCAACCCATCTGAACTTCATCCACAAAAGCTCTCAGACACTCTAGCCCAGCCCGATCACCCTCACACACACAGGACACGCAGTAACCTTCCATCTCTTTACCGGCCAACCCCCTCACTGGAAGTGATAAGCATACGACCTAGACAAACTACCACCTCCTTTCGCTACAAACACAACATGCACACAGTCAATATATCTTACACAGTCTTACCCATGCAGCAGCAACTTTCACTAAACCATAGACGGGCCACTGACACTTTTACAAAGAGAGAAGGGCCGAAGTCGTCCTGAGGAACCTTTTGGAGAACAGGATTTTATACAAACAGAGTTAATATGACTTAAATGCAATAAATAGACTGCATCAGTTTTCATTGTAAGTTTATCTTTAAATGCACTGGATTTAAAACACATATATTTACTGTCAGAAATAAGAAAGAGAACTGCATTTTAGTTGAGGAAGTACTTTTAGTACTTTTTGGTAATTAAGAGCACATTCTTTTAAAAAAAAATCTAGCATAATTTTCTCTCATGCATTTCCAAACCTGAATATTCTTTATGTTGAACACAAAATCTTATGCAGAAACTTAAGTTGACTGATCTGGTCTCTTCCAAAATTGGTTCAAAAAGCACCACAAAGCACATTTGGCTTGTGCTCTCTACTTCAAATCGCCTGAAATCATACGAAAGCTTTAAAGGGTTAGTTCACCCAAAAATTATGAAAAATTATGTCATGTGACTCAACCTCATGTCGTTCCAAGCCCGTAAGACAGTATACCGTACATTTTCAATGGAGGGACAGAAAGCTCTTGGACTAAATCTAAAATATCTTAAACTGTGTTCCGAATATGAACAGAGGTCTTACGGGCTTGGGACGACATGAGGGTGAGTCATTAATGACATAATTTTCATTTTTGTGTGAACTAACCCTTTAAGAATTTTCACAGATTTTTATGGCTTAAAGACACATTTTTAACATAATTCATTAAATTCAATGTGAGATATACAGTAGTACTATTATGGAGTGCCTAACTCTGTATTACATTGATATGGGAAACTTTTCAATCGTGCTATTTTTGATGACTCTTAACATGGTCATTCAACTGTAATGTATTGACTGCAGTATTAAGCTATGGTGCTGCATTTTGTATTCTAGATGTCAGAATGTTTCCAAATGAGCTGATCATTGACAATGCTACTTATTTAAAACACTAGTGACATTCTCAAATTGTAACCTTTTTCAAATTCATGCAATTTTAAGTAAGATAAGTAGATGTTTTACACTTTATTTTACAGTATGTGCACATACGAGTTCTTAGGCTACTTAGATACTTACCTAAGAGTACTGGGTATTATAAGGTAACTATATGGGTTACGGTTAGGTTTAAGGGTAGGTTCAGAGTTAGTACCATTTTCTATAATAACTACATAGTATGTAAAATGGGGAACAGGACTGTAAGGACTACTACCGATGTTGTATACTGTATGTTTTTAACCAAACTCACCACTAGATGGAGTATAACTCATGCCTTTAACCAAACTCACCACAATTCTTTTAATCTTCCTCATTTATTTCATGGTGCTTATCATAAATTAAGCAGTATCATATCAATTCCATGCTAAATCCACCATCATGGATACGTTTGTTAAAATATGCAATAAATACAGGTTTGCATGTCAACAAAAGGAATGGGGTTTTGGGTTATTTCTGCATAAACTTGACATTCTGACAAACCTCTAAAAAGCACTTGTAACTAAAATCACTGAAATAATATTGTATTTTATTTAGGACTCATTCTTTCACCTGTCTCTGTTGTTCTTACTCTACATGTGAATTATATTATTTTTATTTTATTAATTGTACTTTATTATTTTTAGAATGTTTACATTGAACTGTAATTCAAAAACTTTACTTTTTTTATTTATTATATTTTATTGCTTTTACACAATGCCACGTTCATATCAGGACATTTTCTGAATGTTTTGTTTTAGACTAATTCAGAGACATTGCACTCAGTCACATATACAAACAAAAGCAAATCAAGACATGCTGATCTCTTTAGCTACTATCAACAGACACTTACTTTTTATATGCACACACATTAGCAGACACTGTAAAAGTTATTGTTGCTAGGAATTGAAGTTTTAACTCTCTTCTACCTTCTCAAGATCTCAAGTTATTCGATCTCAAGTAATTTTCAAAGGGGTGTATGTCTGATTTAGAACATAGTTCAAATCTAAAATACTTACATATAAGGGAATCTTAGTAATTGTGAACAAAGTTCCCACTGTCCACCAAACTTTCACACAGCTAAATTAAAAGGAGCTTGTTTTCCTTTTATCATTTTATCATATCTATAGTATACTACCACAGTGATGGTTTACTATCCATGTGGCTGGCCATATATGGTAATAAGCATGGAATATTACTTAAATAGATATCTGACAGATTGGTACATTCATCAAACCACAAAAGAAAAAAAAATGACAGAAGTGGTAGCAAATCAAGCAAAACATCTCTCGCCTCCTTTCACACACCACTCTCTCTTGTCACACACACATGTTGGGCACCTGTGAACTCCATGTAACCTATAAAGGCACACATAATATGCACCATGACTATAATAAACCGTATAGTAATACTTATGTCATACGTTCCATATTTGTTCCTCACTCAGGCCAATGTTTATGAAAACTTGCTGAATCTTTTATTTACCTCAAGTATTTAAATTTTCTTGTTCATATACACAATTTTAATTGTGTATACTGTACATATATATTTATAAAGTAGAGAAAGGCATGATTGATGTTAGCAAGGTAAGCCTTGTACGTACATTTAAGTATCTCACACAAGTCAATCTTGACAAGTAATTACAGAGCCAAAAATAGGAGGCATGTATGTACACATTTTGTCTCAGTTTCTAAATGGAGCAAAGACCTTCAACGCTGTGGTGATTGATTGCTATAATCCAAGTATGGAAGAGAGAGGCCGCACTTTGCATATACAGTTTTATTATACACAAACGCGTTTCGGCGCGTGCCTTCTTCAGTGTGCAAAAGAACAATACCTTATCCAGTCTTTGCTATAATCCAAACAATCAGCAAATGTCATATCTCTGCGTTGGCTTCCTCAGAAATTCCTGAATGTCTACCATGTTGTTTTAACAGAAGATCTTTGCAAGTTCTGCATAAGTATAAAAAGGCTGGAATGCCAGGCTGGTGACCCACTGAACTGTTAAATAAATGGGAGGATGAAACCAGGAGAGAGACAGATAGCTGGGAGCATTGAGTGTAAGTGTAAAAGAAACACAAGAGTCTAACATAACATCTTAAGCCTCTGACACACTCTGCTTCCCAGAGGGAAAATGACAACTTGACAAGTATAATTGAGCAGGATATTAGCAGGGCAGATATAATTTTATCATTATCACTGCTCATTTTTAACATCACTTATTGTCTTTTTTTATTTTTTATTTTTATTTTTTTTAAATGGAAAAAGAAACATCCTTGATCCAAACTTTCCTAAACTCACATTAATCTTTCTCTAATTTTTTCACACTGATACATAAACACAATACATGTACACTGTAAAAAAAATATTGATGGTTTAACTTAAAAAAGTAAGTAACCTGTTTCCCTTAAAATTTTAAGTTCATTGAACTGGAAAAAGTGAGTTAATACAATGAAGGAGATTAATTTAACCATCAGAAACTCAAAATTATATGTTATCTGAACTAAATAAATTATTTAGGTTGATTTGACAAAAGAAAAAATGTTGTGATTACTACACTGTAAAAAACTATTGTTGGTTTAACTTAAAAAAGTAAGTATCCTGGGTTCCCTTAAAATTTTAAGTTGATTGAACTGGAAAAAGTGAGTTAATACAATGAAGTAGATTATTTTAACCATCAGAAACTCAAAATAATACGTTATCTCAACTAAATAAATTATTATAAAGTTGATTTGACAAAAGAAAATATGTTGTGATAACAAATCTTGAAAACATTTTTTACAGTGTGTGCATTGTGTATTCAAGTTTGCATGGCAATTTAACATTAAAACAATTAGCCTCGTCAGTGTAAAGTTATTTAAAGGCTGCAGTTCTGGGGCACCATCTCTTCTGAGTTATAGGAACGCTCAGTGATTTATCTCCGTCATTTCACCATCTGCCCTATAACCACATCACAAAATATGAAGGCACATGTGCGTTATGTGCTGCATGTGTGAGCTGAGTGTGTACCATGTGTGTGTGTTTTTCAGTCAAAGGAATGGATGTCATCATCTCATATGTAAACACTTGATATTTCTTCCATTTCTCTAATACTATTTTGGTCAGTCAGTTATTTAAAGATGCAGTTCAGCTAAAATGATTCATTGACTCATCCCCTGAGTTTAATTAGCAGACAAGATCTACAGACAAGATGTCCCGGATCTTTGTTGTGATTATAGAGGCCCTATTAGGAGGGAAAGGTGTGGAGTTTTGCATTACATCAGAGGCATACACATGGTCTGTCTGTACATGATGTACAGATGACAAGACCTCAAGCTTCCTTGGATTTCAGTTGACAACTGAGCAGGAGTATTTAAAAAAGCTCAAAAATTCATGTTAAACTTGGTGGATTCTGGTGCAATCCACCATGTTTGATCTCATTAAAATGATAGATTGACTGTATGTACAGTATCTCTCCTCAGAATCCCATTTTCAGTGTTTTAGACAGTAAGTAACTGTTCAGACAACCTCAAATACTCAGCCCATGGCAATCGACCAAGCATGCCCTGAGAAAACATTGACCTTAATGTACTGCCAGGTGTATGAGGCTCATGTGTAGCTGTTAGTGTGCTGTTTAAGCAGGTAAAACATGATGAAGACAAGCTTCACTCAGTTGATCACCTTCACATGCTAAAGTAAAACTCACTTTCTGTAATGATCCCCAGCCGGCCTTGAGAGCCACAAGAGGGCACTCCACATCAGACTATATAGACAATATTGATGATGACAATATTGTCATTACCTCACAAACTACATTTCCCATAACTCACTGCCTGGACTCATCATCCCTGATTAGCTTGACGGTCTCAGCCTATTTAATGTACACTCATTCATCCCTTGCAAAGTCTTGTATGTTGTCTCACTGTATTTTTGAGCGTGTTTGTTTCTTGTTTCTCCCTTGTCCTGGTTCTCCTGATTCTCTGCCTGTTCCCTCGGATTTCTCTCTTTTCCTCAGCCCTGATCTGTTATTGTTTGGAGTGTTTGTTTGTGTATGACCCTTGCCTGGATTACATTTTTGGATTAAACTGTTCAATGAGTACTATTTTGGTTCCTCGACCTTTGTGTCTCAGAGGAGTTTGTGACACTTTCTAATCTTTCAGCATCTCAGCTCACACCGAATGAGCCTGTTCCCCATTCCGGTCTTTAGTATGGCATGTGTGTGTGTGTGTGTGTGTGTGTGTGTGTGTGTGTGTGTGTGTGTGTTTGTGTGCTAGTAGAGCGACATCCTGAATCCACTTTTCATTTCAGCAAAAATGATGGGTTAAAAATGTAAAAAAAAAAAAAAAAAAAAAAAAAACTGTCCATATCTGACCCAAAGTTGGGTTGAAACCACCCAGCATTTTTTTTAGAGTAAAGAGTCAATGCATGACTTGGCTAATATTCATTGCATACATTTTTAACATGAATACATTAAACTCTAATGCACGAATCTACCAGGCTTGCCAGAAGTTTAAGAAAAAAATATATTATCAATAATAACTATCATTATTGTAATCACTATTTTATACTAACAATAAAATATCATCAAGCTTCAGTTACAATGTTAATGCTTTGCTGTAATTTCTGTATTGCAATTTGCTGCATCAAATTTGTTAAAGCAATTTGTAAAATGCATATTGTTACTGTAATTCAAGATCGGACAACATTGCTACCACCCCTTTTTTAAGCCCCAAAACAGTGTAACATAAGCAACTGCTGTTTTACATAAAGTACATAATTGTTTTGAACATTGTCACCCATTGTCCACCTTTGCTTTGCTATCAAATACATTTGTTTCCAGTGCAATTCTTACGTAACCTGGCCTTAGAAAAAATCTTCGATTACAATACACTTATTTGGGTTTTTTTTAGCGCAAATGTTCATAAAGTGAGGAGAAACTAGTGCAACTCAAGATTATGCTTTAAAAAGGACAGATGCCCCTAGGCTTAGATTCCAGATGAGTGTGGACAGATGCTTGGGTGTGCCACAAGTGTGTGAAGTGTGTGTGTGCGTGTGTGTGTGTGTGTGTGTGTGTGTGTGTGTGTGTGTGTGAGAGAGAGAGAGAGAGAGAGAGAGAGAGAGAGAGAGAGAGAGAGAGAGAGAGAGAGAGAGAGAGAGAGAGAGATGATCAGGAAAAAAGAAAGAAAGATATAGAGTATACTTAACGTAAACGTAAAGGCCTTTAACCAATAAGCAACGTGCTTACATGACAGATTGAATTTTGCCTACATTTGTTTCCTAAATGTAACTTTTTTTAGCATGTAGGCTATCTTAATTTAAAACATTGCTCAGTTCACTAATCTCTGCTTTGTAAAATTAGAATGATTCATGGGTACAATATCGAATCATATTGGCTTAAGTTTGTCTTTGGGTTAGGAAATAACTGGAACGATTTTTAATAAGGTGAAAATAAAGACAAAAACAATAATTGTCTCTCGTTAATTCTATTTTTATCAGACGCTGTAATGTTACGCCCCCTGCACAAAAAAGTAGCATTTAATTATGAACAATTTACCTGTGCAGGTACAGGCAAGAGAGTAGAACGCACGAGCACAGCTGGCTCATGATTTGATTGGCTGTAATATGTGAAGGCGGGCTGCTCGCGCAGAGTTCTGAAAGACGATCCTGTGAAAAGAGTAAATGTCTAGGGATGGATTTAGTTAGCTTCAGGCATCTGAACAAGTCTGGACTACAGTGCTTTCACCGCAGCGGAGCAAAACGTACAACCAAGGAAATATGACTTTATTTCTCTTCTTGTAGTCAATGAGAGGATTTTTGCAGGCTGCAGCGTTTTGAGGAGGTAAAGTCCTCTGGGAGTTTGGCAGATGCTCACTTATCACACAGGAGCAGGTTGATAAAACTAAACTCTTTTCAAGTCATTCTCCGTTCAAATAAAGGCTCATTGAAGGGAATTTGTCAGATCATGTGTGACTAGGACAACGTCGTTGACCGCTTCGTCTCGGTGACCAGTTTTAAGCGGTAAGTAGGCTAGCCTACGAATGTTTCCTTTGAATTAATGGAGCGCTCCGTGAGAAGTTATAGAGCGCTCTGGGGTCAGTGATGGAACGCTCTAGTAGTAGTCAGTAATATAACTGTGTATTAGGGAGCTGATTTAGAATCAGTTATAGAGCGCCTTGAGCGACTGGATGCTTCTGAAGTTATTTCGCGCTGTCAGTTATACAGCAGTAATTCTTAACCTTTTGACCTACATTGGATGCTTCAGAAAAAGTTATTTTGCGTTGTCATTTATACAGCACGCTATAAGGTTTGGTCAGTGATGGACGCTAGGGCAGCAACTCTCAACTTTCAAACCTCCATTTTCCACCATTGTCCAAGACAAAAGAGATATTGAAAATAGATTTTTTGTCTGCTGTTATGCCGAAGCAAGCTGTTCTTTTTATTAACAAAAAAGGCGTCAAAGTGACTTAAAATGATTTAAAATAAGACAAAACAATCATTAAAATAAGCTTGTTTAATAAGTAGGCTAAATAATACAATTTCTAACATTTTTATAATGACAATACACTTTTCTATTTTTGCCAAGCTCTAAAATCTGAAATGTCATGGGGCCTAAGATTATTGTTGAGGATAATGGTGAGCCTTGGAGTCAAAAAGGTTGAAAACTATAGGTCAGTGATTCTGCTGTCAAAATCCGTGATACAACTCTGTAGGGTCAGCAATTCAACACTTTGAGATCCGTTATAGTGTGCTGTAACACCCTGAGGTCAGTGACAGAGGGAGTTCATAAGGTCAGTGATAAAGCGCTTTAGGCTTGGGAAGAGAGAAGCATCAGGATCGAGTGGTGACTCTTGAGTTTGAAGCAATAATGATTTATGGAAGTAATTCTGAGAGCTGTGGAATGTCAGTGTTGTTTTACAATTTAGAGCGAACACAGCTTAAGGGTGAAAAATTGTAAGGACTATCATGCACCATGATGCAGGTCTAATATACATGACTGATTACTGGCAGCATACAAGCTTCTTGACACAAAATAGCTCGATTCTTATTTTTTGACAGAACAGATGTGCTTCAGATGCCTCAGATTTATTCATATAGTTCTCATTAGATGTGTTAAAACACATCATCACTGCATAATTTGATATTTTATTTGTATGATACTGCTTGAGGTGTCCTTGGCTCCTGTGATGCAACATTAATTAGGCTAATTCACATTTTTATGTTAGTTAAATCATACAGGACATAAGGAACTAAAAAATGGCAGTAGAGAGCACAGATCAGAAACAAGACAATAGAAATCACAGCACAAATATGGTTTACGAGTAGACCACATGTGCACATGTTGCCGTTTATATCGAGAACTGCTGTGGTGGGGAAATTAGAAAATGATGAGCTGATGATCTGATGAAATTGAAAAAAAAAAAGAGTGAATTCCACATCAGCATCACAACATTTCCAAATTGCTTGTTCAGGGAGAGGGCGGGGAATGACCTCAGTTGAACTTGTGTGATTCGTCACTTTGGATATCTCACACTCAGTAGGCAGGGCTGGGGTGTCTAGGTTACCATGGACACCTACTGAGGGGCTGCTCCAGTGTTGCCGACTATTTTCAATGGAAAGTAGCATAAGCTTACTCAAATAGTCGCTAAATGTCACTAGATTACGTAATGCACCAACTGAGGCAGTTTACATCTGTTTTCTCTCCTAAATGTGCTCAAATACTGTAATTTTAAAATAGCTGAATGTCTAAAGCTGTTCCCATTTACACTGAACGTCACTGAACGATGTCACAAAATTGGCAACACTTGGCTGCTCATGTTCAGTGACTATAGTAACAGTCTGTGAATGTTAGTGTGTGGGCTTTTTTCCTATAAAAGAGAATGCATGCCATTACTGAGAACAGCTGAAATGTTCAGTAGTCCTTTGCTCAAGATTTTCTTAAGACTGAGCCAAGACTTAAATAATCATTTCAAGAACAATTATAAATCGGCACCATAAAGTGTTCCAGGGTTTTAGTCCCTGCGTTTGCCATTCACTTTCTCAGCTCTTTTGATGTCAACACACTACTTCAGTAAACAGTAGAAAACTTTTTTTGTCAGCACTTTTTGTCGCATGTGTGTGGACAACATTTGGGGCACATTTAACCAATAACATCTGTGCGTCAGTCTCCATAGCTTCTCTTCTGATTAGACTGTAACACAGACATAGAAATGCCTTGTGTATGTCTAGAGATACTCAGTTATACTCAGTCAGAATCGTGAACTTTTTTTTCACATTTTTCTGCAATGATGATAAGGGAAAATTGGATTTAAATATGGTGAAATGAGTTGAATGAAGTTCATACATTAATTGTCAGCTGAAAAAACATGCATAAATTAATGAAAATAATTAATAAATGAAGATGCATGCACCTTCCCATACATGATAGTTTTTTTTTTACTTATTTTGGCTAATTTGGGAATATTTTTGTGCTGAATTACTTATTTACCGACTCAATTACTCACTCTCCAAATTTTGTCTGTATTTTGGTTGATGCTTGCTTCTTTTCTTTCTCTATTTCTTTTGGAATCCACCCGACTAAGATGTGTTTGTTTTTATTTCCCCATGATATCTAGGCCGATCCTTTTCCAAGTACTTTGCCCTCTGTTTTTGTTTTTGGTACTGCTGTGTGGGAGACAGACTGTAATGAAATAGTTGGCAGTGTGACCAGCAAAAAAGGATTTGACACTCATTTTTCTTTTGTGTTCTGAAAAAGTGACCTCTCATACTTTAATATTTTGAGGATAAAATCTAGTGACATTGTCAGGTTAAGGAATGCTTCTAAATGAATTTCTGTCCCTTTTAGGACATCATCTCGTGGCCATGAGTTTTTCTAAAAGTCTGTTTGAAACATGAACACTTTGGCTCATAAACTCTAACTTGACACATTATTTTCGAGGGAGTAATTAGAATAACACACACAATAAATCACTCATCAAAAATTAATTCACCAACATGACAATGTCAAAATGGACACCATTTATAACAAGCTTTTGTGACATTTTGTTCAGAATTTTCAGAAAATAGGCTACAAATTAATTCTGTATTTTTAGATTGATTCAACTTTCCAATAAACATCTGCTGTTCAGATATGAAAAAAAATCAGCTCTATACCATTATTTGTTGGTCACATGTATGTTATTATTATTTTATTTTATAGAATTGTTTTTAATTTGTAAGTACAAAGAAAAACAGAGAGGCAGGGCAACAAACAACCTGGACACCTGCTCCATCCAAGTATTAACCAATACTAAAAAAATTAAAAGAAAAAAATCCAACAACAAGAATGCTTATTCCCCTTCACTTTATACCTACAACACTCCTTTCTATGTTGTATGTTATTATGTTGTCCGCATGTATATTATTCTGAAATGGGTATAGTCCACCAAAAAAATGATCATTCTGTCAGAGACTTGCTACCATGTCGTACTTTTCAGCGGTGGTGTGGTACCTGTGTTCAAATTGATTATACCGGTAATGCTGCCAGTTGGATGCTAGGTGGTGCTGTGCAATAATGTTCAGAAGAAAGAAATGAATACATGTTTTAAATGACATGAGGGTGAGTAAACCTTTTTGAGGATAGGTCTGTTACTATACTTACTAGACCTTACTTTACTGCAATCTCTGTAAAAGGAAGGTAAGAAAGGACTACAATTTTAAACTGTTGGATAGAGTAAGAAACATCAGTCAGAAACATATTCGTTGTTTGATTGCAAGTGAGACAGGATGAGACGATAGTCAAAAATTTGAATTGGTATTTGTAGTGTAGCAGCTATTGTAGAGTGGCATGCATGTTGTGGATGCTGTTGTTTCGTCTCCCAGCATTCACTTTATAGAGCTCAGGAATGTCTCTGTAATTCCTCAGTCTTTTATGTTAAGCCACACATTAAATAGCCCTTTTTATTGTTTAAAAATGTCAGGACTAAGATCTATTTTAACTGGGTTCACATACAAAAAAAATTCAAACGCTACTACATGTCATATATTCTGCAAGTATTGCATACAATTGAATGAAGGCATTGCTCCATAGCAATGCTCTCTTGACCCCAGGTTGCAATGATCTAGGTAGGAGAAGGAAGGGAGAGGCTGTAGGAGACAATCTGGCAGTTCAAACTCAAATATGGTTCAGTCAGGAATCAGGATACTTATAAATGCTAAAATTACCATTTCATAAACCACATGAGGATGGTATCCTTTTAATTAATGCAAACAACACTGAGAGAAACAGACAGATTGATTGAAAGGGAAAGAGTTGAATGGGAGACGAAGAGAACAACTTCAACTGTATACCACACATAAAATCAGAAATCGAAAAAGGGATTTTGATTCATGTGCATATGTTTATGGTTATATTAATATTATTTACAATAATACGTAATGTGAACCCATTCTATATATTTGTGTAGTTTACCATATACTGTATGCTGCTGAGTACGTTTTTATCGCCATAAGGAATTAAGCGACTGTTGTAAAAGCCTCTTTAAAGGGACCGCATAGAATTTAGTTAATGGCACAATAAAAAAAGATCATGTCACCGGACAAGTTCACTCAGCTGGAAATAAAGGACACTAAATGTCTTGCATGTGTGTATGTGGGCAGTTTGATTGTTTAGATGAGTGTTTAGTCTGTTCGTCTGTGTATTTGCGTGTGTTCCGGATTGGGATGCGTTTTGTAATGCATGAAGGTTTTTGAGATGCAGATGTTTAGGCTTTTTTTAGATTTAAAAAAAAGACTAAGTTTAATCTGAACTGAAAGTCATCATCACAAAGAAGACATTACATGCAGGTAAAATAATTCCTTTTTCTCCCAGACAGTAAGAGACACTGGAAAAATAAACCAATACATACTAGTTGTGCTGGTCTGACAAAGATCTTTTACATTTTTTTAATGTCCATCTGTGTGTGTTTTATGTGCATCTCTGTTTGTCTGTAAGTTTTAACTTTGTTTTTAGGGAGACCATTTTTCAGAACAGTTACTGCTGAGTGCAAACCAGCATGACTCCAAATGTGAACCACGATTTCCTCTTTATAAATCAAAAACAGACCCATCGTCTGCTGAAATTCATTATATAAAAATGGCATCTTTGAAGTCACAAATAGCGACACTAAGCACATCCAACATTCATGTTTTGACCACTTCCATTGAGAATGATCCCATGAAACTCTGTCATGGATCTAAATCACACTATGTTCTTTTTTGAAACAAGCTCATTTTCCTCTAAGTGTCTTCTCTTTATTTGTGTAGTGGTGATGGGGCAAGCCCCACCTTGCTTCTCTCAGTTTCTTGTCTCTGAGCCTCTGGCAGATGTTCATAATGTCTGGGCATTCATTTCACCTGAAGGAGGAACATTATGTTACTGCTGCTGAAGCTGAAAACAGGGCAGATTGCTTACTGAATAATTAATTGTGGGTATAGGTGACCTTTCCCCCCCACATTTCTCTCTTTTTGTGTGTGCCATTATGTGTAGGATTTGAAAATGGGGTGTTTGCTGCAATGGACTTTGCTGCTTGCTGTGTTGCTGTCTCTCCCATCGTGTTCTACAGCTCAAGGTAAAGATTAATGTACTCTTTCAGGAAGTGTCATTCAAATGAATGTGTATATCTGCAGCATTTTAATCTTAAGTTAATATCAGTCAATAAAGTTAGAATCTAATTATAATAAATATAATTTTATTATCATTATATTAGTAGATATTAATGGGATACTCCACTTTTTTTTTTTTGGAAATAGGCTTATTTTACAACTCCCCTAGAGTTAAACTGTTGAGTCTGTACTGCGGTACCATGAGCGCGGCTGGCGTAATGACTACACAAACTCAGTCCCGGTCGGCTGGCGACTATTTTCAGGCGCTGTGTCATATCATTGCGCCTGCTTTATTCATGGTACGGCAGTAAAGTTTCTGGATTATTACGCAGGAATGAGAGCATAGTTCCTAGCCATATCAGCCTAGAAAATCGCAATTTTACACTCTCCGTCAGTCTTAGTGCACGATGTAACTACAGAAGAGTCAAGTTTTAAATAGGAAAAATATCGAAACACTTTTTTTTTTTTGAGAAATGCTAATGGTCTTGTCCACCTATTTGAGCCTATTTCCAAAAAAAGTGGAGTATCTCTTTAAGTACTGATATACGTTAAAAGAATGTTTGAATGAAAACAAAGTAGCATTCAAAGTAACAAACAATATATAAGTAGTTTATTATTAGTAGCCTAGCTGGGCAAGGATTAATCGAATCTAAAATAAAAGTTTGTGTTTACATAGTATATGTGTGTTCTTTGTATACTTATTTTGCACATATACACATGCATGTACTGTACACATTTAAGATTTTTTAAAATGTATATATAAAAAATATTTATATATAATGTAAATTATATACTGTATATATATATATATGTGTGTGTGTATGCAAGTATTTCTTAAATATAAACATTTATGTGTGTATTTATAGTATGTGTATATACTGTATATATATGTATACACAGTGACTGTACACACACATATATGTCAACACAAACTTTTATTTTGGATGCGATTAATCATGATTAATCATTGCCCAGCACTAATTATTAGTTAGTTGTTTAATGATAATGCATCTTTTTATTATCTTTTATGCATTAATATTCATAGATTGACATACAAAGTTACCATCATCACAAAGAAAAACCCAAAATATTGCCTGATATATATCTATACCTTTTCAATTGCCTGATATATTAATCAATACAGATAATAAAATAAAAGCATCACTAAAATCCATCGATAACCAATATGGTCCCAGTATTGTGCTTCTAATTTTAAAAGCTGCACATGCACGCACATAGTACATTTATTATCATGCCCTTTTCATCTGCAGAGTGCAGTGACTCAAATCAAACGCAGCAGGTTAATTAGTTTGTATCCTTAAGGGGCATTCATTCAAGCTGCTGTTGAGTCACACACAGCCATATAATTGATAACTGAGGATAACTGGAAGTATACTGAACTATTTAAAGGAGAGACATAGTCACTGAATAAATGGGACCAGATGCTTTGTTTTCTTGAAATGGCTTTGCAGACTGGGTGCTGATGGTCATTTCCTGTGTGTCTTCTCACCCTGATCCTTCTCTAATCCTTCACTGAATACATGAATTGAATAGGCCGCAGATGTGAATGTTTATGGAAATACTGAAGCTCAAATTCGCAGTTGTATTTGTCACACAATGGTACACAGTGAAATGTTTTGTCTAACCCCCATGACTGCATCTTAGATATAATAGAAAATATGCATTAGCCAATAGGTATGTATGTTTCTTCTGAACGCATATTTATTTCTGTTAGTGACATTACTGTTAGCATTTTTGATTACAACAGTCTAATTTTGGCTGCACTGATGAAAACATGTATTTGTATTAATTAAAGCCCACATATCCAGACTTCTATTATAAATATTTGTCGATCTCTTTTACTGTGAAAAGAGCAATGCAGTTGTGTATATTAATGTAGTTGTTTTTTTCTGTTGGCAGGCCAGTGCAATGATGTTGTTGCAGCAGACATTGTATTCCTGGTGGATGGATCATCCAGTATTGGCAGGGCCAATTTTGTGTTGGTCAAGAGTTTCATTGCAGGGATTGTCCAACCCTTTGCCAAAGTAGTAGGACCCAATGGCATACGTTTTGGAGTCGTACAGTACAGCGATACTGCCAGGTCTGTGAAACTGTGTTTGCTTGTGTACTTAAGTCATGTTTAATTACCGGAGACATTATAAAGGTTTTTGTAAAATATTTTTTATTGTATTTTATTTTTACTTATTAATTTGATTTATTTTATTGATTTATTTGAAATACCTTATTGAACTGTAATCTTAACAAACGGTTTAGAAGGTGGTCTTCCACCATTCAAGTAGATAGGAGAAGTACTAGATTTCTTACATAGAAAATGGCTGCTTGGGGTTGTTGCCAAGATAGATGCTAATTAAACTGCCTTTAAGGGAATATTTACATTTTATTTACATTCTTACCTCTTATTTTATGCAAATATTACATACTGCGTGTTATGGTAATACAATTGCATTCATTTTTATCTAACAAACTGAACAAGGTAAGTTCATATTATTTAATTTACCAAACTTGTCTAAGTTGAATAAATTCTGGGGCCAGTTGCATAAACATTGCCATTATGCAATGTTTTCTTTCTTGCTGTTCAGTATCAAATTAGACCAATTTACGTTTTTATGTAACTAACTTTAAAAATTTATGAACAGTTTTGAAGAAAAAAATTGGATGACTAACTTGTAAGACTAGTCTTAGCAGTTTATGCAACTTGCCCTAAAGTTAGCAGTTAAGTGCACCAAGTTAATTGAGTTAATTGAGCATGTAATTATAAACAGTGTTGTGATGGCTGCACATTTTATATTTGTTATATACATTAAAGGTTTATGTATGTGTTTGTAAGATTGTTGGGACTTTTGTTGATTATACAGTACTTGTGTGTTTTATGATAATCAGGGTGGAGTTTACATTTACAGCATACCTAAATGGAACTGAGCTCATAAATGCCATAGAGAATATTAACTATAAAGGTGGGAATACTCGCACTGGGGCTGGTCTCAAATACATCGCAGACAACTTCTTTAACCCTGCCTCTATCAGAGATGTACCCAAGGTGAGCTGGCTATTATGATACATTGTTTGACTTGCCACATCTGTAGTATTTTGACATGGACCATAAATGTTTAAATTGAATTGTGAAACAGAGCGTCTTATTTAGCATTTGTACACCAAGTGCACATTCCACAATTGTGGGGTCACTAAATTGTTTAAAAAAAGAAGAAATACTTTTTTATAATGTTACAGATATTTCTGTATTTCACAATATTACTGTTGTTACTGTATTGTTAATCAAATAAATGCAGCCTTGGTGAACATAAAAGGCTAATTTCAAAAACAATAAAATCTTACTGACCCTAAACTTTTGAACAGTATTAAATGTTCATTTTTAATATTCTATGTAAAATAAATCCCATTATGGTATCCTAATGGTATCATGAGAAAAACATTTTGGTTGACTTACAGTTTGATGAGTCAGTATCATACTATTATGCATAATTATCTTTCATTTTTTCAGATTACTATTCTTATTACTGATGGTAAATCTCAGGACAATGTGCAGGAACCTTCACAAAGACTACGTAGCCTAGGAGTCAAAATATTTGCAGTGGGTAAGAACTGTGTGAATATATAGTAGTGGTATTTAGTCACTACTGTGTATTTGAAGGAAAAAATTTTTTTTTTTCTGTAAACTTAAAGGGTTAGTTCACCCAAAAATTATATTATTAATGACTCAACCTCATGTTGTTCCAAGCCCGTAAGACCTGATATTTTAGATTTAGTCAGAGAGCTTCTGTGTACGGTATACTGTCCCTGTCCAGAAAGGAAATAAAGACCTCGTCAAAGTAGTCCATATGACATCTGTGAGTTAGTTAGATTGTTTTGAAGCATCGAAAACACATTTTGGTCCAAAAATAACAAAAACTACGACTTTATTCAGCATTGTATTCTCTTCCGGTTCTCTTGTCAATCCACTTCAGTGACGTTGATGATATAAGATGCTGATGACGTGTTAACAGTGCACCCGTTTACAGTCTGAGGGAGATGCACACTGTAAACAAAACAATCCTTGCAAACATGTCTAAGGATTTCAACAATTTTTTTGCCCAGCCATATTTTTTTGAACCCGGATACACGTACGCACCAGATACACGTCAGCAGCATCACTGCGGACTCGTGAACGAGGCTTGACAACAGAACCGGAAGACTCAATGCTGAATAAAGTTTTTGTTATTTTTGGACCAAAATGTATTTTTGATGCTTCAAAACATTCTAACTAACCCACTGATGTCACATGGACTACTTTGATGATGTCTGTATTTCCTTCCTGGACAAGGACAGTATATTGTAGATACATTTTCAAAGGAGAGACAGAAAGCTCTCGGACTAAACCTAAACCTAAAATATCTTAAACTGTGTCCCGAAGATGAACAGAGGTCTTACGGGCTTGGAACGACATGAGGGTGAGTCATTAATGACATAATTTTAATTTTTGGGTGAACTAACCCTTTAAGTGAATCTTTGGGCTGTGGATTCAGGCTGTGCAAATTAAACATACATTTGTTTTGTATTGATATTATGGTTGTTTCTCTCTCTCTCTTTGTCTGCATTTCTCAGGTATAAAGAGTGCAGATCCAACTGAGCTGAATCTCATTGCCTCTCCCCCTCAAAGTGACTTCACCTCTCAGATTGGGAACTTCAGAGCTTTGAGCTCTTTGCTTCCCCTAGTGTCTCAACGCGTGTGTACAGCAAGTGGAGGCTCTTACTTAAGTGATGGTAAAAGCATGATGTGAAGTAGACACACAATGCAATTAAATCCAAGAATATGATTATATTTGTATATTTATAGTTTTATTCAATTTGTTATTTAAGACATTGACACTTGTAAAATGCTTTAATTGATCCTACTAAATGAAAAACCATTGATTTGTATTATTGTTTCCTCATCAGAGCCCTACAGCGGTCCATCAGACTTGCAGATTTTAGGTGAGACCACCAACTCACTGAGATTTCGATGGACATCTGCAGGAGGGCCTGTTAGTGGGTATGTGGTTCAGTACAGGCCCTTATCTGGCTTGGGTCAGCCAATCACATCAGAGCTCCGACAGGTGAGAAGAATGTTAATCCTAAATGACTGTAGCTTTTTTATGTGCAAACTATGACACTAACTTTATTCTTATTATGTTTCTAATTTTTAATAATTTTGTTGTGCTTTTGTCTTTTCAAGTAGTTTTTTTGTTGCTTTAATGTATTCTTATTTCAGTTTTAGTCATTTTTAGTACTTTTAGTTACCAATGCAACATTTTTAAAAACTTTTTTCATCTAATATTTATATTTTATTTAATGAGTTATTTTAATAATATATTTTTTTTTGTTTGAGCTAGCCTTACACAAAGTATAGCATAATGGTCTACAGTAAACTTCAGCCTTTATCTTTTGACCTGCAGGAAACAATACCAAGCAACCAGCAGAGCTACATTTCACGAGAGCTGCGTTCAGGCACAGACTACCTGATCACCGTTATTGCTCAGTACCCAAACAGCTTGGGAGAGTCAGTGTCTGCCAAGGCCCGAACAAGTGAGAACTGCACTTAACAGAAATATGAATATTTAATTCAGCTTAAAGGGATACTTCACCTCTGGAAAGATGAATGTGTATTTAAAATGGGTCATTTATGTAGATGTGGATGAAAGACAACAACTCCCAGAATGCACTTGCTTCGCTGCCCTAGGAGGCCATGCCTACCGGTAACAGAGCGCAGTAGTTAAACAAGTCTAGGCCACTATTGAGTCTCCGTGATGAGTCTGCCCGAAAATGTGTTTCGAGATCGCCCAAAATGTCCGGGATTCGGGTTTTGCCTTCTACAGTCGCCATTCATCATGTTTACTGTGGCGAGTGAGGGCCGTGGGAGAACGACGCGAGGCTGGTGGCGTGATTACAGATGAGAGACACCTGTGAGACGCACTGGTCTCGTATCTTTCACAGAGGAGTGGGAATTTTCTTAGCAATGTTAAAACGCACATCAACCGATCACTTGTTCAGCGTTCATGTAAGCACTACATTCAGATTCAGCCCCTACTACTGACTGTAGTCTTTAGCCTCTGGCCAAAAATCCTCAGATGACTCAATATGACGATTTTTGCGTCATCAGAGGATTTTTTCCAGACACAAAAATACATAAATCTCTCGTCTCAGGGGATATGAGGGTGGAAAGCATGGTAATTCGAAAATACTACAGATTTTCTACTCCGAAAACAACTATCATTCTCTCTTACCCCAAACTGCCCTCTAGAGCCTCTCCTGGGTCTGACTACACTGCGACTGGTCCAGGCCGGGTTTTTTACTCTGGGTTTGGGCTGGGACGCTCCAGCTGACCAAGTACAGGGCTACAGAATCACTTATAGACCTACAGGTGAGAGAGACACACAACTTCATGCATACTAATCCACAATTTCTATTACATTTCTCAATAATTATTTTACTCTTTGAATAGTGAAAATTGTAGTGTGAGTCAGTGGAAGATATTGTGAAGGATGAATATAGAAACAGATAGAGATGAAAAGGATAACTGAGACAAGCAGCACTGTAATATAATCTATTACAGTGCCGCTAGTTTTATTGCTAGTTTATTGCTATTGTTATTGTCTATAGAAGATGGTGTTTTTCTGTGGTTTTCCAGAGTGTTGTTATGTGGTTGCTAAGCTGAAAGTTGTACATCAGATCATTCATAGAAGTAATAGCAGATATATGTATGTATATTATATGATGTTTAGATATTCTTGTTTGTAGCACAAAGATTACACACCAAATGTAAAACTTAGGGTGAGGAAGTTAAAAAAAAACCTATTTCTAAGTGTGAGCAATAGTAATAGTGGTTAGCTCAGTGGCAAGCACCACTAGCTAATGATATTAGCAGTTTAATAAAAAGAAGATGGGGAGGTGGAAGAGTGTGTTTTTGTTTCCCAAAGGCATTTTTATCAATTGCAGGAGTGCCAGTTTGCTTTACATGGTTGGTATCCAGGTGTGAGCTGGCAGAGAACAGATCTTGTCAGATTAGGTGTGGCCCTATGTTTAATCAGGTTAGTTTTTGAAGCTAGAGGAAGATGTTTGAACCTGCCTGTCTCAGCCTAATGTTGCTTGAAAATGAATAGACTGAAACTGTGATTTAAACTTATACTGTGTCATTGACTGACTCATGTATTGAATATAAGCTGCTTTTGGTTGGCCGGCTAGTATGGGTTGCTATGAGCTGCTACCACTGTACCAAACTTCAAAAATTTTCCAAGTCCCACCAAAAGAGGTATAGAGAGTCTGGAGATCCAACAAAATGAGTAAAATATGAGAAAAAAATAATTTGTGGCTTATGAAAAGCTATAAAAACCTTGAACAAAGAACTAACTGTGAGGTATGCAGATGAAGAGATGGATTTTTCTTGTGCATGGTGTAAATCATCATTTGTTTTTTCTGATTGATTGGTTAACAGGCCAGACTGGTGCACAGCTGAAGGAACAATCTGTTGGAGCAGACTTTACTTCTCTGACTTTGCTTGATCTTAAGCCTGACACAGAATACGTGATCAACTTGTACCCTCTAATTCCCCGCAACAGTGCCTCACCAGCTACCCTGACTGCCCGTACATGTGAGTCCTCATACGTTACTGTTCAAAAGTTAGGGGTCAGTTTTTTATTTATTAAAGAAATCAATACTTTTTTCAGCTAAGACACATTAAATTGATCCAGTTAATGAAAGTATTGTGACAGTAAAGACATAATAATGTTATAAAAGATTTCTATTTCAAATAAATGCAGTTTTTATGAACTTACTATTCTTTGAAGAATCCTGAAAAAAGGTTTCCACAAAAATATAATGCTTTTTCAATGGATATAAAAAAAAAGATTCTGGAGCACCAAATCAGCATACTGTATGCATGAACTGTTTTTACTGTGTTATTTACTTTGTTTTTACTATGTTATTGTGTTATTGATCAAAAAATGTAACCTTGGCAAGCATAAGAGACTCCAAACATTTGAATGGAAGTGTACGGTACATGACAGTTTGAGTCAGCCACACGATATTTTGTCTTCTGCATCTCAGAAATGTACATGCTAATATATAAAGCTCTTTCTGTGTATATGCCTGTGTTTGCAGTGCGTTTAGATGGAGTGCAGCAGCTCTCCGTTGAGACCATCTCAAGTAACAGTGTTCGAGTCCGCTGGACAGGCGTGACAGGGGCCAGAGGATATAGAGTCGTTTGGGGCCCTTTCACAGGTCAACATCCAAATCTCAGCTGATTTTTTGAAGAGGCTATTTTTAATTAAATGTTTTCTGCAAGGTGATAAAGTAATGCATCATCAAGTGAGGATGTCTATAAATGTTGTAGATGTGATTTCATAATAACTTTTTTCAGATTCCTGTTTTCTGCTAAGAGTATTTTTACATGTGTTTTTTTATTTTTTTCAGGAAGTGATGTGGAGACTGTAGAGCTGCGAGGTGATAGTGAATCTCACACTCTGGGGAATCTGACACCAGACACAGAGTACATCGTTACAGTCATCGCCCTTTACAACGGAGAAGCTGAAGGACCTGCAGCCACTGCACGTTTTAAAATAGGTACACAAACACACATGCGGACACATCAACATTTAATGGTACGTCGGAGTGGTGGATAACATTTTTAGGGATGCACTGGTTTGGAAATGATTCCTGCAAAAGTAAATGAAAAACTAAATGAAACTAAACTAAATGAAATATGTGCATGTATTCTTCTCTTTCAGATTTCAGTAGTAGAACTTTAATTTGTACAGTTGTGTACTTAGTAGACTTGTGTACAAATGGTCTTGAGTTAAGAATAGCTTAGAGGGAAAATTTAAGGCAGCATAACAGGAAACGTCTCGGTTACGTATGTAACCCTCGTTCCCTGAGTAGGGAACGGAGACGTTACGTCAGAAGTGACGGAGATTGGGGGTTTCGCATAGAAAGCCAATCCTCTTCGAGTATTAAAACACGAGCCAATGGCATGCAATGCCTTGGGGCTGCGGAAATTTGCATAGCGTACTCCGCCCTACTCCGTGAGTATAAAAGGAGGAAGTGAACGCAACCGCAGTATGTCTTCGCTGAGGAGCCAAGACTGAACTCGGCCTCTACCCAGCGATACAGCAGAAGTGGCAGGGAGACGTAACGTCTCCGTTCCCTACTCAGGGAACGAGGGTTACATACGTAACCGAGACGTTCCCTATCGTAGTCACTTCGAGTTACGTCAGAAGTGACGGAGATTGGGGGTCTGTGCCATCACGCCATCTTCAAGCTGTCTTCCAGTGCCCTGCGAAAGACTGAACCCCCGAGCCTTACCTCTTTTTTTTTTTTTTTTTTTTTTTTGGGGATCCGACTTTGACACAGGATTACCAAGGTACACTGGGAAACATATCCCGAAGGGGACATGCTACCAGCTGCCTACCGAAGGGAGGACTTAAGAATACACATATGGCCACATAGGAACGCATATGGAACACTGGAGTACCAACCGCAGGTGGCTACTGATTTAAACTCCAGGGGTGGCAGATGGCTTGCCAAGGGAAGACACATGCTCAGAGAGGCTTACAGTGGATAATACACATGAGACGGTTACCATGGGGAACCGTGCGCATGGAGGCACCTAGCTAGCATCCAGAGCAACGCAGTGGTGCCCGCATCGTCGGTGCTGGAGGACTCAAGACTTCAATGGAAGAACTGAGGAAATATCGCACTTATCCAGTCCGGGGAGTGGAGTGGCGAGCAAGCGAAGACACCTGAGCGGATCCAGAACTGGCCGAAACGAGTACGTGAGAGGATACCGGCTCAATTCGCAGATTATAGAATCTGGCGAAGGTGTTGGGTGTCGCCCAGCCTGCAGCTCTGCAGATGTCTGTTAGCGAGGCGCCGTGCGCTAAAGCCCAAGAGGAGGCTACACTCCGAGTGGAATGGGCCGTCACACCAAGGGGGCACGGAAGGCCTTGCTGCTGGTAAGACAAAGCAATGGCATCCACTATCCAGTGGGACAGCCGTTGCTTTGAGAGAGCCCTTCCCTTCTGGCTCCCCCCATGACAGACAAAGAGCTGGTCTGAGGTCCTGAAACACTGCGTTCTGTCGACATAGGTGCGGAGAGCACGTACCGGACAGAGCAGTGCCAAGGCTGGGTCTGCCTCCTCCAGGGGCAGCGCTTGCAGGTTCACCACCAGGTCCCGGAGGGGAGTGGTAGGAACCTTGGGCATATATCCAGGCCGGGGTCTCAGGAATACGTGAGAGTAAGCCGGCCCGAACTCCAGGCACACTTCGTCAACAGAGAGTGCGTGCAGGTCCCTTACTCTCCTGATGGATACCAATGCAATCAGGAGTGCTGTCACATAGGACAGGGCAAAAACTCTACCGACTGCAAAGGCTCCAGGGGAGGCCTCTGCAGAGCACCCAGGTCTACTGAGAGGTCCCCAGAGGGCAGGAGGGGAGGGAGGCGGATTTAGCCCCCTCACTCCCCTCAGGAACCTGATGACCAGGTCATGCTTCCCATAGACTTACCTTTCACTGCATCATGAGACGCGGCAATGGCCGCGACATAATCCAAAGGGTGGAGGGCGACAGCCTGCGCTCCAACCCCTCTTGCAGGAAGGAAGCATGACTCCGATCGAACATCTCCGGGGGTCTTCTCAGCGAGAAGAACACCAATTGACGAAGAGGTTTCACTTCAACGCATAAAGGTGTCACGTGGACGACGCTCTTGCGGAAGTGATGGTTGCCGCCACCGCAGGTGGCAGCGAACTCAAACCTGCCTCGTCCCGTCCTGGAGCCACACGTGCAGCCTCCAAGATCGGGACGAGGGTGCCACAGAGTGCCCCGTCTCTGAGAGAGTAGGTCCGGTCTCAGAGGAATAGGCCAAGGAGGTGCTGTCGCGAGGAGCAAGAGTTCGGAGAACCACGTCTTGGTGGGCCAGTAGGGGGCTACCAGCAAGACCTGCTCCTCGTCCTCCTTGATCTTGCACAACACCCGTGCAAGGAGGCTCACTGGGGGAACGCACACTTGCGTGGGCCCCGTGGCCAGCTGTGCGCCAGCGCATCCGAGCCGAGAGAGCCGCGGGTCAGAGAATAACTGGGCGCAGTGGGACGAGTCCCGAGAGGCGAACAGGTCTAACTGTGCCTCCCCGAACTGGTCCCAAATCAGCTGGACCGACTGGGGATGGAGTCGCCATTCGCCGGAGATGGGACGGGCCCGGGACAGCTCGCGGCTGCCCGGTTCCGGTCTCCAGGAATGTAACTGCACGAAGGGACCTCAGGTGCTTCTGACTCCATATCAAGAGGTGGCGGGCGAGCTGCGACAACCGGCGCGAGCGTAGACCCCCCCTGGTGGTTGATGTACGCTACTGCCGTAGTGTTGTCTGAGCGGACAAGCACATGCTGGCCCTAGAGCACGCTCGGAAGCGGTGCCGGGCGAGCCGTACTGCCAACAGCTCGAGGCAATTGATGTGCATGAGGCGCTGGGCTCCTGTCCAGGAACCGGCGGCTGCATGCCCATTGCACATGGCACCCCAACCCGTGGTAGACGCATCCGTGGAGACAACGAGATGCCTGGAAACTCGCTGAATAGGGACCCTGTCCGTAAAAAGCTGAGGTTCGACCACGGGAAGAAGGATCGGCGGCACGTCGGAGTCACTGGAACTCGGAGCGAGCCGCGATGCCATGCCCACCTCGGGACTCGATCGCGAAGCCACAGCTGAAGCGGTCTCATATGAAGCAAACCGAGCGGCGTTGCCGCGGCCGCGGATGCCATATGCCCCAGGAGCCTCTGAAATAGTTTCAGTGGAACCGCACTCTTGCCCTCGAACTGTCGAAGACAAGCCAGCAGTGAGTGCGCGCGCTCGTTCGTGAGCTGCGCGGACATGGCGACCGAGTCTATCTCCATGCCGAGAAAAGAGATCCTCTGCACGGGGCAAAGTTTGCTCTTTTCCCGGTTGACCCGAAGGCCCAGACGGGCTAGGTGCCGTAGCACCAGGTCTCTGTGTTCGCAAACCTGAGCTCGAGAGTGTGCTAGTAACAGCCAGTCGTCGAGATAGTTCAGGATGCGAACCCCGTGTTCGCGAAGGGGAACAAGGGCTGCCTCGACGATCTTCGTGAAGACGCGAGGGGACAGAGCTAACCCGAATGGGAGAACGGCGTACTGGTATGCCTGGCCCTCGAAGGCAAACCGAAGAAACGGTCTGTGTCGAGGGAGAATGGAGACATGGAAGTACGCGTCCTTCAGGTCGATCGCTGCAAACCAATCCTGATACCGAACACATTCGAAAATGCGTTTGGCCGTGAGCATTTTGAACGGTAGTCGATGGAGAGAACGGTTCAAAATGCGCAGGTCCAGGATCGGTCGTAACCCACCGGTCTTTCTTGGGGACAATGAAGTAGGGGCTGTAAAGCCCGGACCTCACCTCGGCTGGAGGGACCGTCTCGATTGCACCCTTCGCCAGCAGGGTCGCAATCTCCGCTCTCAAGACTGGGGCATTGCCACCAACCATCGTGGAGCGAACTCCCCTGAAGCGGGGAAGAGACCGTGCGAACTGAATCGCGTAGCCGAATCCGATCGTTCTGATGACCCAGCGGGAACCCCGGGAAGCGCTAGCCAGGCTTCCAGGAAGTGAGCCAACGGGGTCATGCGAACCACAGACGTCCCCCGGAGGGGCAGCGAGGCGGGTCGACCGGCATGCGTGCAGGAGTTACCCCGTCCGGATGCACCGTCGAAACCCGCTCCCCGACAGAAGAGACCAGGGAAGGCAGAGCGTTCCACGGGGGTCTGTTCTGCCGGGGGTCTGGCGACAGAGGGGGAAGGGATTGGCGTAGCCCGGGGACGACACACGCACCCTTCCGCGCCCTCCGAGACAGAGAGGAATGAACGGGGCGACGCACTGGACGTCGTGCGCGCTCATTCCAGTCTGTGTGCTCAATGACAGTGTCAGCTTTTCCTCAACCAGCTCAGGGAGCTAGCTAGAACAAAAGATTCTCCACCGGCCCTCCACCGGGGAGGAGGGGCCCTGCCACCGCCTCCTGAGAAAAACCATGACACTATCACTGAGCGGCCCGCCTCAGGAACATCGCTTCGCCTGGCATCTAGCGGGGCACGCGGCCTGAGGGGGGCTCTTTTCTTGGGACGCTTACCTGTGGCCTCCTCCGCGACGCGAACCGGCTGAAGGCTGCTGCTGGGGCCGCGTGGGAGGGAAGGGAGCCGCAGGGGGCGTCCTCGGCGGCGAGCTGGCGGAGGCGTCCGAGCCGACGGCTGGTTGGAGGCAGCAGCTGGCCGTCGGGGCAGAGAAACCGCCTTCGTCTGCTCCTAGGCGGTCGAGAAGTGCTGGGCAAAGTCCTGGACCGCACCGCCGAACATTATGATGCTCCTGGACCACAGCGGTGGGCATCACCTGACCAAGGGAGCGAGCGACCGCCTCCGTGACCCGTTTAAGGACAAGGTAGGCGACAGGCTCGCAGCTCGCTTGGTCCGTCACCTCCTCGTGCACATTCCTGAGCAGCTAGCTTTGTAGGTGCTCATCATATGCAGGGCGGAGGCTGCCTGTCCCGCCGCTCTACAGAATCGCGCCGCCATAGACGACGAGAACCCATAGGCTTTGGAGGGGCATCTGAGAGCAACCGCCGGTTGACCGGGGGAG